GCCAAAAAGGTTCATGCATAAAAGCCAGCTGCATTAGCAAAGCACCAGAACCCTCAGTTTACCAGTTTGAGTTTTCCCAAAGTTGTACTGTTGAAACAGCAGTAGTTAAATGTCTATCATCAACTGTTCTTTAAGTTCTATGGTAAATTATATTGTACAAAATGATGTTAGAATATTATTGAATAAATTGTTTGCATAGACAAAGTAGCTGAAAATATACAGATAAAATGACGGAAAAGGTAATGCTCAAATCTCTGTAGGTGAAAATTCCAATTACAATTAGGGACCGACATTTTGATATGCTGGGGGTGGGGGTGGGGGCTGGGATTTTTTATAGAAAAGAGTAAATTGTCCCAGAAAGTGCCAGAAAAAATGATTCAGACTGTTGAAAAGGAAAATAAAATAAATTATTCTCAGTCACAAAAAAACCCATAGCTGCAAGATGTTATATTTGTTTTGTTTTTAATTTAGGCTCATAATTTCAATGAAACAGATCTGGTTTTGCAGCTGGAGCTGAAAAAACACACACACAAATATCAAATGATCGGTCCCTAAGTACCACAAACTGATCAAGACATTAAATTAATGCATTCCAAAGGTGTGTTGTTAAAAGCACAATTGATTTTGATTAGTACTCAACAACAGTAGGCAATGTCACTGGACAGCATTTTCAATACAGAACTATTAAACTAATCTAACAGATATGGTGCGTATGAGGTGCATTTTATCTTTGACAATACCTAAACAGTCAGTCACACTCAGCCAAAGACTGACAGGGCATTTATTGGAACACACTGGAATTGAATCAGTGGAATGATATAAAAGCAAAAGCAGAAATAAAAAGATTGAAAAAATATGTAAAGGCAAACAGAAAGTAAAACAAATTTAATTGAAATTCAACTCATAAACTGAACAAGCATTGTTTTCTTAACATCCAGCAATGATGAAGCAACGGTCTGAACATCAGAAACTGTATTGATATACACATATATGCTGATGCAACATTATGCCTTGAGGAGACAGGGTGTACATTTGGAGGATGTGCCTCCTATTACTGTGACAACATGTACATTGTACACAACATTTCACAGTACAATGAACAGGAAACATAAACATATGCAGCTCTGCGGTTGTTTTGATTGCTTAACCAGCAAAACAAATTACATGAGATATTTTGGTTTCTGATACCTCAGAATTTTAGTGTATCTCCATAAACACTTGCAACTGTATGCTTCCACAGACAACTTCCATAACTCTTAATGATGTCATGTTTTCTCACAACATATTTTGTGTGTGCATCATGTTAATTTGATATATTTCAAACAGTTAATAACTATCAGAATATAATAAGAATACATATGTTTGTTTCTATAAAATATACATCTCTTCTAAACAGGTCATATTGCTCCTTTGTAGGTGCATGTTTTGGCAAACTATGGACATTGTGGTGTATATCGCATACATATTAAAACCTCTCAATCACAAAACTTGGGCATAATGAAGGCAATTTATATATTTGTTCCCTTGAAATGCCACATACTGATTAATATTTTCATGGAATGTTCTTTGCTGTAGCTTATTTTTCAATAATGTCAAATGTAGCTCCTTGTATAATGAAGAGAGATGAAGAAACATATTTTACATTACCATTTTATCATCAACATCTTGTGTAGCGATCAAAAACTGAAGTATGTGACAAGGATCATTTGCAAAAGTTCACTACCAGAACTATAAGACTAACAATACAATTTACATTCCTTTTAAACAAAATTAAGTAGGTAATAGCCATTGGAACACATTTAATCCAGCTCCCATTGATGAATACTAAATAACTCTTTCAAAACAGATTATGCTTTTCAATGAGTGAGTGATCTCAACTTTAACATTTTGAGCTTGTGTTTCAAGTTGAAGAAAAATAAAGACAAAGGCCTTCTACTTAAGAAAACATAACTGTTTCAAATTGACCTTGCCACAATGTTTTTTTTATAGAAAATGTCTGAGAAAGATTTATTTTGACTGCTTTATGATAACAATTTCTTGTTGCTATGTGAATAAATCAGTTTTGTCAGAAGTGGGAGGTTTATAAGATGTATTTGTACAAAATATGACAGTTGTGTTTTTTTCTGACCCAGGATTCAAATCCTGAAGTGATGGCATCACAAGCAATCACACCAACCTCAGCTTCAATAAGTGTGCCATTTGTTTCTCTGTTTGCTTGCTTTTTAATGCTGCACTCAGCAATATTCCAGCTATATCACGGTGATCTGTAAATAGTTGAGTCTTGACCAGACAATCCAGTGATTGACATCATGAGCATTGATCTACGCAATTTGGACACAATGACATGCATACACCAAGTTGTGCCTGACCACCCGATCCTGTTAGTTGCAACAAGCATAGTCTCATTTTACAAGCATGGGTTGCTGAAGACCTAAGCCATTTGTTTTCACTTGGAACAATCAATATACATATAAACATACACAGACTAAAATGTCTATTTGAAGAAGTTTGTTGGGAAGTACGGTAGTTAAAAAACAACACTGATTCCATGTGAATATTAACATTACAGAAATCAACCAAAAGATTTCTATTATATCTGTTTATAAAGGCGGGAAACAAGTAAATATTCACTAATTTAGAATTTAAACACAAACTAATAATAAATACTATATTATTCTGTTATAAGTTTTGAGTGGGAACTTATGTATTTTCTAGAGATTTTAGATATAATTTAATTGATTTCATAAATGACTTAATGGCCATAACATTCACAGAACTTAAGTACAAATGTTCACTGTTCTATGGACCTACTTATATATCAAGATTATTATTTACAAAACATATGCACTGAAGCAAGACCACTTTCCAGAATGTACAGGATCATGTTAATACATTATTTTGTATATAAAATATGTCACAGTATTGATACAAATGTAATATCCTCCCTTGATTATCCAACTTATTATTCATGATCAATATTATAGATCAGTTTACTGACAATCACAGAAGGCTTTACAAAATATCTCTACAATCTGCCTCAAAAACTCAACAACACATTCTAAGACAAAATGTTTGATCATTTGGCAAACGGGTAAAATGTACAAGATCAGAGGTACAACATTGTACATGTTTTTAATCTGAGTAACCAAGAATATGACATTTTTATACGAAAGATAGTGAGGATTAATTAAATGGACAACAATCTTGTTTCCATGTAAAGATGTTGCAGGTCTTTGCCTATCAGGAACTAGTCCACATCAAAAAGGCTTTATTGCCAATATTGACACATGTGCTATCTGTAGAGAATTACATCACTGAGATGACTTTGAGAAGTTGATTCATGGTTAAGCATCAATGAGAGATGGTGGATGTGTTCAGTGTTAAATCATAAATAGCATACACTTTAAAATAGTGCCACCGCACTGTAGCTCACATGGATATGTATGTAGTCGACAAATTCAAATGTCCAAACATTAAACAAAAGTTGTCAGCATTGCAAATATTTTCTGCATAAATACTGTGGACAAATGAACTAACAAATATGAAACGTAATTAAATTAATGTTGAAAATCTGAAAGAATGAATGTATTATTGTATAACATTGTTGCAATACACAACAGTAAAATTTACTTGACACAAAGTTCAAATTCTGAGCTTAATATAATTCTAAGGAGTATAGTTTCTCTTATGCCAAACAATTTTCCAATTGTCTCACAAAACACACACTAATATCCTAGTGATTGGAACAAAATATGATGTCATCATAATGAGAACAACAGATATTAAAGTTCAGCTTCCTCAGCCTGGTTACATCAAGAGAATTATGTCATCAGAGCCAAACATATATTTGGAGTTAATTTAAGATCATCAGATTACATTTCGAGCCGAAATCAATATTGCTGCAGGTAAAATATTCATCATCAGCGGCACATGTGTAAAGTTTAGAGAAACAAGAAAATGTTTAGAGAACCTTAAGTGCATTTTGAGAAAACTAAGAGCATGGTCCAAATACAAAGGCCGAATGAACAAGTATTTGTCACAGAGTGACGAAATATCCCCCGCCATATACACCATAGTACCAAATATGAAGACAATCCAGCGATTAGTTCTTGAGATATTGTGGCAACACCGTTTTCCAACTCCAAAAACAGATTTGCCTGCTGTGACCTTGAAAATGGGGTCAAGGTCACCAAATCTGACAGGTGTATGCGGTGTCTGTATATACACTATAGTTCCAAATATGAAGACAATCCAGCGATTAGTTCTTGAGATATCGCGGCAACACCGTTTTCTAACTCCAAAAGCAGATTTGCCTGCTGTGACCTTGAAAATGGGGTCAAGGTCACCAAAACCGACTGGTGCCTGCGGTGTCTGTATATACACTATAGTTCCAAATATGAAGACAATCGAGAGGTTTAGTTCTTGAGATATCGCGGCAACACCGTTTTCCAACTCTAAAAGCAGATTTGCCTGCTGTGACCTTGAAAATGGGATCAAGGTCACCAAAACCGACTGGTGTCTGCGGAGTCTGTATATACACTATAGTTCCAAATATGAAGACAATCCAGTGTTTAGTTCTTGAGATATCGCGGCAACACCGTTTTCCAACTCCAAAAGCAGATTTGCCTGCTGTGACCTTGAAAATGGGGTCAAGGTCACCAAAACCGACTGGTGTCTGCGGTGTCTGTATATACACCATAGTTCCAAATATGAATACAATCCAGTGTTTAGTTCTTGAGATATCGCGGCAACACCGTTTTCCAACTCTAAAAGCAGATTTGTCTGCTGTGACCTTGAAAATGGGATCAAGGTCACCAAAACCGACTGGTGTCTGCGGAGTCTGTATATACACCATAGTTCCAAATATGAAGACAATCCAGTGTTTAGTTCTTGAGATATCGCGGCAACAAACAGGTGGGACGTATGGACGGACGTACGTACGGACGGTCGTGAATACTATATCCCCCGCTTCGCGCTTTCGAGCGGCGGGGGATAATAACAAAATTTAAAATATCGCAAAAATCGGAATATGTTTTGATGCCCTTTACTACCTAAACAGTTATTAAATTCCATTACATTCCGAACAAAACGATCATGTCACATCCATAAAAAAACTGTTTTAATAAGGCTGCTGTGATACATTGAAACCTGGTTTCTGAGGAGACAATTTCTACAGAGCAAGAAATTGCATTTTGAGTGAATTTAGTTGCATGGCAAAAATGCAAAGGTCAAATTTTAAAATATCATGAAAAATGTAACATATGGGATGAACCCCACTATTTACTACATATATACTAAATTGATTACATTTTGAACAAAGAAAGCTGAACAATGGCCATAGAACGTTTACATTTTTTTTGTATGATTGAAGTTCAAAGGTCAAATTTTAATAGCAAAAAAAGGAACACATGTTGAGCTCCCCTACAAGCAACATACCCGGTACACACCAAATTTCATTTCATTTGAAGTGAAAATGGCAGAGTAATAGTCATAAATATATTTGTCAATTTGCCCACAGTGGCAGCCATATTGGTACTTGGATTTGAACCTCTTCGACAAATTCCGGTGTCAACATTGTTGGGAACAAGCATGTGAAGTTTCAGCTTCATTGGTCCAGTGGTTCTGTTGGCTAGATCACGACAACCAGGCCATGACATAAGCTCACCTGACTTTCAGTCAGGAGAGTTCAAAACATAAGGGCAGTCCCATTTCTGAGAATATGCAAAAAAACGTATTACAAAAAAGTATCATTGCAATTGCAACTCTGATCTTGCACTATGAAGTACAACGGCAAGTGAAACAATGGAGGGTACAGAATACATCCTTCTAGAAGTCATATAACCATATAGACATATTTTACAGAAGCTACATACATCAATATCAACAACATCCTGCAGCAATAACCAGCTGAACTTTGCCATATGTGCATTATTTGAAAAGCAATAACACAGATCATGGGAAGAACAGTAGCCTGCCATAGTAACAGGTAATACCATGTCGCTGAAATATGGACTCAGACGAACCGTTCATGGACATAGACATATCAGTGGAGAAGTGACAGATGAACCGTTCATTGAGGCGTGCTGAGCAGATACATACAGGAAACCACATGGCACACTATCACGGCTGCCAAAATTGCTTCTTGATGATTTACACTTCCAAATATTATAGAAAGAAATATTTTGAAAAACTTAAGATTTCAACATGATAAATTCTTGTTGTCTTGCGATTATTGCTTTCATGCTCCAAGTTCAAAAAAGGAAATATGGTTGGCAGACTGCCCGACTACATATGGGTCCCCACGTATGAAAGTGAATGATCTGATACCTTGTATTAGCTTTGTCCAGTCTACGGTACAGGAGTAGAAACCCATCTGGGACAATTTTATATGTTCAGATAAATTCATTTTCATTTGATTAATTTTGTTTAAATATCAAACCCTTAAAGAATCATTGTGATGTTGTATCCAGGAACACTGAAGACTAAACAAAAACACAACTGAGTGTTGCTGTAGTTTCTTGTAATAACCTTTGACATGCTGATGAGTGTAAAAAGGACACTTGGATGGAAACACATTGATAGGTTGCTTAAACAGATAAAACATTCAACCACTCATTTGTACAGCATCACTGCCCATCATTGGCACCGATTCAAAAAAATAATCATAAAAAATTGGCATGGCGCAAAGTAGATAAATGACACTGACCTCAACCATTAGTGGAGATAATGTTGAAATATACATATCACAAAAGTGATGGTTTTGGTGCAGTCACTGACAGTATCACGTTGTAGTAATTATTGACAACATTCATCACAGAATTGTTCTGTAACCTGCACTACACTAACATTTTTCTTGTCACAAAACATTGCTATTGCAGTTGACATTAACAATATTTATCACAAAACCAGTTGATGTTCAGGTCAACATTGACTTCTTACTCATCACAAAACATGCTGCTACCAACCGTTGTACAGTGTTATTGCAGTTTTTCCATTGGTCTTAAACAAAAAAACAATCAACTAGGTTTGTTATAATCTTCCAAAATAAAATATTTATGAAATGCATAACAGAACCAGACTGACACAGTGAACATCACAAAACCTAGGTTCTGGCAAAGTATGGTTATAATCAGACATCACAAAACCTTGCTGCTGTCAAAGGAATTGTTAATATCTGACAGGACAAAAAAACCTTGTTGCTGTCAAACCTATTGCTAATATCTGACATAACAAAATATGGTTGCTGTCAAAGCTATATTTCACATTGGACATCACAGAACCTAGCTGCTGTCAAAGCTATAACTTATACCCGACATAAAGCCTGGTTGCTAATAAAGCCAATGCTAACATCAGATATCAGAAGACCTTTACAATATATGGTTGCTGTAAAAACTATTGTTCACATTGGACATTACAAAACCTGGTTGCTGTCAAAGCTATTGTTAACATTTTACACCACAAGACCAGTTCGACACTGGATTCTACCACTGGACATCTTCCACTGACACAGATGTTTATTACTGGTTCATAAGTGCCTAGCCATTTATGCTGATGCCACTTTGACAAATAAATATTCATTAATGAATTGTCTGTTCTTGATTACAGCCTTGTCATCTGCTCCCCTGTTCTGGTGTCATGAAGACGTCATGGCTGACATGTCACATGAGATGCCCTCTACAACCAATTCACGTTGGTTGGTTGTTGAAACTTGGCCACTGAAGTTCAGAGCATTGTTATCGTATTTCCGGCTTGCCTTTGGTGCCGACGATGATGAGTTTACCATCACGAAGTCCAGCAAGGATGTGACTGTTGCCGTTGGTTACAGTCAGACAGTGGATGGGGACAAGCAGCTGAAGGGTGGTCAGGTTCCTCAGGCTGCAGCAGAAGGAGGTTGTTAGTAGACTGAGTGAGTGACTGTGAGGGAACGAACTGCGATTAATACTGCTTTGAAAGATCCAAAGGTGTGTTTGTTATTGTTGGCTTGGCTTAATGTCACCTCGGTACCAGATCTTGTTACTGATGGGAGGCAAGCACACTTAGTTGTCTTAAACATCTAAGCCATGGAATCATATGATTGTAGACTGTGAATCCTTCAGGGACTGACAAATCACTTTTTTTATCGATAAAATGAATCCATCAAAGATGTTAATGCTCTTAGATGGCTGCAGAGAATAATCACTGCAAAGTTAATGTCTTGAAAAAAGTAAGAAGTACAGTGATTCTAAACTGTTAAGGATAGAGTTTGAAACAGGTGAGGTGAGGTGAAATGAGGTTTAACCTCGTGTTCAAGACTATTACACTTATGTAGCAACGTGCATTTACATGTGTATGGCTGCTTGTACCAGTCTGAACTAATGACGATTTTATAGTCCCACTGAGACACCATGCCGTAGTTAGCATGAATACCCAACTCTAACACAGTATACTGACTCCCGAGCTGTCCAGTCCTTGTTTTTGCCCCGTAATGCTGGCAGGCAGAATGTAACAACAAGTAACATCTTTTGGTATGACGTGGCCCGAGATAGAAACCCCCGATCTTCCGTTCTTTGGGCAGCTGCTCTACCACTAGACCACTGAGATGGTCAGTTTGCAACAGACAATGTTTTAGCCATGGTAATTTTCTATGAAAATGAAGTGAAAATTCCATGTACCACTTACCCGAAAAGCTGCTTGAACATAAGGTGTCCCTGACAGTCCCCAGCCACCAGGTACTGTCCTGCCACAGCCATATGTCCCAGTGGGTAGCGCATATCCTCCGTGAAAAGGTGCTTGCCGTTCACAGAGTACAGGTTCAAGGTGAAGCGTTCCTGAAACAAAGTGGTGACGGTGAAAGGAAAAACTCTCGTCATCAACGTAACTTTCAAGACAAGTCATAATGAACCACCCGGAAAACTGACTGAGGTCTTTTACCTATGGTATTTGAATCCAGGGATCTCCTAAATCCTTAACTTTGGGGTGGGGGGTGTTGTCGGGGTGGGGGCGTGTCCTAGGGTCCTTGAGATCTTTACTTATGGTATTTGAATCCTTGGGTCTCCTAAATCCTTAACTTTAACATTAGGGTTATGACAAGGACCCCTGGACTTTCATGCTTTATTTTGAACACTGTGCACTACTGGTAGTACACTGGGACACACCTCAACAAGCATCACTGTCCTACTGGCTTTACAACAGAATAGCCTGGCATTATTCACACACATTGTCATATACCCCTGGAGTTTCCTAAAGCACCTCTGTACTATTTGCATTATAAAAAGATAACATGACCTGCCTTACAAGCACCTGAATACTGTTGGTACTACTATAAAAAACAACTGGATTAACATACGCCAACTGCCAGGACTAGCTAATTCCACGCTTAACCAGGTGTTAACACTGTCAGTATCGGTGCTGTGGATGTACAGGTATTATAACTTTCTGAAGCCTCAGGGCAAATCTGTACAATTAAAACAAAGTTAGAAACAAAATATAGATTGAAACGCGAGCTCTACAGCCCTGGTGTTAAACTTACCTCACATGTGGCGGTGTACTCCTGGCAGTATAACAGAATCTGGCCGATCTCGGACACCAGCATCATGGGAATAGAAAGCCTTGACCCAGGGTCAGATGGAGGGCGGAGTGTCCGCATGTAATGGCCTTTCCTTACTGTGTGTATAATCACTGACCCATCCTGCATATACAGCAACACTCATCACATCAAAACCAATCACGTCAGGAATGATAAATGAGCTGGGAATTCACTTTGTCCAACAATGGGACCACAAAGATTTGCTTTTGCGACATAGCTTTAGGCTCTTTGACAATCTGAAGAGCAATTCCTTGCCTGAAAACTAAATGTTGATGAGCCGACCAAGTTTCAGTAGATGGCAACTTTAAGTGGGTTTAGTGAAGTTGTTTATAACTGCACTCAGCAATATTCCTTTTATATTACAACACTGTTTAAATAATCCAATCTATGCCATGAGAGCCAAGTCAGCAAATCTGACTACCAGATACTGGGAACCTATTCTTCCCCTCAATCCTAATGCTGGGCTAGAACTTTAGAACCTCACACAGTACATAGTCTAAACTGTAAAATATCAGTCTGGTGAAAATAAATGACACAAATACGGGGGAAAATTGTTCCCCTTACCTTTGAGGCTGAGAGAGCCAGATCTAGTTCCACAGAGATGTGGACTGAGGTCACCTCCGCATCATGGCCATACAGAGTCTGGACAGGCTTGTTGTACACGTTACTGCTGACTCCACCCTGCAGCCATTGAGGTGTCATCAGTACCTTCATATTTACTGCCTTATCAATCATTATGTGATTGAGTGCAACATCAGATTTACAGGAAGCAGTGATAAAATCAACAACATCAACAACAACAACAACAACACCTACATGTGGGATTGAGTGTGACAAGCAGGTGTTTGTGCTGCATATAGCCATGTCCCAGCCATACCATGGTAGGGGACAATTACATGTTACAAATTTGTCTTACATTCTACATACCATACTAGCAAACTGTAACATTTGACACAATCATGGCACATGTTAGGTGTTGAGTTAGATACTTTGAGTCAATCTTAACTGATTACAAAAACCTTTGATATTTAATAAATTAATCTGAAATTTCATGAAATTTGAAGCATCTATTTTAATTCGACCTTGAGTCACCTTGATGTCGCCCAATAGAGGGTCTGGTTTCATCACTTTCAAATCATTAATACTCAAGTTATTTTGATGCTTTGTTTATACTGAGTGACCTTGGGAAATATTCCCCAGGGGAATACAGGAAGTATATCAGGTAGAAAATATATCAACCATGAAAGTCTCTAACATCTGTCATAAGCGTGTGGTTGTTAAAATCAATCGTGACATCAGTAGAGAATGAGCTCAAGTTTGAGCAAACACATATCTCACTCTAGACATTGTTAATTGATGACTAACCTGCTGCTGAATCTCCCAGATCATGCAGGTCGTGTCCCGGGAACCAGTGATGAGATGGTTGCCACAGTAGTCAAGAGCCAAACATGTCACAATATCTGAAATAGGCAGTACATAGCGGTTAACATAGAGGTCACAAGGGTCCACGATCATAGGTTTCTAAAGTGACCCAGTGACAACTCTGCACAACAAACTGCGCCCTTTCCCCATCAACACCAAACATCTTTGCCATAAATCCTGTATTTTGGCTTCAGTCACACTAAATTTTCTGATTTTCAACAGACGTCCTCTTCACTGTCGATTACACACAATTAGTTGTTCCCAATATAGCACTATAGCAACCCAAGCTATGACGTGCGTAATGGCAGGAAACCTCACTTCTTTCCAACACCTAACCACTTGAGGTAGAAGAATTGGGGAGGTGGGTGGGAGTACTTCTGATGTAACGGAGGAAGTATTCTTAGAATGATTAACAATGCTAACTATTGTTCGATAATTCTTGTGAATCCTCTACCTCTATAACATCTTTGCCAGAATATATCAGAGGGACCCGGCGGGATCTGCCTCTAATAACTCCCTGAATAATTGACAGTAATCCTCTTCTGAAAACCATTTAATCACTAATTCTAATCCTGACTTGAGATCATTTCCTCTAGAATTCCTCCTGAGAACTTGAAAATCAGAAAGCATCAAGAATCAGTCAAATATGTGGTACCTTCACTAGAATTTCCGTTATATTTGCTGATCTTGTTCGTAATAATGATGTCATTTCTGTTCTATATCTACTAAATGACGTTTCTCGTTAAAAAAATGGATTTATGGCACTATTTTCGGTCACTTCCGGTTCTGATGCCAATTCCGGTTTGCCACGTCCCTTTTATTCGATAATGACATCTCTTATGGTCTATTTCTACCAAAAGACTTAATTTCCTGAATAGATGGGCCTTGTAATACTATTTCTCCTGCTGACGTCACTTCTGGTTATGATCTCACTTCCGGTTCTGACATCACTTCCAGTTCTGACATCACTTCCGGTCATCTGCACTTAGTACTAGAAGCAGTTGATACTCAAGGTGCTCCTAATCCATCCTGCACCTAATAGACAAACTTCTTCTTAGGTGGCTGTTTATATGAAGAGTCCTTCTGATCCCATGAACACTTTGGGGGATAGGAAGATCCATGTGTCTTGGCAGCTAGGTTGATGGTTGATACTTGGAATCGTTCAGTTGTATCTTGTCTGACCTCAGCTATGACATGTCCCAATTTGCCGTTGAACATCTTGGGAGCAGATATTGGTTGTGACATGATCAAACCCTAGATTGATGCTGTCCCTAGAGAAGCTGTGAAGACATCCAGATCGACTTGGGTGGAGAGAAAGTCTTCCTGCATTCTGACTATGGTGTCTAGCAGGCTGTGGATGAGTCCAACTTGGTCCATCCTAATATTCATAGGAGTCTCTCCGGATATACCGTCATATGATGTCTGCAACGGTGGAATGATGTGCCTGATCCTGGAGGTTGGAGTGCAGGCATAAGGTGATATAACTCCTCAATGAGTTGTTCCACAAAGCTGTATCTCTGTGTATAATCCTGCTGGGGTGAATCACCAGACTGATTAACCTCCTCATATAGGTCCGATTCCGCCTCAGAATGATAGTGGGTAACTCCTGAGAGGTGGACGTTCGTCATAATCCATACCCTCAACGTGTTCCCCGTGCGATTCATCATCCACTAGTGTCCAGGACTCCGCTATGAGTAAGGTCCGTGCGGCTTGTGACGACTGCCTGTGTATGACGAGCCTGTACGGGAATGATGGTCCTCCATCAAACTGCTGGACTGTCCCATGATGTAATCTTCATGACAACCTCACAAACACCTCATACCAGCTTTATACTTACGTGAGTACGATCATCACTACAATTAGCAGCTATTAATATTGACTTAATATGTCTGTTTTAAGAAAACTATAGACTTCTGTTGAAAATCTGAAAATCTAGTTAGGTCCGACTGAAGCCAAAATACAGGATTTATGGCAAAGATGTAATAGAGGTAGAGGATTCGCAAGAATAATACAACCGACAGATCTCAGCAGGGTACAAACCTGCACAAAAACTTGCAGTTCTTTAGATCATAAAGCGGAACCACATACATACTGCATGGTTACTAATGCTTGTTGTAAAATGATTTCCAGGACCATTTTCACGGACACACTAAAATATATGTCAACGCAATGTTTGCATACATCTATAATCCATATCACTGCAATCAAAAATGCATAACCATGCTCTCAAATCTTACCAATGTGTCTGACAATATGGTTGATCCGCTTCGCTTTCCCAAGATGGTAGACCTGAAGACTGTTGTCCCAGTAACCCACACTGAACAACAGTTTAGCATCATGTGACACTGCAAACAACTTCGGGACTACTCGTATACCAGGTGCAAATGGGCCTCCAACTCTCTTCTTGGTTCTGTTGTAGACAGAAAGCATATCACATAGCATTCAGTGCTGTCACAGAACATCATTCTTAACATTTCTCTATTGATAATGAAGAACATTTAGAATTTTCTATTCACACACGAACGCATCAAAATATTAAATCATCATAATACAAAGAGAATGAATGAGTGAGTATGGTTTTACACTGCTTTTAGCAATATTCCATCAAGATCAAGGTGGGGAACACCACAAATAGGCTTCAAATACTATACCCATGTGGGAAAACAAACCGGGGTCTTCGGCATAATGAGCAAACACCTTAACCACAAGGCTATCCCACCAATCCCATAATACAGAAAAACATGTATCTTCATTCAAACAGAACTAAATCTTAAAAAGTGGATATTTTTTCTGTCACTCACTTGGCATTGAACATGGACGGATCTTTTTCAAATGTATAATAGTTGGAGATTGACTTGTCAAATGGCAGCCAGCCATGCATGCCAATTATGCCATTTTCAGTCACTGTAATCTGCAAAATTGAAGAGAACAGGAGGGAATACTTAGTATTATCATGTGATGATCAGGAATATAAACAAAACACTTACTGCCTGTCAGAGTCAGTCATTAACAGCATGTGACTATTAACCTCCCATTGTTAAATTGGTATATGTAATTGCACAGGCAGTAAGTTCCATGTAAGGAAATGCTTTGCTGTTTTACACCTCTATCTGCAGTATTCCAGACATATCACGGTGGCCTGTAATTAATAGAGTGGGCCAGATACTCCAGTGGTGGACATTATGAGCAACGTCCTATGCTGTCAGGCTATGATGACAGGCAATCAACTAAATTACGGAGCATGACCATGTGATCCAATTTTGTCGCTGCTTCAAACAAGCAAGAGAGTGCTGGGGACCTTATCTTACCTAGTTCCCACAAGGTGTACATGCCCTGCACTGAGTGTGCTCCCTGGCTTGGATCACAAAGACTGTAAGTCCATATCAAGTCTTTGAAAGGCATTTACTAGTGTTACACATAAGGAAGAAAATATATGGATGTCATCTTATTTATTATGAGGAACATAACGTTTTGGAGTTTATGCTTACTCCTTCATCAGGTGAATAAATGCTATGAGGCAGAGAACATATATATATTTACATGTACTAACAACAAAAGTAATAACATAACAAAAGGAGGAAACTTAAATGGGAAGCCAATAGATAATTGGCACTGAATTGCAATAGACAATGGAAGCCAACACTTCACAGTAATTATAGTACTCATAGTTTGATAGTTGTGTTCCTCATAATAAAGAAGTTGACATCCATATATTCTCTTCCTTATAAGTGTATAAGTCTCACCATGTTGTCTGGCATGCCATGCTGAATGATGGATCGGAACTGACTGCGAGGGATGTTCACGTAGACCATCGGGTCCTGGTCATTGGACACCTGCAACAGATAACCATCATGCATCATACATGTGGAAGCTACACAGCCAACCTCACTAGGGTCAGATTGTTTGGTCCGATACAATACTTCTCTGTAGGAACGTCTGAATCCTCCTATGGGGGTCGAATCATTGACATTGACAGTGCAATCTAAGTTGAGCCAATCAGATGACAGCTCTCTAACACGATTTGGCTTAATTTCTTTACCATCTAGATTTTGAAATTATGGGTAGGATTTTATCAAAAGAAAACACACAGAGAAGACAAACAAATCCTCAATTGTACAAACTTTTTGGTGTAGATGCCAAGGGACAACAAGGTGTATAAAATATCCTCATTAATATAATAGTGTGGTCTTTATGATATTCCATTAAGAACTTTTATTTTTGAGATACAAAACATGACACTCAGAAACAACAAGGAGAATAAAATATCCACAACAACATAATAGTTTGGCTTTTATTATAGTCCATTCATAACTTCCCAATCCTGTTCATGTTTGAGACACTGAAAACAGATATGGTCCTCTGAATGTTTTGCCTGCTCTTTCCCAGAACTTGATGACTGGCGGACTAAAAGATCTGATTTTAATGATTGTTACATAGCCAACTCACATTCCTTCAATATGCATGCATTTTCTCCATCAGTGATAGATTTGATTCATGTTTTAGTTAACAGTTACAAATCTTTTCATCAACATAAATCAATGAATCCATACACTGTTGACACATTACAATTTCCTCTTTCAGTTGTGCAGGCAACTTGGCTACTGCAGCAGTCTCTGTCCCTACTGCCCATTACACTGTACTCAAGATATTCCTAAGCTGCATACTCACCTCTACAAAGAAAGGTTTCAATTGGGAAAGAAAGTTGAAAATGCTGAGTGGTCTCCCAGTTTTAGTTGCCCTGGTAACAGCATCATCAAGAGCCAATCTTCTTGGATGTGGTTCCTGGAAACAAATCTACCAAGGTACAGACCTGGCTGCCATACTAATAATCATGGTAATCTGGCAAACTTTTGTAATTGATCATTATTGATCTTCTGGTGGCAAGGGAGTTAACTATCTATAAAAGTCAAGTTTTGAACCTGGAATTTCTGGGCTCGATCGATGCACCACCAGTGGTTATTAAGAGTTATGTCCTTTCTATGTCCTTTCTATTGACCAATTAGATTCCACCTCTCATATCACTTGCATTTGCTTCAAACAAAATGGCGGCAACCAGTCTAGACAATTTGATCAATAATCAAGATCTATAATGTAATAAAACGGATCTTACTTTGCGAAGTGCATCAAATCACGTGAGCACCTTGATTAAAAACATGAAAAGATTAGGAAAATATCTGTTGACGCTAAGTTGAGGGTACACATGTTTTGCAAATCCTGCAATCGACCGAAATCTGCATGGCAGTTTACATACCAGATATTGATTTTATTTGCAAAGACTCGTTTGTCCAGCCAAAATATAACACCATAATTCCAAGCTAGTTCGGCAAGGGTGAAAACTTTTGTAGTCAGTTAACTCTCTTGCTTCAGGAAGATGATTTCTTTGTTGTTTTCAAACAAAGCAATTAAGTTACACATTAAATGCATCATAATGTAGGAAAGTTCACAGCCTATGTACAGAGCTATAGCGTCTGACCTCAAGCTATGAAGTTAGGTGTTCAATAATGTCTGACCTTGAGCAACTGTGTTGGTGTCTGGCCGAAGTTGTTGATCATCCCTTCCAGGGCTTTCCGCTCCTTCTCATTCTCTATGGCATCCAGGTCCACGGCTCCTGCAGCACAGACAACTTACACTGCACAGTGCAGCAGGATGCACCACCTCGGGATGGAATATATATGTTGTTTCTCTGATACACTCTCTCCTTTTTCTTATTTGGTCCAAGTAGTCTTACTTGTCAAAAGTAGAGATGAAAAATTTAACTCTTGTCGCTGAAGCTAGTACGCTCTACCCTCTCAAGGGAATGGCTATATTTGTTTTACAGTATGGTACAACACCTGAAGAGTGGGCTTGACAGATGTGCTCATGAGGCACTAAAGTAATATCTTCTACACTGACAAGCAGCAACATTAACTTATTTGTAACTTCATAGGGGAACTTGTGAGGAACTTTAGACCAAGTCCAAAGCTTAATTTACCATGAAATGTTTTTCCCTTGGGAAACTAAAATTGCCTGGGAATATTTAACCTGCTACACCCATAATACCAACAGGAAAATGCACCTAAAGGTGTCAAATGGAAAAATCCAAAAAATTTCAGATTATCTGTTACATCTTGTATTTTAGTTCCTAAATTTAACTCTCATGATGGCACCATGATTCCTTTGGAAAGTGCCTACATCCAATTGTTTGGCCTGACCAAGCTGTAAACCTGAAACTGACCTTCGTAGGTGCAGTAGTAGAAGACATTGAGAGCATCCACAGCAGCTGGGCCTTTCTGCTTGTAGCCGAATATCAAGTCAATCCAGTGATGGAGGTTTCTAGACACAAACTCAGACTCCTGGAAATATGAAACCATTAGATGACTTCATTAGAGAAAGTAAAATTTGTATCCTCATGATATTAGTATTCACAACATATATATATACAAAAGGATAACAAATTATTGATATGAATTTGGATATTCATGATGTTAGTATACTTATCCTGACACAAGTCTAAGGCCCACTAGTCTGGCCCCCTACTGGGTATCAAGCTATCCCTGTGATGATGAGAAGGAAAGTGAGGGATCATGAACAGATAACTGACTGGTAACCAAGGGCAACGGCTGCCCTGGATGTAGAAGAGGCACGTTTTGGGTTCTGTGTGATATGACTGAATCCAAGAAGGAGATTGCACGATGTTATGTCAGGATAAGACAGCGTCTTTACCATCAGTATCTCCATTATACTAACATCATAGGGGACTCCACATATATAGAACAGGTATTGGGTGTTACACTGCACAGGATTAGACATGGCTGCTTGTCTGCTATTGCACAATACAAGGGAAAATTTGGATGACGTTTTCTCACAACTACTGGCCTTATGTTTTTGAGGAATAAATCTGCAAACCAAGTAATGAAATAAAAGGCCCTTCACTAATCACACAGTTGGGCTGAACATACCAGAGCCTCCCTGTGTAGGTTGATGAACTCCTCGGGTGTGGACGCCCAGGGCGGCAGAATTACATCCCCAACTCTCTCCTTTGTCAGCTGCAGACGACCCAGGTCAAACTCTGGGAGACAAAGGAAACAGTTGAAGGACATTCTCGTGTTAGCACTCTAGCCCTGACAGAACAGAACTAGATATCTGTTATGATTCAGATTTCATTGATCCAGCTATCAAGGTTTTGATCGATCACAATTCACTTTATCAATTCAAATAAATGACAATAATCACAGTGAGTGAGTGAGTGAGTGAGTGAGTGAGTGAGGTGAGGTGAAATGGGGTTTAACATCGCATCCAAGATTATTGCACTTATATAGCGACGTGCATGTACGTGTGTGTGTTTGTGTGGCTGCTTGTACTAGTCCGGACTGATGCCGATTTATAGTGCTAGCTCACTGAGATACCATGCCACAGTTTAACATGAATACCCCACTCAGACACAGTATACTGACTCCGAGCCGACCAGTCCTTGTTTTAGCCCCTTAATGCCGAGTGCCAGACAGGGTAACAACAAGTACCATCTTTTAATGTCTTTTGGTATGACGTGGCCGGATATCGAACCCTTGACCTTCCGCTCTCCGGGCGGACGCTCTACCAGTAGACCACGGAGGCGGTTGTGAGTGAGTGAGTGAGTGAGTGAGTGAGTGAGTGAGTATTGTTCTTTACAATGCTACAAATCAGCTCACCATCTGAGTTCATAAGGAACTCTGGAAGGTAGAAGAACTCAGGAATGAGTTCTTTCACATCATTGGGGTTTTCATAGAGTGACTGCCAGCTGCCTGGGATAGAGTGAAACTGACGATCTGCCACATCAAATCTGAAACAGAGAAACATCCCTTGAAAAACAAGGTTCTTGTCATAATTGATGTTCCAAAAATTGCTCTGGTAACACACTGAAATACCATCTACCGTATAAGACTGTAGGAATGCCGGATATTGAGGACCAGATAAAAGATTCAGTAGAAAGAGGCTGGCTTATGTTAAAGGTTACACTTTCATGAAACTATTTTGCTTTTAGTCAAAAGCTTCTTTGTATCGCTTCAGGTGAACAGACAAGAGATAGAATGTTTAACTTGCTATTAAACATCAGTGGTCAAGTAATTTATCATTTCAATTGTATTTCTTGTTACACTAGGCATTGTCTTATATACAGGAAGATTATGACTATGGCAGTTATGATGAATGTATCCATTCTTGGTCAACTAAGGTTTGTTCAAGGCGTCAATAGTGGTAATATGATCGTGGCTCCTGTGAACAATGCGAGTTGGTGCTGTGGTGGTATGTGGTAAAGCAGACCCTATGGAACAGGGTAAATGGAAGTTGTCAGTATTGGAGGGACACACGATTTCCCCTGAAATTAATGTAAACTTATTTAATAAAATTTTGAAGATAGTTAACAAAAGAGATTAAAAAAGTCCAGATATACAATGAACACTTCTTATTACCAGATAGTTTAACAACATGATTTACTTGTGTAATTCAGTACAGCAATTCAGGATTTGTTGATAATCTATTTCCGATGACGGATCATGATGAGATGTTGGTTGGTTGGTTGGTTGTCTGACTTATGGACCGGACAAAGCATTTTGATACAGATTTCAAGGTCCAATTCAATACCTTGGCTTAGCTATGAGATCGGCCTATCTACAGTTATGTATGGTAAGGAGATTTAGCATTCACCTTATGTTGTATTGTTTTTAATGCCACACACAGCAAATAATCATGCTCTATTGCAGCAGCCTGGAATTATCAAGTCTTGACCAGACAATCCAGTGATTGCTATCAGGAGCAATGACCCACGCTATCAGGCACCAATGGCTTGCAATCCATCAAGACCCCGAGCCTGCCCACCTGATCCATTACTTTACGAACTTACAATCACCATCTGTTGCTTGGGACCTATTCTAAACCGAAATCCCCACAGACTTACATTCAAAGAATTCACTTGAGAATATGTGAAAAATCTTAAATTTCACCTCGACATTCACAGCACATTCTTCCTTCAAGGGAATAGAGGGCACTGCTGTGACACTAACAGGCTAAACCCAGTTTAATTAGCCTTCTTACTGAAACCTGTATCAGGGCTCGATTTAAGTAACAAGACTCACTTGCACCAAACAAAACCAGGTGGCTCCCTCGTCCCTTAAATTTGAAAGTTGAAACACAGGCTGATTAATGAAACAATGCAGTAAAACGTAATAGGAACGTGCACATTATCTTGAAGTACCCACAGTTTGATGATGTCAAGACTTAGAGAGCATGACAAATTACACGAAACACGGGTATCAATGATGCATTACGTAAATGGTGCCAGCCCAGGAGCGCCAAATTTGAGATTTAGGAGGAAAACTCCTCCTGCAGTGCTGGGACCAGTTAGGGCTCAGACACGGTTCACTGGCACGGGATTTGGAGCTTCCAGGACCACGCAAATAAAACAAGAAAAAAGGAGTACCGATAACCAATTTCATTACCATACTTATGCATGTTAAGTTAAAATGTTTAAAATGTTTAAAATGTCAAAATGTACATATTCATATGAATGTTCAGTCCAGGAGATAACCTTCTGAGAAGTTAATGATAAATTAACGAATGATAAGTTGAAATGGTTTAAACATATCCTTATTTCGACTGAAACTTGGGATCAGTAAACATGACAACTCATATTTCAATACCTCTCCCTATATAGAAATCAACAGGAGAAAATCAATGCATATACATAATAATTACACAAAACATACCTTGGTGGTCAGTTATCAAGCAAAATCAACCGTTTTGTTTGCAATTGTAAGTGCTTAATAAATTTTTGGGAAAATTTGAATATGAGCCAATTGATTTAATTCATTCAGATAGATTATTCCTTAATTTTTTTCACCTAATTAGGTCAAAAGGATTTTGCATGATGTTCAGTCTTACATCTCATTGTTTTTTTGCAGAGATAAGGTGGTGCTAAAGAAGTTACCATTTTGGTATCTATACATCAAATAACTTTTAAACCCACCCGTTAAGATCCGGCGTAGAATAGGTCTTCAGCAACCCATGCTTGCCATAAAAGGCGACTATGCTTGTCCTACAAGGCGACTAATGGGATCGGGTGGTCAGGTTCACTGACTTGGTTGATGCATGTCATTGATTCCAATCGCGTGGATCGATGCTCATGTCAATCACCGGATTGTCGGGTCCAGACTCGATCATTTACAGACCGCTGTCATATAGCTGGAATATTGCTGAGTGCAGCGTTAAACAACAAACAAACTTATAAACCATTATAATAATGTTTCTTTGATACCATAAGTTTCTAGTTTACTAAAAACTAATTAAGTTAAAATATTTAAAGTGTTAAAATGTACATATTCATAACAATGTCCAGTCTTGTTTTGATCTTCTTAAGTGCTTTAACTGTAAACACATCCACATTGTGAGTGGACTGCCTGTCACTTGATAATCTTGGGATGTTTAAATTAATTGTATTTTGGTTTTATGTATTTTATGCATTTGTACTCTTTCTGAATAACTCTCTTGTGTCACAAAGTGTATTTCTACTAATGTTTTTCGGAATGCCTCGTTTATATCATAAAACTTTTACAAACCTGTAGAGGTTATGAATTCTCTGATGAAATCCTCCTTGGGGCACTTATTGCATTTTCCTTGCTCAAGAAAATCTATATGACATAGTTGTAACCATTTTCCTTAATAAAAAATGTTACCACACAAAAAACTTCGTTTTTGTATGATATACGACCACCCTTACGGGGCCTCACCCCCAACGGCGCCTCACGCCAGGGGGAGCAACTCTCACCCAAATCACTTTCCATATGTCAAATGCTGACGGAATGTGGGGAGGTGGGTGGCCGTGCCCCAAGGAGGATTTCATCAGAGAATTCATAACCTCTACAGGTTTGTAAAATTCTCTTTCTGATTAAATCCTCCTTGGGGCACTTATTGCATCAAGACAGACTCCCAAAGATAATCTAGGAAGTGGCATCCGTCAGCAACAGGCGTAAATAAATACATCGTATTTGATTATTCAACAGAATAAAATATTGAGTTCAATAAATGGAACCAACCTTATCGTGAGGCACCACCGTCGAAAGGCGGGGGCTAGAGACAGGGCGTGGTCGACCATATATTATGATAAAGCCTGTTTTTGCGGCTTGTCATAAGTTGAGAACTCGAAACACCTCCCACCCCCCCACACTTTTTTGAACAAGTGATATAAGGGCGTAGATCACGAGAGACCATAACCAGCGCTGAGCTAGGCCAGAGGGTCCCCGAGGATCGAAGGAGTGCGTGCGCAAAATACGAGTATTATCGAGTAGTAAGAACTGATATTTATCGACCGCAGAAGATAAAATCCGGACCATTACTGAGCAGTATAACCGGAAGACTGTCTAAAATCTCGAATGCTCAATCAGCTAGAGATTAGAACTTTGCCCAGTTCGGAGAACTGACTGAACAAACCGAGTACGCTCGCTTGAGTGTTTGTCGAGTTGGTAAGGTTTGATGAATCGTGCTCGGCTGGCTCCAAATAGCCGCGGAGCAGATCTGCTCAATGGGCAGAGCCGCGGCGTACGCTTTTGACGCAGCCACTGCTCTAACCTAATGAGCCTTCAACCTGGTAGGGGGGTCCCTGCCTGTAAGCGTATACGCTGTACAAATGTTTGAAACTATCCACCTCGAGATAGATTGTTTACTCGCAGGTGAGCCAACCTTCCTACCGCAGTAACAGCAAAATAGTTGGTTATCCTTACGGACACCCATATTTCTGCTGATATAGGCCTTGAGAGTCGTGCGGACATCCAAGACATGAGCATGTCTTGCAGTGGTCCCCGACGAGGAAGGCTGTGAAAGAGCGGGTAGCTCAATAGGAGCCGTTCACGTGGAATCGTGTGCGACCCTAGGACGGTAATAGTCCGGTAGACGAAAACTGACTGTCCCGGTGATATTTATCGACCCCATGGAAGACAGTTATTTTGGGATCGGCTGACATAACACGAATGTCGCCTACCCGTCTGCCGGACGTTACCACCACAAGGAACGCCGTCTCCCAGCTCAACAGCTGAAGAGAGAGAGACGACAGATCCCGAAAGGAAGGACCGGACAGCCAATCTAGAATGATTGACAAGTCCCAAGGGGGACTGATCCGCCGGACTGGCGGTCGGATCCTGTCCACACCTGCTAAAAAGCGCTGCACTAATGGGTGTGCACCCAGAAGTGCCCCGTCGACAGGGACGTGAAAAGCTGCGATAGCTGTAGAGTACCCTCGGACTGTTGATGCGGCCAGGCCGTCATCTAGTCGCGACTGGAGAAACTCAAGCACGGATACGAGATCTGCAGAAAAAAGATCTGCAATCCCTCTATCGACACACCTGGGCGCATAGCAGGCCTATCTATCGTACTGAACGTTTGTCGAATCCCTCCGCGAAGCCAGTATTGTGTCTGCAACTCGTGCAGGAATACCGCTCTTCTGGAGGCGATTCCTGACAGTGGCCAAGCCACCCATTGAATCCTGAGATTCGGGTGGAGGGCCCCGTTCTGGGATAGGAGGTCCGGTCGTAAAGGTAATATAACAGGAGGCTGAGCCAGAAACCTGAGTATTACTGGAAACCCACTCTGCGCCGACTAAAGAGGTGCCAGGAGCACAATTAGTCGCGCAGGCTGAGTGCCTAGCTGAGACAGGACCTTGGAAATCAGAGGTACTGGGGAGAATGCCCACAGAACTGTCCGTCCAATCTAGCTGAAAGGCGTCCGGTGTCACCGACCTCGGGTCGTGGACTCGGGAGCAGAACGTTGGTGTCTGGTTATTTAACCCAGACGCAAACAGATCCACCTGTAACGACCTGTATAACAGGGAGAAAATCCCGAATATCCCCGGGTCGAGCCTCCACTCGTGAGGAGCGAGGATCCGGCAAGACAGAGCGTCCGCACGGACGTTGTCCACCCCCGGGAGATAAACAGGTAGCACCCTGATATCGTGAGAGTCGCACTATAGTAGGAACTGCCACGTCTTTCGTCGAAGCGACGGAGACGCCGTTCCCCCCTGCTTCCGGATGTAAGTCATCGCCGTTTGGTTGTCCATCTCTAGACGAACCACTTGGCCACGAAGCAGATCCGGGAAGCGTTGGAACACCAACCTGACCGCTCTCAGTTCTAGCACATTGATATGCAGTTTGATCTCCTGCTGGGACCATAGTCCCGAGGCAGTGTGATCATTCAGAACGCCTCCCCAGCCGAGAGTGACGCGTCTGTTTGAACTGTGAGAGACGGAACGGGAGTGATTCCCGACCTCGGTCCACCACTGGAGGTGTGTAACGAGCCACTACGGAGTCTCGAGCACAGTCTCGAGATCTTCCGAGTTCGCCCAAAGTCGACGGAGTGCTTGTTGAATGGGACTCATTCTCAAGCGCGCCCGCCAGACCAAATCCACTGTCGCCGCCATGTTGTCCAGTAACTGGAGCCATGTACGAGCAGTGTGACTTGCGCTTAAGGGACTTGATATCGTGTGACAGAGATACACGTCCTCTCACCGTGTTGAAATTAGCCACTAGGAAGACTAGATTCTGAGTGGGGCTCAGATCTGACTTCTTGAGATTGACCATCCACCCTAGAGTGATCAGAATATCTATCACTTGTTGTGTAGCTATCTGACTCAGGGATTGTAATAGAGCTCTTAGTAACCTAGTCGTGGAGGTACGGATGGCAGAACCGACCTTTTGACCTGGCCACTTGGGCGGGAATCAACATCAGCTTGGTGAACACCCTCGGGGCCGTGGAGATCCCGAATGGTAGAACCCTGAACTGATAACACCTCCCGTCGAAAGAAAACCTCAGGTATTTCTTGAACTCTGGATGTATTGGTATGTGGAGATAGGCGTATTTTAAGTCTATTGACGTTAGCCATTCTCCTGTCTCGACAGTTGAGATCACTGTTTGGTGACTAGGAAACAAGTCGAGTAGAAGCCCTCGCTTTCCTGTCCCTCGGGACCCGGTTCGATTTCTCTTATTTTTGTCTTGTGTGAAAAATCAACACGTCTGTCTCTTACAGATGACATAAGGAAAGTGATTTGGGTGAGAGTTGCTCCCCCTGGCGTGAGGCGCCGTTGGGGGTGAGGCCCCGTAAGGGTGGTCGTATATCATACAAAAACGAAGTTTTTTGTGTGGTAACATTTTTTATTAAGGAAAATGGTTACAACTATGTCATATAGATTTTCTTGAGCAAGGAAAATGCAATAAGTGCCCCAAGGAGGATTTAATCAGAAAGAGAATGTATGCATTCACTGCTTCATGGCTAATCCATTGATTTGGCTCTCGCGGTACCAACAGTAGACTCTGTGTTCGGCTCTCCCCTGACCATCTGATATTCTAATTTGGAGTTCCAAGCCCATAACCATGGTAACTAAACTTTAGAGGCATTGAGTTTGTTCAAATATGGATTCTGTGTGGACAAAATTCTGACATGCACTTGGTGCATGTAGACATACATATTAGGTTGCGTTTTTCAATAACAGGTTGCACTTGTGCATGTTTCATATAGCCGAATAGAGCTCTGTGGTGCATTCGAGCAATAAAATGAAAGAGAAAAATGTCTCATGATATAGCCCATGGCATAAAGGATTTTGATGAAATGTTCTTATAAGAATAAACTCTCGATCACACATCCCTGAGAAAGAGCCAGTAAGGTCATACTAACTGGGACTTACTCAGAATGCCGAAAAAAGAAATCCACAAACTATAATGGATGTGATATACATGTGGCCATGCTGAACAGATTGGGATATGATGTTAATAAAGTAAGGTATTTGTATGCAGTGATAAGATTTAAGATCAAAGCATAGGCTCCCATTCATTGTACACTCGACTCACTTGCCACTCTGCAGCTGTATGTGCAGCGTGGTGAACGGCTCCATCCTCAGCATGTAGTGCATCACACTAGCAGCATTGGAGTAGTGGGTGCCGTAGTGAAACTTCTCTATGGTACCTGTTGGGTCCTCAAACGTTTCATACCTGTCAACACAGTTTATATAGTCAACACACAACTTATACAGTCAACACACACATCTTACTGAGTTAACACACACACTACATGTAACAAACACAGACAGCTTACAGAGTTAACACACACAGTAAACACAGTCAACACAAACAGTACATAAAGTCAATGCGCAGAGAATATACGGTCAACACTCTCAACATTGTCAACACTCACAGCACATTGTCAACATGCAGAGCACACAGTCAACACACAGAGCACGTATGGTCAACACTCACAGCACATAGTCAACACGCAGAGCACACAGTCAACACACAGAGCACATACGGTCAACACTCACAGCACATTGTCAACACACAGAGCACACAAGTCAACACGCAGAGCACAAGTGGTCAACACTCACAGCACATAGTCAACACAGCACATTGTCAACTCGCAGAGCACATATGGTCAACACTCACAGCACATGGTCAACATGCAGAGCACAAGCAGTCAACACGCAGAGCACATATGGTCAACACTCACAGCACATTGTCAACACGCAGAGCACACAAGTCAACACGCAGAGCACATACGGTCAACACTCACAGCATACAGTCAACACGCAGAGCACAAGTGGTCCACACTCACAGCACACAAGTCAACACGCAGAGCACATACGGTCAACACTCACAGCACACAGTCAACACGCAGAGCACATACCGTCAACACTCACAGCACACAGTCATCACGCAGAGCACATACAGAAAACCCTGTTAGCAGTGCCATAAACCAGTAAATGCAATCGAGTTAACTGGCTATTACAGCCTAGACAGAGTTATCAGTGCTTTAAGTCAAGGACTTGCAATAATTCAAGTCATGTCATGAATGACAACTTTAGCAGTGTGACATCATATTTTTAGTTGTATCTCAGGATTCAAATCACAGATGTGCTACTCATGATCAAGTTGATGCTCACAAAAGGTCAACAACCACCTCTATGAATGTCTAAAAGAATCAGTGAGTTGGGTCTGAGTCTGGTTTCAACAGTATTTCAGTTACATCATGGCATTTGTAGCAGCTTAATGTGGGAGGAAAACCCAGTGATGCTGGTCATAGATGTTTAACACTTTGATGATACCCATGTTGCTGAGAAACCAAAGTCAACATACAGTTTGTTGCCCATTTCTATTATTTTATTTCAGTTTCTTTATTATTGGGATAAATTGAGGCTCTGGAGTCAATCTGGCATTCAAACCCACAGTCAGCGGATCCTGGCACACCTTAGGGATGCAACTCTACAAAGCAAAAAATTTCAGCATCAGACTCCAGAACCACAATTTATCTCAATAATAAAGAAACTGAAATAAAATCATAGAAATGGGCAACAAACTGTATGTTGTAATTAAAATTCTGCATTCAAAAAAGCTCACTTTTCTCTGACTTCATGCTCATTTTTAGGGTTTATGACCCCCATTGGCTTGCTGAGGTCGCGATACACTTTCGGGTTCTCAAGGTCAAGGGTTGGAGATGTGTAGTCACGCAGGATCCATGGGAACTGAAAGGTGTGACAAGAAAGTGTTACATCCAGCAATAAGAATTCAGTCACCATCTGAAGATTGTCTTCATAGAACATCATAGAACAAATACTCACCACAGGATACTGGCTGAGGTCGTTGTAGGTCCGACCTGCAATTGTATTCAGCTGCATCAGGTACTCAAAATTGGAGATCTCTCTCTGAACCCATTTCTGAAGTACAAAGAGATAGACTATGTAACAATGATAACAAAATAACCACAGTAGCAGTAAGATTTATGACAATAGCACTGAATGTCCATACCATTCTTAATTCAAGTCAGAATATTTACATGTCCTGATGCAGGAAATAAGATGCTGACATAAGTGACGTGCTGACGTATAACTGAAGCAGCCAGCTTGAGGACAGATAATCTCTCATTACCTACTTGTCTCTCTTGACATACAATAACAATAGATATACTTCATTTGGAGAAAGGTTTGGTTTTAGGAACCTGCAGGGACCTGAAGTCAGACTTCAAACATGAGTTACCTGTGTGAGGCCTGAGGCCAGACTTCAAACATGAGTTACCTGTGTAAGGCCTGAAGCCAGACTTCAAACATGAGTTACCTGTCAGAGGCCTGAGGCCAGACTTCAAACATGAGTCACCTGTGTGAGGCCTGAGGCCAGACTTCAAACATGAGTTACCTATGTCAGGCCTGAAGTCAGACTTCAAGCATGAGTTACCTGTGTGAGGCCTGAAGCCAGACTTCAAGCATGATTGAGTTACCTGTGTGAGGCCTGAGGCCAGACTTCAAACATGAGTTACCTGTGTGAGGCGTGAAGCCAGACCTCAAACATGAGTTACCTGTGTGAGGCCTGAGGCCAGACTTCAAACATGAGTCACCTGTGTGAGGCCTGAAGCCAGACTTCAAACATGAGTTACCTGTGTGAGGCCTGAGGCCAGACTTCAAACATGAGTTACCTGTGTGAGGCCTGAAGCCAGACTTCAAACATGAGTTACCTGTGTGAGGCCTGAAGCCAGACTTCAAACATGAGTTACCTGTGTGAGGCCTGAAGCCAGACTTCAAACATGAGTTACCTGTGTGAGGCCTGAGGCCAGACTTCAAACATGAGTTACCTGTGTGAGGCCTGAAGTCAGACTTCAAACATGAGTTACCTGTGTAACGCCTGAAGCCAGACTTCAAACATGAGTTACCTGTGTGAGGCCTGAGGCCAGACTTCAAACATGAGTCACCTGTGTGAGGCCTGAAGCCAGACTTCAAACATGAGTTACCTGTGTGAGGCCTGAAGCCAGACTTCAAACATGAGTTACCTGTGTAAGGCCTGAAGCCAGACTTCAAACATGAGTTACCTGTGTGAGGCCTGAAGCCAGCCTTCAAGCATGAGTTACCTATGTCAGGCCTGAAGCCAGACTTCAAACATGAGTTACCTGTGTGAGGCCTGAAGCCAGCCTTCAAGCATGAGTTACCTATGTCAGGCCTGAAGCCAGACTTCAAACATGAGTTACCTGTGTGAGGCCTGAAGCCAGCCTTCAAGCATGAGTTACCTGTGTGAAGCTTGAAGCCAGCCTTCAAGCATGAGTTACCTGTGTGAAGCTTGAAGCCAGCCTTCAAGCATGAGTTACCTGTGTGAGGCCTGAAGCCTTGAGAAGTTCTGCTGGTGAACGGGTGCCATAGTAGCTCAGGTTGGCTGGACGGAGGCTCAAGATACGACTGTAGATCTTGTTTCTTACTTGCTGTAACAAAAATAAAATAGCTCAATGAACTGTGTACAATGAGATGTTGCAAGTTCAGACTCAATAGGTGTAGAAGCCTTTCATTCTCGGGTATTTAATTAAAGCAAGTGTATGCTAAATAAAGCTCTGATAATCCAGACTATCTAGACAGCTTTACTTGAATCAGTGGGGTTTCATCATATCTCAAAACCATCAATTTCCAAATGGAAAGGATTAACCATGGGAGGAATCAATACTGGTACTTTGGAACGACTGTCTTCCCCATAAAAGCAAATTTCATGAAGGGCATCCACTTGATAAGAAAGAACCTCTAGCTTGACAGAGAATACCCACTTTGTTGGGTAGATTGATGAAGTAGTTGGTCTGGTCAATGAGGAACATCTCTAGGGCTGAGCGGCGGAGGTTGTATCTGCGGAAGTGAATCTCTCGCAACTCAGACAGAGCCCACTTGAAATCCTCCCCTCCTGCACACAACAAGGTTACAACCATACCAACAAATACACATTCCAGGGCACAGACTGTATTGTAACCTTGTCAGATAAGCAAATTCATAACTGATCCTGGAGACTGTGATGCTGTATTGTAAAAATAGTTAGTATCATGAATATCACACTAATAACATCAATATTTTCAAAACAAAATTATTGCCATGTCTTGCTGACCTTCTGCAAACATATTTCCCATATTTACACATTTTATCACACCTGATCTGATTCTCCCTACTCATATTTACCAAGCTTGTCACGCCTGATCGTATTCTCTCCATGCATATTTACCAAGCTTGTCACACCTGATCTGATTCTCTCCACCCATATTTACCAAGCTTGTCACGCCTGATCTGATTCTCTCCATGCATATTTACCAAGCTTGTCACACCTGATCGTATTCTCTCCATCCATATTTACCAAGCTTGTCACGCCTGATCTGATTCTCTCCACCCGTATTTACCAAGCTTGTCACGCCTGATCTGATTCTCTCCACCCATATTTACCAAGCTTGTCACGCCTGATCTGATTCTCTCCACCCATATTTACCAAGCTTGTCATGCCTTATCTGATTCTCTCCACCCATATTCCTGGATCCCCTAAAACAATAACATTCAGCTGCAGATGTCCTTGACATCCTAACTCACCATCTTCCTTGACAAAGGTGCAGTCAAAGAAGTAGACATGAGTTGTTGTGACCTCCAAACGACCTTTTATGACCTCCACTAATGTGACAAGATCACATTCTTCAGACAAGACCAGCTTCTCTTTACCAACATACTCCTCGCTGGCAGCACTGTGGAATGTACAAAGTTGTACTGTTTTGGTAATTGTTATGCCTCAAAAACGAAGAAATGAATTCAAGTTCCGCTGTCGTAAACACTGAAACTTTTTTATCCTACACTAAACTTTTGAACTGCCTCCTTTAACTTGACTGTGTGATCAATACAATCATGTTAAGAACTGGCATTGAAATCTCCTCAAGAGAATCCATCATTAACCTATTGTCATGATTGACAATAGAGATACAAAGTGTGGTGACAACACATAACTGCATAATATCGATGTTGATCTTCACTTTCATTGCAAATCAGTACAACTTGACTCACTTGGTATGGATTAGTTAGAATAAAACATATAATTCCATGTTTACATGACATTTTCAGTTGCTTCTGATCTTGTTACAATTTTCTGACACATGTCCTTTACAACAAAAAGGGTTTTATGTATTTTGAAAGAGAAAAGTCTGTGGCATGTAGAATGTGGCAGGTTTGCTGTGGTGCTTGAAGAGTTTTCAAAGATTTTACAGTTGCACATAGAAGTGATGCTAATGTATATATTGTAACATCATCAATAGACACGTTCATACTGATTGTCATCCTCACAATGACTTCTAGCCATGTGTATTGATATCATCTCTGTGAAGGCCTTAAATCTATTATTTCACAATTCCAATAGCATGAATATGAACTTTTGCATACAGGTACATGTCAACAAGATAGCCGACCTTGAAGCACTGATGACATTCCAGTCTTCATCCCCAAGAGTATCATCTGCAATGTTCTCCTTCGACACCAGGGCCTCTTTAGCAACTTTGATTGTCTTCACCTCTGGGTTCTCAAGGTCAGACACACCTGGTTGACATACAGACACAGTATCATGTACACTCAGGGTATTACGCAACACAGAAATGTGCATCAAGTATGCAGAAATGAATAGAATGGATACCTAAAAAAATATATATTGCATCCCAAGGGACACACAATACTATTCATCATACCAAATTCTTGACATGAAATTTAAAGTTCCTTTAACTAAAGTAATTATTGATTTTTGCAGTACAGTTCACCATTTCATTACTTCACAGGACATATGACAGACAGAAATGAAAAATGCCATGTACTCTGTTCAACATGTATGACATACAGATATGTAACATGTACACTTTTCAACATGTATGACATACAGATATGAAACATGTACACTTTTGAACATGTATGACATACAGATATGTAACATGTACACTTTTCAACATGTATGACATACAGATATGAAACATGTACACTTTTCAACATGTATGACATACAGATATGTAACATGTACACTTTTCAACATGTATGACATACAGATATGAAACATGTACACTGTTCAACATGTATGACATATAGATATGTAACATGTACACTTTTCAACATGTATGACATACAGATATGAAACATGTACACTGTTCAACATGTATGACATACAGATATGTAACATGTACACTTTTCAACATGTATGACATATAGATATGATACATGTACACTGTTCAACATGTATGACATACAGATATGAAACATGTACACTGTTCAACATGTATGACATTCAGTTATGAAACATGTACACTGTTCAACATGTATGACATACAGATATGAAACATGTACACTTTTCAACATGTATGACATACAGATATGTAACATGTACACTTTTCAACATGTATGACATACAGATATGAAACATGTACACTTTTGAACATGTATGACATACAGATATGTAACATGTACACTTTTCAACATGTATGACATACAGATATGAAACATGTACACTGTTCAACATGTATGACATACAGATATGTAACATGTACACTTTTCAACATGTATGACATACAGATATGAAACATGTACACTGTTCAACATGTATGACATATAGATATGATACATGTAAACTGTTCAACATGTATGACATACAGACATGAAACATGTAAACTGTTCAACATGTATGACATTCAGTTATGAAACATGTACACTGTTCAACATGTATGACATACAGATATGAAACATGTACACTGTTCAACATGTATGACATTCAGTTATGAAACATGTACACTGTTCAACATGTATGACGTACAGCTATGAAACATGTACACTGTTCAACATGTATGACATACAGTTATGAAACATGTACACTGTTCAACATGTATGACATACAGATATGAAACATGTACACTGTTCAACATGTATGACGTACAGCTATGAAACATGTACACTGTTCAACATATATGACATACAGATATGAAACATGTACACTGTTCAACATGTATGACGTACAGCTATGAAACATGTACACTGTTCAACATATATGACATACAGATATGAAACATGTACACTGTTCAACATGTATGACATACAGATAGGACACAAGTCAACTACTCACCCAAGTTGTCCCTTTGTCTGCTGGCCTCGATGTGAGGCTCGAAGTTGTAGTTTTGTATGACCTTCACCTTCATCCGCATGAAGTTCTCTTGGCTGGACAGTTTCCAGTGGACGTCATGTTCATTCCTGACAGACGGAGATGACAATGTGTATTTCATTATTATTACAACAGACTTTCTCATTTCAGATTTACAGATTTTCCTGTGAAAATTCTGACTGGTGTTTTATGGGGAAACATAAAAAAAATACATTTCAAATTATTTGCATTTTTCAGGAATAAAGTTATTGGAATTCGCTGCCATGTGTAACCTGTTGTGGTCAAGTTTCAAAATTGAGGTAAAAAAGTTTCGATGATAAATTTCAATGCACAGAATCAAAATAATTTTATAAAATGATCTAATACTTTTTTCTGTCATATTCCGAACTGACATTATTTCATTTGGGGATTGGTGAGTTTGTTTCATGTTAGTCAACCTACGTCAGATGCCAGCCTCCTCGCTCCCCGGTGAAGAATCTCTTGTTGGCCCGCCATTTCCTCAAAGTAGAAAGATGCTGATTTCTCAGCTGTGTTGAGACATTTTGATATCGGCGGTATTCCTGGGAGGATTTAGCTTTGAAAGGGTCTAAAACTTGTGCCTGAAAGAAAAACAACGACATCTTAGACTTGAACAAAAGATGTACAACAGACACACAAGAGAAAGTTTTGCCACTGACTTCAATTGCATCATATGAAGTTGATCAAATAGGCACTCATGCAAGTATGAAGTCCTGGTTCTTTGTGCCATTTTAAGGAGGAATAGGTTTCCAGTATCCAGACTTGTCAAATTCACCACCTGCAAACTAGCCACACATGACCAGTTGTTGCAAGCATGAGCTATGTTCCACTCACTCGATCTTGATATTTATGATTTTTAAATTGTTAATGAGTCAAAAACAAGGAAAAGAGTGAGTGAGTGAGTTTGGTTTTACGCCGCTTTTAGCAATATTCCAGCAATATCACGGCGGGGGACACCAGAAATGGGCTTCACACATAGTACCCATGTCGGGATTCGAACCCGGGTCTTCGGCGTGACGAGCGAACACTTTAACCACTGGGCTACCCGACCACCCCTCAAGGAAAAGAAATAGAGAATGGAATATCAAGCTTCAAATTCAGTGAAAGTGACGTTATCTTGTCAACAAGAACAATATGTAATATTATCAAACATAAGATGGCTTTTGGACACCAAAATAATGGTTAAAGACCCTTAAAACTGGGATCAGTATTAGATATATGTGTAGTCATCAAGAGGTTTTGACATGATGTACAGCTGCCACTGGGATATTCGAAGAAATAGTATCGATACCAAATTGCACTGCAATCAACATTATCTGTGATTATATATACACGTCTTAGTGAATCATACGACAAGCATGAGATACTGTGACCTATTCTGACACATACTCCGCCCAGGGAGATATTTTAATAAGGTAAGTATGTGTTTCCTTGTTTATCGTTCAGTGCCATACTCATCAATATTCCGGTCACATGTAATGGAGTCTGGAAAAGACAATCCAGTGTTGATATCATCAGCAACGGTCAATGCTGTCGGGGTATGAACACATACAATCAACTACGTCACCGAGCCTGACCATTTCATCCATAAAGTCATGATCAGCATAAGTTGTTTGGCACCAATTATTCCAATCTGATATCCCCATGTCAGACTGAGGTAAGTAAGGATGTAACCATCCTCATTAGCACTAGATCCTCAATACCCAAAAAGGCAAGTAGGATGACGATGGTGATGATAATGATCATACTATTTTAGAAAGGTCAGAAGTGTCAACAGAGAGGATCTACTGCAGTTGAAGCCCCTTGTACCTGGAACCGGAGCTTGCTGTCACCGATGTCTCTGTTCCTCTTGTGCATGTTCAGCATCATGTTTTCATGGCATTCACGCCAGAAGCCGTTTGTAGCTGTGTGAGACTCACTAAAGCTGGACTCAACAAAATGATGTCTTTGTGGATAGATCTGAAACCAAAGAACTCAGCCTTCAAAATTATTTTTTTTAAACTGATTTATCATACGCAGAAAATTCTTTGAATAGTTGCTAAATCATAACAAAAATAGGATCAAGATGTTGGGACTAATTCAAACACATCAAATGGTACATCCGGTTTCATTCAAGATAACTGTCCAGGGAACTGGTGCCTTGGTCAGTATAGCAAACATCTTGTGCTCCGGCAATTATACCTTAATGTTGTAGTAGTGGAGTTAGGACAATCGTAGCGCTACAGTGCCTTTGTGGATCAGTGTCTCCCTCATCAGTGAACTTTACGCACATAAAGTAAACGTAACACAGAAATATGGTCAGGACAGACATACTTCTTGTTTTGATGATTTTTATAAGAATTTCACAAAATAAACTTAAACAGGGTTGAATGACGGTCAAGTAGTTATGAAAAATACATCAATGTAGAAGGAATGTAGCAAAAGAAATTGAGGATATTATTAAGAAAATGACATTTTACTGTTTTACTTCCCAGGGTGTGCTCAAAGCTTTCTGATTTAAAGCTAAGATAACAAACATCCTAAGAAGTATAGTGTTAAACTACTTGGCGTATTCACTACAATACAGCAATGTTCCTTTTGGTACATTTGCAAGATTTTATGCAGCTTTATCGATTAAACAACAAAACATTGGACTGGTTATCAAGGAATGATGATTTGAAAGCGCCCTGTCTACTACAACTCACATAGTTTGTGACAAACGTCTTCCACTCCTCGGTGTGGCAGTAGGAGCGGAAGTCATCGAAGAACGTAGGACTCATGGTGGTCTGGGGCAGGTTGGGGAGGTTCACTTCTATGTTGAGGAGTGTGTGAGCCTTGTCCACAAGGGCCTTCAGTACTGGGACGAGGAACGAGTAGTTGTCGGTGTTCTCTGAAAACAGGGAACATGAAAGTGAAGAAGAGGTAAAGCTACAGGAGACAGATGCCAATGTAATATAAACAAACTAACCACTTGCACCCTCTCAAAACATGATTTTCTTTTCCTTTCAGGCAGATGTAAAAATGTTTTTAAGTTGACTTTAGGAATCCATTTAAGTTTTGAGTTTCATGGCCCAGGTTGGAGATACTGTTTCAAGACCTTATTTTGAGATATTGCTTCATGGCCTAGATTTGATACTAAGACCAAGGAGTGAGACACTGCTTCATAACCAAAGAGTGAGAATAGTGCTTCATAACCAAGGAGTGAGATAGTGCTTCATAACCAAGGAGTGAGATAGTGCTTTACGACCAAGTTGTGATACACTACTTCATAACCAAGGTGTGAGATATTTCCTTATAAGCGAGGTTTGTGATACTGCTTCATAGCCAAGGTTTGAGATATTGCTTCATAACCAAGGTTTGTGATACTGCTTCATAACCAAGGTTTGTGATACTGCTTCATAACCAAGTTGTGATACTGCTTCATAACCAAGGTTTGTGATACTGCTTCATAACCAAGGTTTGTGATACTGCTTCATAACCAAGGTTTGTGCTACTGCTTCATAATCAAGGTTTGAGATACTGCTTCATAACCAAGGTTTGAGATACTGCTTCAACACCTAGTTTTGAGAAAGTGATTCATAACCAAGGTGGGCGATAGTGCTTCAAATCAAGGTATGAGATACAGATTCATGGCCTAGGTTTGAGAAAATGCTTCAGCACCATATCTTGGCATCCCAATCCTTTTCCATGACCAAACTTTGGGTAAGTTGTGAAACTTCAGCTGTCTTCAAATACTTTTGTGTGCCTCATGACATGGATACAAAATGAAAATATATAAATAATTCTCACAAAGCTTTGTTGCCTTCCTGCAAATTAACAAATTTCATTGACTGAAAAAAGGACCAAGGGCTCTAAAAAGTGAAAAATGAAGAAAAAAAACCTACCATCCACAGCCCTGATGATGATGGAGTTCAATGTGCCAATGATGTAAGAGGCCTCAGCAGAGCTGCTGATGAGCTTGGTCTGCACCAGTGCATGGAGCTTAGCAGTTGCCACTGCACACATCTACAGGGAAAGAAGTACATGTCATGAATTTGAAGCTGCTAATATCTGTTACTGATTTATAACTTTGCAACTATAATAGTCTGGTGCAAGTGAGTGAGTTCCGCATAAACCGCTTTGAACAGTATTTCACCTGTCATGGCATGTCAGCTAGCTTCATGTGATAGGAAAGCCCCAAGTTGTGCAGATCTAGACATTTACCACTTTTATGAAACCCGTTAACATGGGCCGTCATATAGCTGGAATATTGCCGAGTACGGCATTAAACAATAAACAAACAAACATGAACACATCTATGGTGCTGACAAACCAAGAACCATACTCAGGATAAATCCAGAAATCAAATGTACAATCATACATTACATGTATGCCTAAAAAGATGCAACTCTTCACAGTGAATTGCAGTGGCTTAGACAACTCGGCCACCCGTGTCCCCAGTATAATTTGGAAAATGAAATGGAAGTTCTCAAGTTAAAAACAGAGGTTCTACAATGTGTGAGCTGTGAATGTATGATAAGTGTTAGGGCTGGTACGAGTCCAAATTTACTACCTGGGTACCCGACCCCCTATTACCCGACCCTACCCGGCTACCCACTGCAAGTCTCAAGAGTTGGGAACAAAATGTCTGATTAGTAATTGTTTCACCGCAGCCCTGGCTAAAATTATATAGATACATGTATCAAACATGCGTTCACTGAAGTTGACCGAAGCTTTATCTTTACTCAAACATATACATGTCAAAAGGAATGTGTGCATCGTCAGAAAGAAATGCGAGCATTTGCGACTTGTAGTGTAACCACAGAGCTATAGTGAATTTTTGTCATTAAACAATATATCACATGACTAACCAGGGGTCCGGGTAGTCCTGTGGGTACCCGGGTCCTACTAAGGATCCACCCGACCCGAGTACCCGAGTTACCCGTCCCAGCCCTAGTAAGTGTAGTTCTGTCTAATGCAGGGTGTACTCACATCCAGGTTAGGGTGTTTGGCAAAAGCCAGGAGTATACTGAGTCCTAAATGGACCATCTCCTTCCAGCCAAGGCCTGTCTCCACCTCCCACACACCCAGGATGTCCAGGAGGGACATGACATCCTCCAGCAGCTGAAACACGCAGCATAAGGCAACACTAGATACACAGCAAAGCAAACAGAATATTGTCAGCTATAGATACATGGCATATTGTCAACACTAGATACACAGCAAAGCAAACAGAATATTGTCAGCTATAAACACACGGCATATTGTCAACTCTAGATACAAAGCATATATTGCCAACACAAAATACACAGCATATTGTCAACTCTGGATACAAAGCATATATTGCCAACACAAAACACACAGTATATTGTCAACTCTAGATACAAAGCATATATTGCCAACACAAAACACACAGTATATTGTCAACTCTGGATACAAAGCATATATTGCCAACACAAAACACACAGTATATTGTCAACTCTAGATACAAAGCATATATTGCCAACACAAAACACACAGTATATTGTCAACTCTAGATACAGACACATCCTCAAGCAGCTGAAACACACAACCTATGGTTAACACAAATTACACACAGCACATTGTCAACTCTAGATACAAAGCATATATTGTCAACACAAACACACAGCCTATTGTCAACACAAACACACAGCCTATTGTCAACACAAACACACATCCTGTTATCAACACAAACACACAGCATATTGTCAACATAAACACACAGCATATTGTCAACATAAAACACACAGCATTTTGGCAACACAAAACACACAGCATATTGACAACACAAGATACAGACACAAACTGTCAACACTGGAAGAATCCTATATATTGCCATTACTTTGTTTGTTTGTTGTATAACGCCACACTCGCAATATTCCAGCTATATGACGTTGGTCTGTTAATAATTGAGTCTGGACCAGACAATCCAGTGATTGACATTACAAGCATCGATCCACGCAATTGGGATACGATGCCATGCATCAACAAAGTCAGCGAGCCTGACCACCCAATCCCATTAGTCGCCTCTTACAACAAGCAAAGTCACCTTTTACGGCAAGCATGGGATTCTTCCCCGGATCTTCACGGGCCTATTGCCATTACTGAAACACACACTACATATAGTTGACACTGGACACATTCCAACCTCCAGCCGAACAAAATCTAGTATAAAGCTGACAAACCAAGGATCATTATCAGGGATAATCTGGATTCAAATATTCAAGAAACTGTCAAAAAGTAAAGACATATAGTCAGTTTGTCCCCAGTGGGAGCGACTTGTGAAGTGGAATCTCCACCCCTCAAAGTGACTCACCCTCTCACTGTATTTAACCTCATTATCACAGCTGTCATCAGTCACAAAATTGCGCACGATCCTCACCAACTCAATGGCATTTTCTGTGTGGACGGCTATCGGTTGACCTGGACAAAACAAAGTGCAAACAACTGTTATACCCTCCTGAAATATATAATAACATGTAATACTACTGTACAAAAAGTTCATGAATTATACCTATCTTAATGATTGGCAAATGTTGGGCATGATGAAACACATACTGTTGATTTGTGGTTTCTTTGACATCTCTAGATGACAGATTAATTCATCATGTATGGTTTATACACAACTTGAGCCAGCAAATTGTCAACTATGTTATATTATCAGATTATGATGATGCAAATGAACAAAATTGAATCATCATAAATATTTTGCATGAGAGGATAATTCAGGCCAAGATATGTCAAATGAATTGTTAAGGAAACACATGCCAGAGGTTCATGAGATAACAGTGCACAATATCCTTGATGTCAGAGGTATATGAAATAATACGGTATAGTGCCCTACTTATATCCTTGATGTCAGAGGTTTTGTTTGTTTGTTTGTTTGTTTTTTTAATGCTGCACTCAGCAATATTCCAACTATATGACGGCGGTCTGTAAATAATCAAGTCTGGACCAGACAATCATGAGCATTGATCCACCAAGTCAGCAAGCCTGACCACCCGATCCAGTAAGTTGCCTTTTATGACAAGCATGGGTTGCTGAAGATCTATTCTACCCCGAATTTTCACGGGTCTGATGTCAGAGGTACATGAGATAACACAGTATAATACCCTACCCAAATCCTTGATGCCAGAGGTACATGAGATAACACAGTATAATACCCTACCCATATCCTTGATATCACAGGTACATGAGATTACACAGTATAATACCCTACCCATATCCTTGATGCCAGAGGTACATGAGATAACACAGTATAATACCCTACCCATATCCTTGATATCAGAGGTACATGAGATACGCAGTATAATACCCTACCCAAATCCTTGATGCCAGAGGTACATGAGATAACACAGTATAATACCCTACCCATATTCTTGATATCAGAGGTACATGAGATACGCAGTATAATACCCTACCCAAATCCTTGATGCCAGAGGTACATGAGATAACACAGTATAATGCCCTACCCATATCCTTGATATCAGAGGTACATGAGATTACACAGTATAATACCCTACCCATATCCTTGATGTCAGAGGTACATGAGATAACACAGTATAATACCCTACCCATATCCTTGATATCAGAGGTACATGAGATTACACAGTATAATACCCTACCCAAATCCTTGATGTCAGAGGTACATGAGATTACACAGTATAATCCCTACCCATATCCTTGATGTCAGAGGTACATGAGATTACACAGTATAATACCCTACCCATATCCTTGATGTCAGAGGTACATGAGATTACACAGTATAATACCCTACCCATATCCTTGATGCCAGAGGTACATGAGATAACACAGTATAATACCCTACCCATATCCTTGATGCCAGAGGTACATGAGATAACACAGCATAATACCCTACCCATATCCTTGATCATGTTGATGCCAGAGGTACATGAAATAACACAGTGTAATACTCTACCCATATCCTTGATGCCAGAGGTACATGAGATAACACAGTGTAATACCCTACCCAAATCCTTGATGTCAGAGGTACAGAAGTTAACACAGTAAAATGCCCTACCCATATCCTCAATCAGATATCCCTGCCTATATAGATCGATGCCCATGATATCACTGGACTGTCTGGACCAGACTCCATTATTTACAGACTGCCATCATATAGCTGCAATATTGCTGATTGCGGTGTTAAACAACAAACAAACAAACAAACAGAGGTACATGATACAACACAGTATAATGCCCTACCCGTATCCTTGATGTCAGAGGTACATGAGTGTAGCATCATCTCCAGTAGACGCCTCTTCAGCTCATGTTTTGGACGGACTAGAATGTGAGTATCACAGATGTGGTCTATACAGGCAAACACCTCACCCCGATCCTACAAACAGACCATGTGTTGCACTGGTGTCATCAGGACAGGACAAAAACTGGGATGAAAACAATCCGTTAACATTTCTATATGGGACTCCGACATGAATAAACATGAAACATGCATCTGCACAGTGTCATCAGCTAGCTACTCAATAACCATCCAAGGTAATCATGGTCAAAGGGAATTTTTCTTCATTTTCATTGCATTCAATGTTACTAAACTATTTCAAAGTTATTAATGGAAAACGGATAATTATTTAGACCCAAGCTTAAATACTAAGCTCCAAAATCTTTTTTGTATTACTGTTTAAGGTCACATGAACTTAACAGATAGAACTAAGAAAACAGTCCTCAGTTCTGATGAGTTTTCTTGATAACTATTTTATGCAAGTTTTGTCTCATATCCTTTTTTGTGGTTTACAGATTTTTTTTTCTATCCAATTAACATAATTAAATTGTGAAGCTCAATTTCTTTTATTTTATTCATCAAGAAGTTGTGTTGGTTAGTACGTTTATTTGGAAAACATAAATGCTAATCGTAATATGCTGATACTGTTAAAAGTGCAGGATGCTGAGTAGTTTCACAGTCACATATTTAAGTACTTACATTGTGAAGGTATTGTTGTCTTCACAATATGTTGTAGTTTCCACAGACAAAATCCAATGTATTTTATACTGAGAGGCAATGAAAACGCAATCCAATTTTCAAACGTGAATTTTATTAACATAAGAAAATTTCAAAGCTTGTATTAAGTATATTAGCAAAGACTGATCACGATAGAGAAATTCTGCATAAAGCAGTGTTGAATATCATCAGTTCCAACCCCATTTACAGGAGAGAAATTGAACAGACCCTCAGTATCTGGTGTGTCCATCTTGAGCACGAACACAAGCTTGCAAACGCCTTGGCATGTAATCACATAAACGACAGATGAAATGAGCCGGGATTGCATTCCAGTGATACTACAATGCCTGAGTGAGCTCAGCAACATTGAGGGGCGGAATCTGCTGTCGTCTCACACGCCTACCAAGTTCGTCCCACAGGTGCTCAATTGGGTTCATGTCTGGTGACCTTGAGGGCCACTGCATGACCTCCACGTTGTTTCTCTGAAGAAAATTCCGTGTCAGGATGGCAGTATGGGGCCTAGCATTGTCATGCTGAAACACTAGCCGGTTTCCACCATGCTGTCTTAAGAGAGGGAGAAGAACTGGCTGTAGAACAGTATCCACGTAACGTCGTGCCGTCAAGTTACCTTGCACAATAACAAGCTGTGATTTAAACACAGCATTTATGGCTCCCCAAACCATTACTCCTCCACCACCAAAGCGATCTCGTTCAATAACACAAGGTCGCACATAACGTTCACCTTGACATCCGTACACCCGGAGCCGTCCATCTGGGAAAGAGACGTTAAAGCAAGACTCATCAGAGAAAACAACATTCCTCCAACCGACGTTGCCCAGAAAACCACCTGCTGCAGCCCATCGCTGTCGTTGAAGTCTGTGATTATGCGTTAAGATCTGACCTTGGTACGGTCGACATGACCGTATCCCTGCTGCAGCAAGACGTCGACGCACAGTTCGACTGCTGATGGATCTTCCTCTGCTTCCGATAGTGTTGTTAGCAGTCTGTACAGCTGTCTGAAATTGACGTCTGAGGTGTTGCATGACAATATAGCGATCCTGACGTCCTGTTGTCACCCGTTGAACGCCTGGGCGTGGCCGATCCTCCACCCTGCCTGTGACTTGGTAGCGCCTTCTGAGACGACTGACAGTTGATGGATGGACATTAAAGTGTTGTGCAACGTCAGTGTGTGGAGTGCCAGCTCGCAGCATTCCAATGGCCTGGTGTCGCTGATCTTGGGTTAACCGTGTGGCATGGTGCATATGGACACCAGTTTCAAATCATGATGTGATTTTATAGTGTACTGTTTGCATGCAATTCAAAATTCATGTCGTGCACGTGCATTTCGGACTGCAAGCTGAAGATGTGTTTTGGCGTTTTGTTCAGGATGGTGTTCACACAACCAAACATGTCTGTACACATGACGACAGAAGGCAATTATCACGCTAAGTAACATTTTTCAATAACTAATCACTTTGTTTTCTCCTCTGTTACTATTCTATGATAAAAAATGCTGATTGCGTTTTCATTGCCTCTCAGTATATTAATCATATAAGTCAGTAGTTACTATAATGAATTATATAATGTTGTATGATTTTTGTAGTTGTATCGTTTGATTTTCTTATGCATCAAAGATGGAAATGTCAGGCTAAAAAAAAAAATCAAACTATTTTCATCTTATTTTCTGAATGTGGCTTTTGGCTTTGGATAGTTAAATCTATTAACCAATAATATACAGAAAGTGTCTCCTAGTGTCTCTTAGTGCCTCCAAGATGTGATGAAATGTGAGCATATCAAGTGAAAAGTAAAATTTTCAAAACCATCCCAAAAATACTTGAAAATAAAAATCCTTGAACTGACATGGGTCATGGGAAGGCCAATTTTTTTTTCACAAACATGTTGAATGTAAGTTTGATGACTTGTTACAGATGTAAAATAACGTCTGGATATCCAGTGACATGATTGGTTGGTCAGATTCCTGAAACAGAAGTATTTTCATGTTTGCCATTCATCTCCTGACCAGCAGCAGGCTAAACAATACTTTACACAAATGGGATTCATGTGGACACACTGCACACAATCACCACTACAATGAAGAATACAAAACCTGGCTCACCCTCCAGACATTTTTGTCTGATCCATCGATCCCCTTCCACATGATGGTGAGGTGGATGATGAGCACGTTCTGACACAGCTCCTCTGTCTGCTCCACCGCATCCCGCACATAGATCTTCTGTATACCAAGATTATCCAGTGCACGCTGAAAATTCTCCGCCTGAGCAACAGACTCTCTCCGACAATCATTTCCACCCTCCTGCGCGAGGTCAGGTATACTCTCACTAAGAGACATGCTGCTTTGACTTTGAGACAAAGAATCCCTGTGATCTGCTGCACGTTGTCCAATAGCACTTAAATCTTCTACACTTGTACTTGAACTCCGACTCATCGACCTTGACCTTTCCTCTTCGGACATATTCAAATCGTCGAAACGTTGTGACTGGATGAACAAAGGAGTCATTGGGGTTCGGGAATTTCCTTGTTCAGAATATGCACTGTTGTTAGAAATGTCCAATGCATCTGGTCGAAGAGCACTCTCCCTAATCTGACTAGAACAACGTCTTTGGGCTAAGTCGCCATTCATGAAATTGCTGTTTGCAGCACCTCCAGGTGCCTCATCCCTAACCTCTGACACCTGGAGAACAGGGTTGACCATCTGTGAGATGTTCCCACTGTTGCCCGTCAGCGGCTCTTGTATCAGCAGCCTAGCAATGGTGTCCTGCCAACAAAGTTGCTTAGCAAATCCCTTAGCTGCCCCAGGTTTTGAGACAAGTATTGATAGAAGCTGGAAAGACAAAAGTTCCATCATTAGCCTTAAATATAAACACTGAAATGCAAAGTTGTTTTTCATTATATTCACAACAAACATGTTATTATATTATGGGCTCACATTCCTAGTAACAATGAAACAGTTTTTACTGATTTATGTACAAGATTGTGAACACAAAAGATTCTCATATGTAACAGGCACTTTGGTTTGAGTACTCCACAGGGATCTTTAATTATTACTTAGATATTGAGTTGAGTTTATAATGGCAATAGCAAGGGTTACGTCATCGAATGTTATGCATTACATGCACCATACCATATGATATTTTTCTATAATTTTTATTGCCCATTACGAATGTTTAATTCAATAAGCTAACCTGTGCTATACAGATGTGACTGTTAGTCATCAGGTAATATACTCCAATGGGTGTTTATTTGTAGTTAAGTCGGCTTGGGAACCCGAGCAATTCACAATCATATTCCGTTTCTCTCACACGCCCAACTTAATCATGCCTAGCGCATGCGCAGTCAGCTGTCAGCAATTCCTTTGTTCAGCTCACAACACATGGTTCAATCAAGCGCGTTTCCTAATGGTCGGATCTTGACTGAACTTTATGCCATATTTCCGGTTTCTCAACGAAGTACCTACGTAGTAACGAAGTAACCGTCACATACAGTAACGTCTCGTAACAGTACTATGGCCCCTCGTCGAAAACGTATTTCGACTTGCGAAGCTGCCATCGATGTAAACAACCAAGATGGCCGACCGGCCGTATCAACACGACTTCGGTCTAATTCTTCGAACGTCCGCAGGAGATACCAGTCAATTAATCCAGACTCGGCGGCTACCGAACATTCTCACGACCCTTCCAACTGGTACGTTGCAGAACTCCGAGAGCGCATCGCCAGGGACATCGGTATTTTACACCTGCCAAATTCTATGTCACGAGGTCAACTCATTCAGTTCTACTCAAAGAATGTGCCAGCGAACATACGGCCACTACCTGCCTCCCGGACTTCAGCTACAAGCCAAGTCAGACAAGAGTTTCGAAACATTCCTAATTCAGTGGATATTCGCGATGTCGGAGAACCTAACGAAATTCCAAACGAAGCACCGAGAACGACTCCGCCTATGACGTCACCAAGTGTCATGGCTGCGCCCACACAGCCTGACTTGCAGAGTTTAGTCGCGACTGTTCAAGCGCTTCAACAGTCAGTGGAAACTATCACAAGAGTTTTGCTGCCTCACCATACTCAGTCGTCACCTTCCGCCACCGACACAACGACAAGTCCCTCCATTCTGCCGCAGCAATCAACCGCCAGAGAAGAAATTAGAATAAACGGGAAATTCACCCTGTCAACTGCAATTGCCAACCATGCCGCCACCGCTACGCAACCACTGGACCCCAACACACTGCCAAGACTGGAGACAGCGTCTGCACATCTCAGGCAACAGATTCACGAGGGTAGGGACATTAATTTGGCTCTGTTACTAATTCCGGATGATGTTCATTGTGGCCCACGTAGCATTCAGATAGGCGATGGTCAATTACATCTCAAAACTCCCAGTGACAAGAGACTTCAGAAAGTGTTGGGTATCAGAGACTTCCTCAAAGCATTTGAAAGGTTCAAAAAGATAATGATGGAGAAATTCCCCAACAGGTCAGCAGAGTTGGACGAATATCAAGGCATTATTATTGGACTAAGTAACGAGACGGACGACAATGCGTTCTACACTTATCACAAGATGTTCTCTGCACAAGCGGCAGCTGCCATTGAACTATTAAATCGACCAGTATACTGGGGCAGACTGGACCGAGAACTCTATATAAAGATTTTTACGTCCAGGAAAGCCAATGCATGCCAGTGGTGCGGCGAATTAAGTCACACATCAGAATTCTGCCCGTTGTCACTTAATGACCAAATGAAATCATCCCTGGTACCCAGGAAGCCGCAGCAGATACGGACGAACAATTTCGACGGTACAGACGCCCATGGACGAGCCATCATCTTCCATCAGGGACAATCCATCTGCAATAATTACAATGACAGAGGATGCAGCCATCAACATTGCAGGTTCATGCACGTGTGCCTAATATGCAAGAGGACTCATCCGAAATTTCAATGTCGCACAGACAAGACGTCCAAGAAGTCGGACAAATGACTTGAAGCCAGACCATCTCCTGTTAATATTGAAACACTTAGAGCTACTTTAGCCAAGCATCCAGACCAAAACATGACAGCATATCTCATCCTCGGTTTCCAAGAAGGTTTCTACACAGGAATTAAGAACCCACCAACCGTCACACGAGTATGTCGAAACTTGCTATCAACCCGAGGACCCCTCAACGTAAATATGGTGACGAAACTGATACATGAAGAGAAGGACAAAGGTTACCTTATGGGTCCATTCCACACAAGTCCCTTTCCTCTGCAGCGAGTTAGTCCCATAGGATTGGTTGAGGGCAAATATTCAAAAAAATTACGACTTATAGTAGATATGTCAGCTCCACATGAAGACCAAGATAATCCAAGTCTCAACTCTTTGATTGATAAAGAAGAATATTCCTTGAAGTACGTTAAAGTCGATGATGCCATATCATGCATTAGACAGCTAGGTAGAGGAACATTCATGTGCAAAACGGATGTTACAGATGCCTTCAAACTTATCCCAATTCACCCCTCATTGTGGCATCTGCACGGTATCAAATGGCAAGGAGAATATTTTTACTACACACGATTGGTGTTTGGCTGCAGATCCAGTCCAAAAATCTTTGATACCCTCGCTGCAGCAGTGTGTTGGATAGCCAAACAGTGTTATCATATTGACTATATATTACACCTGCTAGATGACTTTATCTGCTTCAATAAGACTTTGGAACAAGGACAGAGAACCATGTCGTCTCTTTTGAAAATGTTTGGTGACCTAGGCATCCCTCTCTCTCAACCAAAAACAGTTGGCCCCACGACTTGCTTGGTGTACCTCGGTATCACCCTAGACTCCATCAAGATGGAAGCTAGACTGCCCATGGAGAAGATAGACAGATTGACGACCATCATCCACTCCTTACTACAACAGAGTGAAGTCACCAAACGAGACTTGCTGGTAGTACTGGGACACATGAACTTCGCAATGCAAGTGGTGAAACCAGGACGTACCTTTATCGGCTACCTTCTGCAATTGGCACATTCAGTTCCAGACCTAAAGAACAGGGTACAGTTAAATCAAGAATGTCGACTCGACTTCACCATGTGGATTTGTTTCCTCGAACAATGGAATGGAGTGTCCCTTTTCACAGCTGACAGGATCGATGCTCCAGACTTCCTGCTATACACAGACGCAGCAGGAGCCATAGGTTATGGCGCATATTATCAGCGAAAGTGGTTTGCCTCTAAGTGGCCTGGGCGTCTGTTCACACTGGTAGCAGACGACATGTCTATAGCCCTGATGGAGTTATACCCGATTGTTATGGCAGCAGAGGTCTGGGGAAAAGAATGGGCTAAGAAATCAGTTAGATTTTATTGTGATAACAAAGCCACAGTGGACATCATCAATAAGGGCAGATCCAAATCTCCGGGTATCATGAGGTTCCTGAGGAAGTTAACGCTCACCTCAGCTAAATTCAATTTCATGTGCAGCGCGAGGCATGTCCCAGGGAAACACAACCATATCAGTGATGCTTTGTCTCGATTACAGATAGCCAGATTCAGACGCCTAGCTCCTCAAGCCTGTCGCCACCCAACTGCGTGTCCTCCTATGGAAGAATTGATGTTTCCGAGAACACTACCAACTACAGCATGGCAGACAACGAGTTAGACAACCTGTGGGCATCAGCAGTCTCCCATCGTACATATGAAGTCTACCAAGCAGGGTTCAAGGCCTATGCCCTCTTCATCGCAACATGTAGCAGTATATGGAGTTCATCACTTCCTCCCATATCGGAAGAATTGCTACTCAGATTCGTGGCACACTGTCATAAACATCAAAACCTCAGGTATGCAACAATAAAGACATACCTATGCGGTGTGAGGTTTATGTATCTCAAAGCGGGAGTGCCGAACCCTTGGACTCTGGGCAACCTGACAAGGCTGCATACCATAGTAGGTGCTGTGAAGAGACAGCAAGGCTGTGCAGTATATGTTCGGTTGCCCATAACAAGCTCTATACTTACCAAGTTGTGTCACCTTTTAGACCAAGGTGTCTTCACCTCCTCACTCAATATTATGCTGAAAGCAGTGTGTTGCCTGGCCTTTTTCGCATTCCTCAGATGCGGGGAATTTACGTGTGATAGATTCAGCCCGCATGTCAATTTGTGTTTCAATTCAGTGGTGTTTGCCAGCGATTTGTCATCCCTTATACTCACCTTACAATCTTCGAAAACTGATCCATTTCGCAAAGGTGTGAACATTGTGCTGCATCGGATGAATACTGCCATCTGTCCAGTACACAATATGCTGACCTACATGTATCACAGGAAACAATCTGGAACTTCCCCTCATGACCCTTTGTTTGTGTCACCCAGTGGTAGTGCCTTATCCAGGAAGTTCTTTATTCAGTGCCTCAAAACCTTATTAAGTATGGCTGGATACGATGACAAAGCCTACAACGGACATTCATTCAGAATAGGAGCAGCAACATCAGCTGCAAGTAAAGGCGTGCCCGATCACATGATTCAGACATTGGGTAGATGGACCTCAACGTGTTACACTCGTTATATCAGGACGTCCCAAGTCTCCATACGTGAAGCTCAGATAGCGATGGCACAGAAGTGACCAGCTTCAATAGGATTAAACAAAACTGGAACTCTGTAACTTTTTATCATGTTCTCTTGTTTATGTCTTACGGCCTAATTACTTTTGGGGATTCTCATCAACTCAATTTCACAATTATCATTAATAATAATATGGGCAATCTATCCGCTCTATCAGAGGGCAATTCAGGCGGATACTATTCCCCCTGCAAGTAATTTAACATTCATCTCTTTTTTGTTTTTTCATCATTCGTCTACTCTGCCAGGTACTCCTGGCGCTCGGGAGCAAGTCTTGGGGTGCGCGACTCCTACTTGTATTACTTGGCAGAGGTACAGCCCGCCGATCGGGTATATTTCTTCACCGTCCATTGTTCGTATACTCAGCCAAGTCTCAGTACGCTCAAACAGTATGGAGTGCGCTACTCCGATATTAGAGACTTGGCTGAAGTTAGTCTTCCATGTACTATGTTTATGTGTCATGTATATATGTATATACCGAGAATCCCCATATGCCAAAAATTTAATAAATGTTGTTCTTTTATATGTTGTCGTGTTGTTATTGACATTATAAATTATTACTTAGATATTGAGTTGAGTTTATAATGGCAATAGCAAGGGTTACGTCATCGAATGTTATGCATTACATGCACCATACCATATGATATTTTTCTATAATTTTTATTGCCCATTACGAATGTTTAATTCAATAAGCTAACCTGTGCTATACAGATGTGACTGTTAGTCATCAGGTAATATACTCCAATGGGTGTTTATTTGTAGTTAAGTCGGCTTGGGAACCCGAGCAATTCACAATCATATTCCGTTTCTCTCACACGCCCAACTTAATCATGCCTAGCGCATGCGCAGTCAGCTGTCAGCAATTCCTTTGTTCAGCTCACAACACATGGTTCAATCAAGCGCGTTTCCTAATGGTCGGATCTTGACTGAACCCACCACCTCCCTCACCACCACCTTAGTGTATTTCTGCAATATAAGCTGAATCCGGGATTCTCATCAATTCAATTTCACAATTATCATTAATAATAATATGGGCAATCTATCCGCTCTATCAGAGGGCAATTCAGGCGGATACTATTCCCCCTGCAAGTAATTTAACATTCATCTCTTTTTTGTTTTTTCATCATTCGTCTACTCTGCCAGGTACTCCTGGCGCTCGGGAGCAAGTCTTGGGGTGCGCGACTCCTACTTGTATTACTTGGCAGAGGTACAGCCCGCCGATCGGGTATATTTCTTCACCGTCCATTGTTCGTATACTCAGCCAAGTCTCAGTACGCTCAAACAGTATGGAGTGCGCTACTCCGATATTAGAGACTTGGCTGAAGTTAGTCTTCCATGTACTATGTTTATGTGTCATGTATATATGTATATACCGAGAATCCCCATATGCCAAAAATTTAATAAATGTTGTTCTTTTATATGTTGTCGTGTTGTTATTGACATTATAAATGCAATCTAATTGCACAGTCAGTTTCATTTTCATCACATTTTGCAGCTGAAAATATAAGGAAAATAAATTTCTCAAATCTTTGACCTGGGTTAAATCGTTATGCCTCTCTGTGACGTGAAGTTTTACGCCTAACAAGTTGTCTATTATTATCAACATTTAGTCCACTTGGATACGCCAAGGTGTCTGGAGTGACCACCACTGACCTGTCTACTGGCCTCCAGCTTGATGTCCAGCCCACTGTTGTGGATGAGGGTCAGGATGGACAGGATAGCATTGTAAGTCTGACTGGTTTCTGAAACAAGGGAACACAGCAAGTGATAGGGTCTGAAAGGGCATTAAGCAGCTCCATCACGTTTGAAATCATCGTAATGTGTTTTGCGCTTAGCTTCTAAAAATGCTTGAAACTTCTGCCCATCCAGATTTAATTATTTCATATTTATAACGTTTGTGAGTGCATGTTGTTTAACATCCCACTCAGTAATAATATGTTGTCATGTAAATAATCCAGTCTAGGTCACACATTGTGACTAACAATCTTTACATTTGTTGACCCTTGCCACAAGCATGATTTTCGGCAGACTTATTCTGCTCCAGAAACTCAATACGGTTCACACCTGCTCAAAAAGAAGGTTGGCAAGCAGGCTCATATATCAAACACTGCCATACTAGCTACATGACACTCACCGACAAATGCCACCTGCTCCACAAATCTCCTGATCATTGGAACAGAGAGATCATAGCCCTGCATGAGAGATATCAGTCCAAGATGGCCACAGTCAGACAGACGAAGACGCTGTTTGGATTTCTCATATACTCTGTCTGACCTTAGAAGAATGTGTAAAACCTAAAAAGAAAATACATTTCTGTGATACCTATAGACAAGTACCTAAGTATGACAAGCAGCGAAGGTAAATCACTTTGATACCTTGACTCTAAAAGGCAAATCTTTTCAAAAATAGGCATTTCATTACATTTATTTCTTGGATGGATCAGAATACTTATACAACGAATGAAATGATCTCTCTACACAACACAGCAGTGCCTGGAATGGGCCATTCTCTCACTATAAATATCAATGTTTAGTAAAAGCGTAAGGAAAATATGAAACTGAAACAGCAAGGTGTTGTTTAAATACCATATGGTGGCATTCTATGGATATTGCAACTCGTACCTTGACAATTTTCTCGTAGTATATGACAGAGTAGTTCTTGTAGGTCAGCAGGACGTAAAGCATCTCCGCCATCTCGGGCTCGAACAGCAGCAGGTACAGCTGGTCATGCTTCTTCCGACTCTCAAGTAGGGATAGGAACACGTCCAGACACTCACAGATCTGCAGGCAGACCCACGTTGGAAGGTCAGTAAATACATTCACTTAGACCCGTGAAGATCCGGGGTAGAATAGGTCTTCAGCCACCCATGCTTGACATAAAAGGGGAGTTTGCTTGTCGTAAGAGGCGACTAAAGGGATTGGGTGGTCAGGCTCGCTGACATGGTTTAAGCATGTCATCGATCCCAATTGCATGGATTGATGCTCATGATATCAATCACTGGATTGTCTGGTCCAGACTTGACAATTTATACACCGCCATCATATAGCTGGAATATTGCTGAGTGTGGCGTAAAACAACAAACCAACCAACATTCAATTACAGACCAGACAAATGATCTGATAAGATCATTCTCAATTTTAAGCCAATCATCTCATGAACAGTATGAGGCTAATATTCTTTAAAAACCTGATTCACTACAGGTGTCAAATTGAAAAATGGCATGTATTCGATTACAAAAAGTCATAAGGCGGATATCAGAAAATCTTTAAACTGGAAGCTGCCTATTCATGCATCAACAATAACCTGGGTCTACAACACAATCTCAGTCATACAGCTGTGTTACTGTCACATATTACACCTGTAGCTATGGTTGATGAGGGAAACAAGGCCCTTGTGATGGAGAATTACTGAAATAGTTTAAAATATTTCCGTGGAACATCAAACAAACAGCTTTAGTGATCAGCCAAGACATCAACAAGGACAGTGAACAAACCAGGTTTTCCTCTCTGACCACAGTAAGGAAGCTGATCATCTGTGCCAACTCCTCCACGGTGATGTCCTTGATGATGTAGAACTTGATGAGGTTAAAGAGGGACACCCTGATGGTCTTGCTGTCCTCCTCAGACAGACCACTGGTCAGACTGGAGCTGGAAGGGGGACAAACTCATGTAGCCTGTGTGGACAGGACAGTTTAGTACACAGTTTGGTTTGGCTTCTGTCAATCTTAAAAGTAATTTGTGAAGATGTTAGTTGACAGTGAATGTATTTCCCACTCACTGCTTCCCTACTGACGGACACCCCGCGATCTGAGAGCTTTGTCGAAGAACTGAATCTGAATGAAGCCTCAGGAGTAAGTAGATCTTGCTTGATGCCGGAGTCACAAATATTCCAGCCATAGCGTGGCCTGTAAATATTCAAATCTGGGCAGGGCAAACAAGTGGTTGACAGTACGAGCAAGAAACAACTGGACAAACATAACACATAGCCTAATCAGCCAGGTTAGCTCCCATGACAAGGGGTACAGGGGACCTGCCCCTGGATCCAACAGAGGTCCTCAGGAGAGGATAATTCTATCTGACACTGCCTGTCTGACAACATCTATCTAACTGCTTCTCTGGCACTGCCTGTCTGAAACCAACTGTCTGACACCGCCTGATGGACATTGCCTTTCTGACACTGCCTGTCTGACACCGCCTGTCTGAAACCAACTGTCTGACACCGCCTGTCTGACACTGCCTGTCTTACACTGACTGATACTGCCTGTCTTACACTGCCTGACACCGCCTGTCTGACACAGACTGATACCGCCTGTTTGACACTGACTGACACCACCTGTCTGACACTGACTGATACTGCCTGTCTTACACTGCCTGTCTTACACTGCCTGGCACCGCCTGTCTGACACTGACTGTCTGACACAGACTGATACCACCTGTCTGACACTGCCTGACACCACCTGTCTTACACTGACTGATACTGCCTGTCTTACACTGACTGACACCACCTGTCTGACACTGACTGACACCACCTGTCTTACACTGACTGACACTGCCTGTCTGACATTGACTGACACCACCTGTCTGACACTGTCTGACACTGACTGACACTGCCTGTCTGACATTGACTGACACCACCTGTCTTACACTGACTGTCTTACACTGACTGACACCACCTGTCTGACACTGACTGACACCACCTGTCTGACACTGCCTGTCTGACACTGACTGACACCACCTGTCTGACACTGACTGACACTGACTGTCTGACACTGACTGACACCACCTGTCTTACACTGACTGACACCACCTGTCTTACACTGACTGATACTGCCTGTCTTACACTGACTGACACCACCTGCCTGACACTGACTGACACTGCCTGTCTGACACTGACTGACACCACCTGTCTGACACTGACTGACACCACCTGTCTTACACTGACTGACACCACCTGTCTTACACTGACTGACACCGCCTGTCTTACACTGACTGACACCACCTGTCTGACACTGACTGACACCACCTGTCTTACACTGACTGACACCACCTGTTTTACACTGACTGACACCACCTGTCTGACACTGACTGACACCACCTGTCTTACACTGACTGACACCACCTGTCTTACACTGACTGACACCACCTGTCTGACACTGACTGACACCGCCTGTCTTACACTGACTGACACCACCTGTCTTACACTGACTGACACCACCTGTCTTACACTGCCTGTCTGACACTGCCTGTCTTACACTGCCTGACTCCGCCTGTCTGACACTGCCTGATACCGCCTGTCTGACACTGACTGACTGACACCACCTGTCTGACACTGACTGTCTGACACCGCCTGTCTGACACTAACCGTCTGACACCGCCTGTCTGAGACTGACACCGACTGTCTGACCCTGACTGACACCAGCTGTCTGACACCGCCTGTCTGAGACTGATACCACCTGTCTGACACCGACTGTCTGACCCTGACTGACACTGCCTGTCTGACACCGCCTGTCTGACACTGCCTGTCTGACCCTGACTGACACTGCCTGTCTGACCCTGACTGACACTGCCTGTCTGACACCGCCTGTCTGACACCGACTGTCTGACACCGACTGTCTGACCCTGACTGACACTGCCTGTCTGACACCTCCTGTCTGATACCGCCTGTCTGACACCGCCTGTCTGACACTGACTGACACTGCCTGTCTGACCCTGACTGACACTGCCTGTCTGACCCTGACTGACACTGCCTGTCTGACACCGCCTGTCTGAGCCTGATACCGCCTGTCTGAGACTGATACCGCCTGTCTGACACCGACTGTCTGATACCGCCTGTCTGACACTGACTTTCTGACACTGCCTGTCTGACACCGCCTGTCTGACACTGACTTTCTGACACTGACTGAGACTGCCTGTCTGACACCACCTGTCTCACCTGTAGTATGTTCTGATGATGTCCAGGATGTACTGCACTCCATACTTCTTCCTGAAGTACTTGCGGTCATCCTTGATGATGGTGGACAGGTACTGAATGTGACCTGTACATATGACAAAGATATATTCATGTTCTCAGGGTGTGCTCACATTAACAAGACACAGTTATCGAAATTATATACTGACTCATGAGTATCACATTATGTAAAAGAACAACCTCAAAACATTATTGCCCAAGAGTGAGAACCAATTGTTTTAATGCCTGGTAGCATCAAAATTTATTTCATCTTTGCATAATAGCTAAGGGCTCTAAATGTACCTCATTCTTACGCATACTGCCACATATTACTAGCATAGTCATATCTTAGTCACTGACTTTGGATCTTTCATATCATTTAATAGCAAAATGTCATTCAAACGAAACATACAAAGTACTTTGAAGGTTTAATAAAAATGACATAAGTGTAACGAGACAATGGAACAAACATACATTATTGTGTACGGTCATTTGTTTGTAATTATCTAAACATTTATTTGCCTCCTCACCTATCCTGACTGGGAAGTCACTGTTGCTCCACACACGGAAGTCGAACAACACAAACTGGTAGAGATGCTGCAGCAGAGTCTTGTTGAATGAGGCACAGGACTCCACTAGGAGCTGGACAGCCATCAGGACATTCACATCCACCAGCTTCTGGTCCACCTGGCAGAATACAACACAGACCATAATAACACAACCTAGGTTCCCATAATAGATCCTGGACTGCCGTAATGCACCAAGACCGTCACAACACAACCCAGCTAACATAGCACAATCCACGTAATAACACAACCAAGACTGTCACAACACAACCCAGCTAACATAGCATAATCCATGTCATAACACAACCCAGACCGTCACAACACAACCCAGCTAACATAGCCAAATCCACGTCATAACACAACCCAGAGAGTCATAACACAACCAAGACTTTCATTACACAACTCAGACCATCATAACACAACCCAGATTGTCAATGTCATAATCAAGACTTTCCGACACAACCACAAACCCATACAGATTCTGGACTGCCATTACGCAGCCCAGAATGTCACAACCTGACCCAACTGACATTCCACAAGCCACGCTGTCATAACACAACCCTGACTATCACAGTCTACTATATGTGATAAATATACCAACAGCTTCCTCTTTGAGGATCTTTTCAAATCCTTTGAGGGTCTATCTGTGCTGTGTGAGGATAATGTAGTCTTCATCTCAGACTGGTCTTCACAAAAAAGTGTCCATCCAATGACAACTAACCTTCTGCAGCAGCGCTCCCACAGTGGCTGCTCCGTGGGTCCTGATGAAGGTGTCCTGGTTCATCATCTTCGTCTGGAGCATGTTCCGCAGCAGGTTCAGGAAGGCAGCAACCTGGTTCTGCTCCAGCTTTGTGTCTGATAACAGACCGGTGAAGCAATGAGACTCTATTACCTTGATGTACAACTTAGGATGACGTAGGTTTATAGTCCCAGAGGTATTTACATTGTGAAGATTGGACACTTCCTATCCCTAGGACTTTTAATTTACACATTTTAGGTGTTTATTCATACTGAAAACCTGCACCAAATCATCTTAAAATCAACCACATGTGGTACTTGATTAACCCTTATAAAAGGTTGATTCAAGGTGTGTCTAAGATTGACCACAGGTATAAAATACAAATGTCATGGATGGACTAATGGACAAAGTATGTACATGTATGTGGAAAACTCATTGGCATCACAAAATGAAACAAACTTTTCCTCAAAAGCATTACCAGCATAAGAGCTACTGGGCACAATGACCCAGTCATCAGTTTCTTCAGACACTGAGCTATCTGGGGAGATGGTGTCCGTGCTGTCCTGGCGGGACGGAGACGACTTGTCCACCTGCTCCAACAGTGGGAAGAGGACCTGGATGCCTCCTATACAGTTGATCACATCCTGTGCACAGAAAATCATGATGTACTTTGAGTTTATTCTCAGCAGCCATTGTGACTGATTGGTCCACAGTTAAGTCCAGTGACACCACTCTTCCCAAAGCAAGGATACTGGGACTAGTGGCGTAATGATTCACTGAGGATTTGATGCATCGCATCCCGATATTCTGCCACAATATAAATGACTGACTTAAAACTTTATGTTGCTTGGCAATATCTCGTAGCAACTCCATGCTATAAGCATCGAATCATGTGGTGGTGAAGGACTCACTGAGAACCTCCTCTGCCCTAGAGAGGTCAGATGCTGGCTACTGAGAAGCTTGATCCATGTTTGTTTACCACATGCATTCCCTGTCACTTTATACAAGGGCTGGTAATCTCAAACTGACAATTACCTTGATGTCCCATGTGATGCATCTCTGTCCGGTGAATTGGCCATGATTTTGATACGGTGACAAATCAACGCACACATTTTCTTTGCATGCCTACAATGAGATGACATCATAAAATTAATGAAACATATTTCACTCTCCATAAAGTTACATCAATACTGATTTTTTTACCATGTTTACTTGGTTGATAGTTTTATAACGATTTTACTCAGTTTTGGAGAACATCTGATTAACAACTACGTCCTTAAAGTATCCTTACCTTCCCATTATAGTGAACAACAAGCTTTGTGAGGAGGTCTGAAACTTCCGGGTCCTCACTGAAGATATTCATGTGATTTGGTCCTACAAAAAACAGAAACATAGTATTAAATTTGTGAATCAACAACATAACATTGAAAGTTGACAATAATAGAAAAATCTAGATACTTGTTATATTTGTACACTTATCCTGCATTACCATGATTACTCCTTAATGCATCGACTGCTTGTTCTTGACAGAAAGAAGACCTGTGTGAGGTATTGCTGAAGAAGAAGTTGTTCCAACTGGTTGTGTTCTTAATGGCATCACGAATCATCACATTACTGCTGTCATTCAGAGAGAACAGTCACCTGTTTTGAGCTCTCAGCTTTATCCATTGCAATCCTTTGCGTGTTATAACAACACTTGTTTCATGTGAATTATATCCTTCCTATGGTTTGTGTCGTCATATATTACATAGGATTGTTACCATTGCATTAATATTTAATGCTTGATCTCACAGGGAAAGTGTCCCAAACCAGGCTCAGGGTGAACCATGCAATAGGTAAAATTAATACAGGCTCAACATCCTTTCTAAGAGGCAAACCACTAATAATATCAGAGAGGTGAAGTGGAGTTCCATCAGTGTATCAAAACAAAATGATCCTGTCCAAACTTTTTTTAATCTGAAAGGTCTTTCCAAAGTAGTTCACAACCATTATCACACCAGTGTTATCAACATGTAACCCTAACATGACAATCCATGTTCTCATGACCTTCCCAAACTCACAGTTTTACACAACCATGAACATGTCATATTTCTTCCCGGGATACCTTCCCTGAAACTAAATTATACAAGAGAGGTACCAATCATTAATGTTTACAGCACATAATGGAATAAGAATTCTTTGATCTGAAAATCTTCAATGCCCTTTACCTTGAGAAAACAAAGTTCGAACTTGTCCTGGTTGCAGGGCATCATGGAACACACAGATGGATCCGATCTGTCCGTGGATGGAGATGGGAGGTCCCAGCACCTCGTCCTGCTTGCCCCCAGGAATGCTGTCAATGCCAGGCTGATGCGAGCTGGACCGTGTGGCACTTTGGAAGAGGGACTTGAGTGCCGACTGCTTCTTGTGATCTCCAGAGTGTCCATCTGCCTGCGACATGTCCATGAGGATGTCCATGGCACTCCGCAGTCCCGGGGATCCGATACGAGAGTAGTTGAAAGACTGGGAGGGATATCATACAACTGTACAATCAGTGGGATCTTCCACTAGTACTATTGCTCTAAAACTATGATCACTACATACACCTCTAAGAATTACTCCACCATGACATTTTAGAATACTGCATTCTGATTTGTCCGCCAGTGGTATCCAATCTACGTTAAAAATGATTTGGATGATGACTTCATTACCACAAAAGAAAAAAATTATTCAGAAGCAGAAGCATTTTAAATTCTGATGTTTCTTCATTAAATTTCTCAAAGAACCTGTTGTGGTCGTACATTGTTTACAGCAAGTATGGCAACATGTTAAAGGCAGAAAATTTGAGAAACAAATACTTAGAGAGTACATTCAGGGTATGAAACTCCCAAAAATTTCAGCCAGACCACAGGACTGGCTGGCTGAAATACTTGCCAGCCCTGACCAAAACCTGCCTGCCCACTATAATCATATGTTTCTCAGGATAAGCTAACGGGATTTCTTTTTGGTTACATTTTATCATTCATCTTTACATGTGAATTGATGATTATCATCGGGAAATATTTAGAATATTGTCACATATGAAAAATAACCCGACCGTCGGGCAGGGGGGATTTGAAAATCTGGCAGCCCGAGTTGAAATCAACCCGTCTCGGACGGTCGGGCAGGCAGGTATTTCGAACACTGGTACATTGTAAAATTCTGTAACATCAACATGGCCTGACTTTAGTTGCTGCTCTATCACATATTGTGATGTCATGTCTACCACATCTGATTGCTTAGACTGCAGAACACTATGATGTCATAACAGTGGTGTCTACTCCAGAACAAAACATTACAGGGGTCGCTTCAATTTCTCTCAGGCTGTCAGTTTGAGTAATGCTCACAGATTATCTGTCTATGTGATTTTATTGTCTCAATGAAATGGTTCAAGTAGTATGGTGAAAATATATAACAAACATTTATGCGATTAAAATCAATCTTCACTGATCCCTGAATTTGTCCTTACAACCTACTTAAATTTGGAGTGTGTGTTTCAGTTTAGAGCTTTTGAAAGTAGATTTGATACCTGTAAATTTTTAAAACTTCAAGCTATTGTGTTTGATTTCAAATCAAGTTTACAGGTATCGAATTTACATTCAAAGTCTCTATATTGAAAACACAATAGGGTTTATCTCCTACTGACTGATATTTAGTAACTTGGTGATATGTTTTGGGAAATTGGTTTATAGGTCCTTCGACCCAAAGATAAATAAAAGTAGAAAAAAGTTTGCCTATACTTACCTCCGAGAGGCTTGGAAACTTGAGTTGTGTGCTGAGCTTCTGTTTGCCATCTATATACACTGTAAGCTGACTTTGAGTAAACGGCCGCCGTGAGCTGGTGTGCACGATGTCCACACAATGCTGGAAAGCGTAAGTTAGAATGATATGTCTTGTATAAAACTATAGAGTGCTAATACACAGCACTGTTATACCTGAGTGAGTTATCTCTTTGAGTGAGTGAGTGAGTGAGTTGGGTTTAACGCCGCTTTTAACAGTATTCAAGTTATATCGCGGCGTGTCAGCTTAATGTGGGAGGAAAGCCCGAAGTGATGCAGGTCTCAGACGTTTACCACTTCGGTGAATCCCACGAGCACGGGTATGGTGCTGACAAACCTAGAAACATAATCGGGGCGAACCGGGATTCGAACCCACAATCATAGGTTTCTGGCGTGCCAAAGGGACGCAACTCTGCACAGCGAATCGCGGCACCTTAGACGACTGGGCCACCCGTGCCCCCTTATCTCTTTGAAAGGTGTTCAGTTATAACATACCATGCCTGTTTAGTTATGGAGGAAAGCCTTAAGCTTCCACTTTGGAGAAGCCCATGACCATGGGTAAGATGCTATAAACTATTTTTATCTTACTGCCATGTCAGAATGATGAGATCTGATTGGTTCACATGATCTTGATAAAATACTATGTATTTCACCTGGGAGGGAAAATTATTTCTGAGCAGGAGAATGTATCCCTTATACCCTGCTTCAAAGCAAAAAGCCACATGCTTTTTAAAAGTCAATGAAAGCTAAGTGACAGCACATGTTAACCTCAGCTCAATCAAACAGCTTCTTTCTATCAATTTTGAATTTGTTTCAATTTTTTTACAGTGGCAGCTAGAAACATGTGGGCTCATAGTACAAAACATAACGCGGGACACATACAACCACACATACCCCTGGTGATACTGCTACAACTCATGACCATCTGGGATAAGAAATTAACATCCAGTGGACCCTGGCATCTAAGGAGAGGGGGATTTGAACCACAGACCTGATCCAGAGTCAGCTTGTCCACATGACAACAAGGTTAACCCTGTCAGCATGGACGCAATGCTGAGAGTGAGTTAAAATGTCATGTCACAATCGCAACATTCATAACCAAGGCAACACAGATTATTGCAATTTTGTAGAATTTTCCTATTCGGAATATTCTATAAGTAATACGTTACCACTGTTATACCGAGGCTGTTGTCTCCCACAACTGCTGCTATAGCAAAATCTACCACAGAGATCTCAATTACCTCATGCAGCACGTGCGTAGCCACCTAGCTGCCATGTGACACCCTTCACTCTTGTCTCCTGCGAGAGCAAGTGCTCGGGGGACGGACGGGCGGGCAGCAGCCCAGTGGTAACGTATTACTTATAGAATATTCCGAATAGGAAAATTCTACAAATTACATTAAGTAATACGTTACCACTGTTATACCGAGGCTGACTACCACAGTAGGCGGTGGGGAGCACCTACAACCCGAATCCTGACTGCTAGCGTTCCTTCCGACCAGCGGAAGTAAACACCAAGGCGGAAGCACTCGATGCGCATGCACCTAGCTAGGCGTTACCCTATAGGAATACCAAAGCACTGTCAAGCGCATACCGTAAGGCTCAATCGTCAATGCCAAAACGATTGGTGACTCCAAACGGCCCCACTGGATAGGTATTTCATCGCCGCAGCGGATGAGAACACTGTATCCGCGTGAGCTAAATCTTAGATCAGGTTAAACAGTCGAAAAGAGGGAAATTAATTTCCTTCAGACCGTATATCCCAGAGCAAGCCTACTTAAAGTATGCATTAGGCGCGTGACCTAATTCCAGTATTCGTAAGCATGTATCGCAAGGTTGGAATACACGACAGACAATTAAATGCATAATTGTCAAAATACAAATAAGGACAAAACACACAAAAAGCTGCCTCACCTGTGGTGTGAGTGCGCTGGTTTGCAGGACCCCCACTCCTGTACCCACGGCGTGGGAACATTGGAGACGACCCAGATTGACCACCGTGCAAGGACTGACGACTGCGGAGTTTGGAATTGCGCTGGACACACCCCCTAGATGACCGCTTGTGCCGCGATCAGCGGCCCAAGACAGTGCACCCCCTCCACGTCTTCATCAGAAACCTTTCTGAGGTAATGATTGGCAAAAACCGAGTCAGAACGCCAGTAACAACCTCGTAATATTCTGTGAACAGAGATATTCGAGTGTAGGGCAAATGTTGCCGCTAGCGCCCTGATCTCGTGCGGGTTTGACCCCGCTACCGGTAACCCCCGAGACCGGTACGCCAGATTGATGACAGAACGAAGCCACAACGCAATCGAGTTGCGAGTTATGTCAACCGTGCGATTAGGGTTACACGATATGAACAGACGGTCACGCCCTTGTCTACGTTCATTCGAAGCCTTAAGATAATACTTAAGGGCCCTAACCGGACACAGCGCTCTGTCCTCAGTATCAGCAGGATGTAAGATTTCTTTGAGGGATCTTACAGTGAATTCTCTCTCCGTTTGCCCGACTCTCTGATTCTTGGCGACGAAGCCCATGAGCAGGCCCAGGCGGACCGCTCCTTCGTCACCCCTATCGAATCGTACCTTGGCGACATCGAGTGCATGAATTTCGGATACACGTGCCGCCGTGGCAAAGGAGAGGAGAAATGCTGTTTTCCAAGTCACATGCCGGAACGAAGCACTATGCAAGGGTTCATACGGAGCTTCCGTGAGTGATTGCAACACTAGGGAAAGATCCCAGGCCGGTGCCCGAAGGCGGCCCTTCTTAAGATCGTGCTGTTTGAAACCCTTGATAATACCCCGTATCACCGGCTCTTTGGAGAGACTGGTACCCATAGCAACGTCCCGTACCGTAGCAACGGACGAGACATAGTTGGCAATGGAACCCCCGGAGAGTTTCCGGGTCTCTCGCAAGTGAGACATGAAACGAGCAATATCCTGCACAGATACCTTATCTGGCGAATGAATGTGATGTTTACAACACCACTTCGTGAAAATAACCCAACGTGCATTATACACCTTCTGGGTAGAATCACGATGCATACTAACGTATGCCCGAGACGCCCGGCGAGAAAAACCTTTACTCCTCAGACGCTCGGTGACAACATCCACGCGTGCAGATTGAACTGCCCTGCGTTTGGATGAAGCTGACGGGTGTGAGGGTGGATCAAGAGATCCGGTCTCACAGGCAGTGGGAGTGGCGACTGCGTGACCTGGGTCAGCAAGTCGGGGTACCACGATCTGTTCGGCCACATGGGCGCGATCAGTAACATTCGACAGCGAACTCCTCGAAGCCGGCTTAGAATGTGTGGTATCAACGCTGTCGGCGGGTAAGCATAAGCGTCCAAGCCCGTCCAGTTTAAAGCGAGAGCATCGTGATCGATGGCCCTCGGGTCCGGGACTGGTGATACAAACAACGGGAGTTGATTGTTGAACCGTGTTGCGAACAGGTCGACCATCGGACGACCCAAACGTTCGCACAGCCACTGAAACACCACTGGGTTCAGCATCCACTCTGTGGGGCTCGGATCCTGAGGCCTCGATAGAGCATCGGCCAGTACGTTCCGCACACCTGGGATGTGACGGGCGCGTATCTGGCACGGGACACTGTCCACCAGAGCGTAAAACTCGAACGTGAGATCGAGTAGCGAGTGACTGTGGGTTCCCCCCAGTTTGTTCACATAGGACACTACCGTCGTGTTGTCGGTCGCCAGCATGAGCCGGGCGTCGACGAGACGATGCTTCCAGTGATTGACTGCGTTGATCACTGCCTTGAACTCGAGACAATTGATGTGAAGACCTAGTTCGTCTACGCACCACAGCCCCGAGCTCACCTCCCCCTCTAGATGGGCGCCCCAGCCCACTAGAGAGGCGTCTGTATACAGGTTCAACGTGGCCCGGTAGGGCCGCATAGAGACTCCTGATAAGACATTGTAAGGGAGCGTCCACCACTCCAGATGCGGTCGGAGCCGATCCGGGAGGGCGACGGTCGCACTGTTCACCTCCGTTGCTAACAACTGGATTAAAAACCGTTGCAGCGGGCGGAGTTGGAGACGACCCCGTTCGGTGCAGTCCTGGGCTGATACAAGTAGCCCTAACAGCTGTTCCCAAAAGTGAACAGTCTGTTGCACCGCTAAGACTTTGGCAATCATCGCCTGAATTTTGTGCCACCGGTCTGGGGGGACAAATAGGCGATGGGACACCGTGTTGAACCGACCTCCGATGAACTGCAAGTTCTGAGAAGGGGTTAACTCGCTCTTGGGGAGATTGACAATCCACCCCAATTGCTCCAAGAGCCGACGTGCGAAAACGAGATGGCGTGACAGGGTGTCCGACATTCGATTTGCTACTAGCGAGTCGTCCAGGTACGCGAAGTACCGGACACCCCTCCGGTGGAGGAACCCCACTATGGGGGTGGTTAACCGGGTGAACAGCCAGGGAGCGGATGAAAGACCGAATGGGAGTACAACCCACTCGTAGTGCCTGCCTTGAAAGACAAACCTGAGATACTTCTGATGATCCGAGTGAATCGGAACATGCAGATAAGCATCCTTCAGGTCGATCGAAGCTAGCCAGTCGGCCGGCATGATCAGTGCTTTCAGGTCCGTCAAGCTCAACATTCTGAACTTGGGCGGATTGCGCAGGTAGAACTCGTTGAACGATTTCAAGTTGTGAATCATTCTGAGTTCGGCACTGTCCTTCTTGGGAACGAGAAATATCCTGGAGTAAAACCCCGGTGTTATTTCTGGTAGAGCTAACTCCCGAACTGCCCTCTTCTCCACCAACCTGCCGATGGCATCGGCGAGGAAGGGAAGATCGGTTTCCGAATAGAAACCTGCCGACGGGGCAACGGTGAGCGGCGGATTCGCTATGAGATCGAGCCGATAGCCGTACCGAATCGTGTTGACCACCCACGGGTCGTCGAACACTTGTTCCCAATTCTCCCAGTAAGTCTGGAGTCTGGCTCCCACTGGGGAAAGAGAGGGGGGCCGGACGGGCTGCGGCAGGCGCAACTGTCCAGGGCCAAGTGACTCGGGTTCGCCTACGGGCCAACCGAAGTTGGCGCTGTCGGCATACGAACCCCTCCAATGAGAGTCACCTGGAGGGGCCCTTGCCGTCCTTAGACGACTTGGGCTTCCCCCAGTTCCCCTTCTTCCCGCGAAAGGGCTGCTGAGAACCCTTACCGGAGCCCTCAGAGCGGGGCTTCTTCCCGGAGGAAGAAGGACCCGACCCCTTAGGCCTGCCGGACGCAGCATCCTGGGGCGCGCTCCGCTTCGGAGCGGCACCCAGGCGCCTATGCAAGGACCCCACAAGATCCAGTGTGTGCCGAGAGGCCTCGGCAGACACAGCGGCCTGTTGTTCCTTCAGAACCCCAGGGATCTTGTTATTAAACAGGGTCCGAGCAGACCAAGGCTGCGAAAGGAGCACCTCCTGATTAGCAGCGTCCAACCCTGAAGCAACCAGATACGACTGGCGCCGAAGAAAATGGCACGTGCCGGAAACAAAGGCCGAAGCCCCGGCAACGTACTCCAGGGAAGCATTCAAACCGAGCAAACAGTTGTAAATGCGCTGGTCTCGGTCCGTGGGAGAACCTTCGACCAGACTGGCCGCTGCAGCCAGGTATGTGTCTCCGTGAGACATTGCCAGCATGGAGTGTCGAGCGAGGGTGTCCAGCTGTTGCAAGGTACCTTGTGGTACCGTGGCAACCGGTGGGGCACGGACCCCCAAACGCTCCACATGGGCTTCCGCAGAAGGACCAGCCTCGGGAAAGGCAAGGTCATGTACTGGGAAAGACCCTTTTCTCCACGACGGGGGAGGTAACGGGAGACCCCGACCGGAGGCAGCCGTGAAGGCCTTCTCCAAAGAAGGCTTAATCCCGCGCAGCAAGGTTGATGCCGGGAAAGCCTTGTCGGACGTCTCGTCGTATACCTCGGAGGAACCCACGGAACCGTGGATTCCCCGCGGTATCGGCAGGGGCTTTGGCATGTCCTCGAAGAGGTCATACACCATGGCAACGCGGTCCTTAACCGATAGCGGAAGCAACGGTTCGGGGGAAGGACCGGTAACCACGGCAGCCGCCGCCGTACCGGTGGACCCCGCGTCCGAACCCGCGGCCACCGAAGAGGCCGGGGACGGAACAGCCAGCGGCCTATCTTGCGATAAGGCCGCCAGCTTGGAGTCCACAAGTTTCGACAATAATGCGGCGACGGAAGCCCCAGACAGCCCGAGGGCCGCAAGGGGATCCGCCGCAGCCGAGGAGGTGGTACCCGCACGGGGACCCCGACCGGACGAACCGGCCACCACAGGGGTGGAGACGGACTGTACGTACAGCCGGTACCGCTCAAACTCCGCAGGCCCCAGACCTTCGCACAGGGTACACCGGGTGTCCCCGCAAGGAACCCTGCACCGCGGGCAACGATCGTGGGGATCCCGGGATGACAAAAACTTTCTGCACACCCCACAACTCCGAGGAGCAGGGGTAGAGGGGGTGGATACTGGGGACATATCCATGTCAGACATTGTTTGCTATAAACAAAGAACAAAACATGGTTACAACGCACGCACCACAACGATTCACAAACGAGCATTTTCACAAGAAAATAAACGAGCAATGTGAACATATAACATACACATATAACTTTTATTAAAGAAATAAGTTATGTTAACCCCCAAAACATACAAGAACAGGGGAAACGTAAAACACAACGTGCATACGCGAACCCCGCAAGTATAGAGAAAAAAGGGCGGGAAAAATTTTCCGTTTGGCGGGAAAATTATAACCAAGCGTAGCTACCGCAACGCCCCATAAAAGCACAGTTTATTAGAGAATAAACTATAATAAATATCACCAAATCTTCCAGGAACGCTGCAGCAGGAGAAAACATGTCTTGCTAAGCAGACGAAGGAGACAAGAGTGAAGGGTGTCACATGGCAGCTAGGTGGCTACGCACGTGCTGCATGAGGTAATTGAGATCTCTGTGGTAGATTTTGCTATAGCAGCAGTTGTGGGAGACAACAGCCTCGGTATAACAGTGGTAACGTATTACTTAATGTAATTGATTAGTTTTAGATCTAGACTGAACTGTTAGCTGTAAGCTTCGTCTCTTTGCCTAGGTGCCAACAGCACTATATTTCTGATTTAGCATCACTTTATTAAGTCATGGCTCAGAACGTAACTTCTGTGTCAAGTTTGACCTACCCACTGTCCGTCTCTGAGAGGACATTCTGGGACGAGAACGCTGCTGTACTCCTTCTTGTTGTACACTGCCACCACCAGGACTCCGTCCGGCGTGAAGAACGCCTCAAACCCGTTACCTCCGGTGCTGGGGAAACTACAGGGAGGAACAGATGCTGATGTCATGATGCTTGCTGGTAGAGGTAGTAAGTTATATATAGGTTCTCAGTATTCCTATTGTCTTACAAAACAAAACAGTGTGTAGCACAGTCACAGCTCTATAAATGGATGCCAGTTCTTACTTGTAGAGTTGTCTGCGGTAGATGTGCCTGTCGGGGAGGTTGTGATGAGTGACGTCAAACTCCACGTCTAGACAAAGCCATGCATGTACAGCATACCCTGAACCTGGCCATTTCCGCAACCCCGGGAGGGAGATACCCTAGAAGACATTAATAATTTTTACCTTAAAGACAAAATAAAACTAATATGGCGGAAAAAAAGAGTATCGGTTCTTAGGCACCGTCGTCATCACAAAATCCAGTGAAAAAGCTACAATACTTAAAAACAACGGAATTCAGTATAGTGTGCAGTTACTTCTCTTTACATGCACACTGCTTTACAGCGCATCTCATGTTATGGTCATGGCGGCAATAGGAGTTTGTGCGCTTCTTTTGATTTACAAATTCAATTGTATTTGTGTACTATATGTTGGACAATGTTTCATACGCATAGATTCAGATTACATGTTTATTTGTCTCCCAGATCTATGGGTGATTTAGTTTAAAACATACTAAATGACATGGCCAATGTCATAACTGAAAAAAAAATTCAATACAGTGATAGGAAGCCCAAAGACTTTGTATCTCTAACGACTAGTGTTCGATTCAAGGCGAGTTCATGGTGAGTTGATGTGATTTGCAGATCAGTTCATACACTATTTGGCCGAAACTAATGAAACCAAAATTGAATGAAATCTTGGATAAAAGTTAAATATATTGGATTACAAAATTTATGTAAGTCCTGATACACAATGAACACTTTTATAGCCAAATAGTGTAATAATAAGACTAACTTGCATACTTCAGTATGGATTTGTTGACATCTAGTGTTGTGTGCTCACGATAACGTCTTAGTGTTGTGAAATAAAATCGAAATTCATCGTATGTGTGTATTATGCACACAATGGTAGTCCAATGGAAGTCAAATACTGTAGTCCAGTATTTACTCATCAAGGAATACATTGATGTAGGAAGGACCTTTCCCAGGTTGATGCAACTGTTTTGGGGTTACATGCTAGTTTGAACAACAAAATAAATGCCGCCTGCCCACACTATATATTTTCAAAAGCCATTGCCTGAGAACCAAATCTTTTATTTTTTAAAGCCTAAGAGATTATTGCAGAAATTCTAGCCAAAGCACTCACTCACAAGTCCCTGACTAGTTTGTGATGTCTGCATGTGAGACGGTGCTTTCCTTATTAGTGTTGTTTTATATAACGTAATGATGATATCAATTGTATTACTGTGAATTAAACATCAGAATAACTCTTTTATTTCACACTGGACTTGTTTTGGACAAGGCCTGTTTGTTTGACAGCAATATTCCAATTGTATCATGTTTTCTACTGAATGATGCTACTAGATATTCAGCTCACATCACCAGGCTCCTGAATGTCGAAGAAGTGCAGCGCTCCTTCCCTGCCCTCTCTCCTCGCCATGGTGGACACAGCGCGCATGAATCTTGTACAGTACGGCCTCTGGAACAGGTCATGTCAGACATAGTAACATATCAAACATGGCATATATAGACAGCTCTGCCATATAGTGACTGCATAATTAAATCAAATTATCACTGCTGTGAACAGTATCTCATTAACACCATCGCCTAGGAGGAATGCCTAAAGTGATGCAGGTCGTAAATGATCTGGAAAGTCACAATCTCATTAAAATCAGATCTTAGTCCTCGCTACCGCTAAACAAAGATCTGAGGACATCCCATTAGGAGTCACGTCAGAATGACCTTTCATCCGACCAATCAGAGCGACGCTTAACAGATCATGGAAGTGACAGTCGGAATGTGATTTCTAATCATGCAACCTCGAAAACTTTAACACGGGGTATTCCGAACAATAGTTACGGGCTTAAAGACTGAATCCATACAATGTAGACCATCTATTAGCCATTCCAGAAGGTTCTTTTGTTCAGGTTTCAATTTTTTAATAAATAATTAGTCAAAATAAGTTTCGAAGCGTGGTCGCCAATTTGAAATTAGTGGCGTAAAGCACAAGAAAGCTGCCTTCTGATTGGCTAATGTCGATTTCTTTTCAGTCATTCCATTGGTCGGTCCAAGTTCGTGTAAGGTCAGTCTGACGTGACCAGTAACGGGGTGTTCTCAGATCTTTGTTTAGCGGTAGTGAGAACTAAGATCTGATTTTAATGAGATTGTGAAAGTAACAAACATGGGTATAACCTGTGATTTTAACTCTTATCATTCTTAATATTCCATTACATCCAGCAATGACACAAAGCATTGTCTTAGATGTCTCACCTGTTTCTCCTCTTCATCCAGTCGGAGATGTCCGATGAGCTGCTTCAGCTCAGATGCTGTCACAGAGTGTGTGCCGAGAGCCTCCAGCAGCCCAATCAAGTGGCCTGTTGACAGGAACAAGTGCAATGTGGAGAAGACATTATACACTTGAAAACAAAAAAGATTGGAAAACGAAGAATGCACACCAATCCATCAATTGGGGTAATGATGTTGCAGCAGTGTGAGCATGCATCAGTGGTCATTGGTCAATGGAATCCTTGGGAATTATGTCAATATGCCTCTGGGATTAAGTCTTTGGTAGGCAATTAGAAGTTGGAAGAACATTAAGACATGAAATGATTATGGACAACAGCGTCTTTAATGTAACAAGGTATCAGGGCTACTTGTTGCCCCTTCATCATGTTCATCAGGTGAATACTGAGGATTGTACACTTTTTCCATAAATTAAACAATCCACATTAGAAACCTGCCATAGATCTATGTCCTACATTTGCACGCCCTGATCAGGGGAACCACAACGGTGTACACACAGCACATAGTGTGAACTTACCCACAGCCTTATGGTTGATCTGCCTCTCCCTGTCTAACACCATCAGGATGGTGCTGATCATGCCCTCATTGCAACAGTTCATACGATTCCTTTGTCCCGCCCCACACAGGAGCTTGAGCCGCTCTGACACCCACACCTGCAGGTCATGTGACTGAATGTCCGGCAGCCACTGGAGCAGCATCAGGGCAGCCTGTGTGTTGTGTACGATGTGTTTTTCTTTCTCGCTGAACTCGCCTTCAACAACCTGACATGTACAAGAAGAAAATGTCTTCAACTTTGGCAGCAAAACAGCACCAAGACACTGCTTGAAGAATGTTAACATTCATAACACCTGTCACCACATGTGGGAAATAAGTTTCTGTGAAGTAACTTGTCTCATATATCCAACATTTTCAACGATGGCCAAAGTTGAGTGGGGATGATGGACCTGGTGACCTAAACATAGATTCTTACATTATAGTCATACACGAGATTGGCAATCACATTAAGGACATTGTCTCTAATGGCCTAGAGTGCAATAGTTTCCTGCAATTAGCAGCATTGTTAACTTCCACTGTCATTTTCTGATTGTTTTACACATGTTATAAGTACCAAATACAACTGTAAAAAGTCATGTGCGTTATAATATTCTCATCACAACAATACAACTTCATGGAAAACTTTTACAAGGTGAATATTACATACATTTTTCAAAATCCAGAAGCAAGCTGATGACCTGATCAAACACTACATTTCCTGTTAAGTAACATAATCTTCAGAATGACCAACAAGTAGTAGTAGGACGATGCACCGATGCATTGGTGGATCACGATTTTTTAATTCTCGAAACAAGTATCGATTCTTAGATTAAATGTATTTTTTTAATAAATGTTACACCAAAAACTAATTTCTAGTGAAAATGAGTAGTGAAAACTTAAATATTTTCATCCATTGCGCCATACTGTACACTGCCAACTATAGTCCGATTGGGTGCCAGATATTTCTCAATCCTGTCTATGAAAAAGATGGCTTACGCACATGCAAGTGTTGTGATACGTATAGGATCGTGAGCAAGGTATTGTGATATGTATCGGATCACCCAGTTGGTGTATCGTCCCATCCCTACAATAAGGCAATAAATTTTATTATAATAATTAATTTCCTGTGTTTGTTAGTGAAAACATAACATGAGAAATACTTTAAAACTGAAAAGAACATAAAACTATGCCAAGTGAGTAACATTTTGACCAGGGAACAAAAATTCATGGTTCAGATTAATTCTCAATGTTCTTGATCAGAGTCTGTTGGATACTGCAAGCCTGTTGAACACAATGAGGATCACTTACCAGGTTGAGCACAGATTTCAACAGTTCCACTGAAGGCTGCCCAAGGCTCTTCAACACTTCCACAAACTTGATGTAACCAACCTTGGTTTTAAACATCAGCTGAAAAGACATCATGAAGACAAATTCTCATTTTGTTTTGTCAAAATTTGTCAAGTTAATGCATTTATAAGTCTAGTTTAAAGTTATAAAAGGCATGAGAGTAATTTTGATTTCTGGGTTCATCTATGATTGTGATCGTGGTAGCAATCAGTTCTATTTCAGTCATACACAGCAATGAATGTCAGGTTGTAGAAATGTGTAGTTTGTGCACACTCACCTTGGCATTGGAGGATCCTGAGAGGATGACCTGCATCACTCTAATGACAGACATTGCCAGCTGCTGGGCCTGGGCGCCTGTTAGCTGAAACATAAAAGCATCTTGTTCAGGATCATAATACTAGGATGAAGTAAACATCTGCTACACTTCCGAACTGGGTATACCAAGATGTCCATGTTATAAGTATGGAAGTTATGATCGTCTCAGCACCTAATCACTTTGATACTCATTCAGTCAGCTCTTACAACAAACAAAAATTCCCTGACTGAGGATCCATTCTGAAACGGACCCCCACAGAAGCTGTCATGGAGTAAGTGTTCTTGCCATTTTACTTACTGAGGTTTGTTGTAAGAGAGAGATGAAAGCATTAAAGGTCCCTCCCGACACCATGAGCACCTGTAGAGCAGCCCTGTCATTGCACACCATCATCTCATTGATGGTGTCTGAAACATGCACAGTCAACTCATCAAACTCAGAAACAGTCATCACCATCAAACAAACATTGATAGAAAAAATTATCATGAATTTTAAAGACAATATTGAGGTTAAAGTAAAATTCTAAGACATTGACTTTAAAGCTGGTGTTGGTTGAATGACTTTTCTTTTAGGGATAAGGTTGTGCATTCAAGTGTCATAAATCAATCGATTGTCTGTGAAGCCACAGGTCTTTGCCTAACCACAGGTCTTTGCCTAACAACAGGTTCCTGAAGAATAAGACATGTGTTTTACTAAAAATACTGTCCTTTCTTCCATTTTATTCCTAAAAATCCTTTCCATTTTCATGCATTTTGGTGAAGTAACCACTCAAACTGTAACAATACTTCTTGGAAAGGCGTATGAATAATCAGTTCATGCATGATGGCATCTGCTCTGTGCATGACTGACTCTCCGTCTCATGATGATACTACATGGCCAGATTTAGTCTTACTGATCATGGTGAGCTGCATGTTGTGTTCGGTCTCGGGGGCGTCTATGGCATCCTTCTGTAGAGCCAGCAGCACCTGCATGTACCCCTGCATCACCTCAATCACTTCCACTTGGCGCTGGCAATGTACAAATCACAGTCAATATTCCATGTAGCAAGTACAAACACTCTGATTATATACTTATATAAAATAGCTATGCGATAAATAGCAAAAAAAAAATGAAGAATGAGGTGTGGTTTATTTCATGATAAAACACTGTTCCATCATGATGTCTTTTCTGGAGATTCGAACATGTGCTTGCAACTTGATGAAGTCGTATACTGGATGATGTTATTTTTGAGAGGGATGTGTCTAGTGAGTTGTTCCTTATAAATTTAGCTGGGCAACGCAGATAAACGCATTGGCGGAATGATCGCATCAAAAAGTAAATTTCTAATAAATAGAGGTGCATGGTATTACCGGTTTACTGCAATGTAAAATACTAAAGAATACATATCACAATATGTTAGGAAAATACCAGTCTGTTGCATTTTTCAAAATCATGCATATCTTCATATTGTTTGAAAAGGTGACATAAGCAACAACAATGGACAAGTCAAAATAAACTTATGAAATTAGCAACTGTTACTTGTGACCCGTTTCCCGTATATAATGTGTCTACTATAGTATCAATTGTGATCCTAGCAACATCCAACAAAATACGCCATTGTATAACATGTGCAGGTGAAGTTATTTTTATACAGGTTCATGACCAAATATAGATGTAAGAACGCATGCAATATATTGTGGTATGTATCACAATACATGAATCATTATAGCAATAAATGGCCATATGAAATTCAGGCCAACACCCATCACTACTATTCACAGTGGTGTACAACAACCCTCACCAATTTAGGCTATGGAGTTATGTCCCTTTGTATATTATTTGACTTCACCAAAATTTCTCCTTTGGGAGACAATTTGTTCTCTAGAAGATCTTGCAGTGGGTTATCTGTGTTATGACACATGCCCCGTGAAGAACCGGGGTAGAATGGGTCTTCAGTAACCCATGCTTGCCGTAAAAGGCGACTATGCTTGTCGTAAAAGGAGACTAATGGGATCGGGTGGTCAGGCTTGCTGACTTGGTTGATGTATGTCATCGTATCCCAATTGCGTGGATCGATGCTCATGATCTCAATCACTGGATTGTCTTGTCCAGACTCGATTATTTACAGACCGCCGTCATATAGCTGTAATATTGCTGAGTGCGGTGTTAAACAAAAACAAACAAACAATGTTATGACACACAATCAACTAAATCAGTGAGTCTGACTATCTGATCCATATAGTTCCTCCTACAACAAGCATGCGTTGATGGGAAACTTTTCTAACCTAAGAAGATCCCAGCTTCCTGGTTGACTAACCTGGTCAGGGCTGCAGCAATGGATGGTGTGGACCATCCTCACAATGTTCTTCAATACCAGGTCCTTCAGACACAGCCTCTCCTGGCGCTGTTCATTGGTTGGACCTTCTTTCTGATTGGTGGACAGAATCTTCAGGAGAACATCTAGGGTTGCCGGGGTGATGGCCTTGAGTGCATTATGCTGCAAACATCACAACAGGTCTAAAAGCAAAACGCAGTGATATTTTTGAAAATATCAATAGGTTTTGCATAATGTATGACTATCAATGTGGTTTTACTCTCCAGAGCACAAAGAATAATGCTAGTAAAAATCATGTGTATCACCATATACATTCATTTTTTTATTATTATTATTATTATTTACAGATTAAAATAAAAAATGCAGCAAAGAGGGTTTGGGTGATCCTGGCACAGTCAGACTGGTTAGGCTTATTATTATCATTAAAACCATCATTTAACAAAATGTGTAAAACATTTCTTTTAAAAAGAATTATAACATTAACACAAATGATATCATCATCAGCCCTTACCGGAGCCCCAGACATTATGGCACCAAATACGTGTAAAAGACGTAGTTGGATATCAGTAGACAATTTCTCCTTCTGGAAACAATCTGAAAGAATGTGTTCATGTGCATTAGGGAACTGCCCCTCATAACATAACAGTCATTAATTAACTGACTCTCTCTAACATACAGAAACGTAACTTTGAGAAAGTGTAACCATAAACTTATTAGAGATCTCCTGACCTTGACCTTTGATTTCATAGCATGTGACTATAAACTTTCCAGGTACATGTGAAATAAGTCCATAATGGAATATCCTCTAATGTCAATAATCTTTGCGCCATATTCAAGATAAAGTATGTTGCACCCACATAGCATAGGTGACTTTGACCTTCAATAATAATTGACATGTGAGCTGTTTGGATTTATTAAGAAAGATGTAACTTAAAAACTTTCATGGTAGAGGTATTTTCTATCTTGTGACCTTGTCTTTGACCATTTCACACGTTTCATAACATGTGCCAAAATAATTTTCCAGGGTCATTTCACTCATTTGGACGAGGTCTTTGGAAGAATCAGATCAAATGTCAATAGGTTCTGTAAAGACATGAAATAAAGCACCAGAAAAATCACCCGCGCTGGCGGCCAAATTCCAACAAAACCATAGGCGTCCTTGTGTGTGTAAAATTTCAGGAAAGAACCCCTATTAGGTTTAGAGATATGGTCCTGACAAACACAACACTATCAAAATCAAACTTGTCATGGAAACGAAAAACAAATATGCATTCTAAAAATCCCTAAATAGCCTAAATCCACACTTACCATGGGATACTGGGCACACATTTGGGCCTGAATCCACACTTACCATGGGATACTGGGCACACATTTGGGCCTGAATCCACACTTAGCATAGGATACTGGGCACACTTTTGGGCCTGAATCCACACTTAGCATAGGATACTGGGCACACATTTGGGCCTGAATCCACACTTAGCATGGGATACTGGGCACACATTTGGGCCTGAATCCACACTTACCATGGGATACTGGGCACACATTTGGGCCTGAATCCACACTTACCATGGGATACTGGGCACACATTTGGGCCTGAATCCACACCTACCATGGGATACTGGGCACATATTTGGGCCTGAATCCACACTTACCATGGGATACTGGGCACACATTTGGGCCTGAATCCACACTTAGCATAGGATACTGGGCACACATTTGGGCCTGAATCCACACTTACCATGGGATACTGGGCACATATTTGGGCCTGAATCCACACTTACCATGGGATACTGGGCACACATTTGGGCCTGAATCCACACTTACCATGGGATACTGGGCACATATTTGGGCCTAAATCCACACTTAGCACTTGTAGAAAACCCAAAGAACATTTAAGCGAATGATGACCGAAGAAAACAATCACTTAGTATCAATGTTGGCATTACCAATCTAGGTAGTGAAGAAATGTTGAAGTACTCACCATGAAAGAAAGGAACAACTTCATTATGCAGTAAGGCAGGGCGGAACTTTAACCTGGTGTTGTCAATCTTCCAGCTGGAACAGATTGCAGTGCTAAGATAATGAATGCAGTTGTAGTGATGAGATACCTTGGTGGCTTTTCATTCACCCCATCATCTTCAACTTTGCATTAGTTTGACTACATAATATGTCAACAGTGCTCTCTTACCCAAACTGTGTCCATAGATACCAACCCTAACTGAAGCTTTGGTGTAATCAGTGGGGTAAAAATGAGTAATGGTTGGCATCTCTGTGTGTGCCTACTTAAACAGGCTGGCACTCACATGTTATACTCTACACCTCTACCCACACTGTCCACTTATTCCCACCAAGACAGATGTGCTATTCTCCAATGAACGCTGTGTTTATGTATTCCCATCGACACACTACACATCAATCAGAAACTTCTGCATGGCTTCCTATTGCCAATCATCCACACAAAATAAACTGGGACTTAATTTTTCCAAAGTTCCCAATTCATGCAGCGACTGATAAATCTCAAACAGCCCTACAGCTTAATGATGGTGCCCGAAGTGACACAGGTCCTAGACATTACACTTTGGTGAAATGAGCATGGACATGATGCTGATGGACAAAAGATCATAATCAGGGAAATCTTTTTATTTATACCTGCGATCATCAGATCCTGGCACAGCGAGGTATGCAACTCTGCACAGCAAACTGCAGCACCTAACGTTAATCTATCAAATACAGCTGCTGCTATCACAAAAATAATGCAGGTTAATTTGGAGAGTCTGACTGAGGTATTGGTTCCCACCCAGTGCAATATATTGCAAGAAATAACTTTTTCTGCAGGTAAAGGACTTTTGTTGGTGAAGAATTTGTATCTGTTGCTGAAACAATATGTTGCTCCCTTCATCCTACCTACCATCTTAGTTTCTTCCTCCAGATGAAGTATGGGTCATAGAGGCACTCAAACAGATGAAGGGCATGCTTCACGAAGGAGAGGAGACCGTCAGTTGGTTTGGCAGGATCATCAATATCTCGACATATCTGAATCATGAGTGGCTTTGGCTGTCAGTTTAACTTTGTGATGACAAAATTTCAACAGATCACAAAACTTGCGCTTCTAACATGTAGAAACAAAACTAAGAACAGTGTCATAATACAACTGAACATGCCGAAGGAAACTTGAGGGAGGCTGAAGTTTTCAAGACAAAGAGTTGGATGATTTGGAAGGAAAATATCAACTTCAAACATCCTCCATGTAGGAGAAAAAAGAATTGCTGAGTAAAAAGATACTGTGCTTAAATGTTGTTACATATGTAAATGATATATTAATGTGAAGTTTACCTGATATACAGCTTTCATTTTGGACAAGAGGCTGGTCACATGAAGTTTACAAGCATCACATTTTGACGTTCATAAATCGTTCACTAGACTGTATTTTTCAAAGAGAAGTAACCACTAATGGACTACATTCCTTGGGAAACCCCCGAGAATTGACCAGAATGAATAAATCTTATCAATCAGAACATTTAATCTTGAACTCGATGTTTTCTGCATACACTGGAAAAGTCAGTGTTTAACTGCATGCCTTGAAAAAGTATCCTTGCTACAACCAATCCTCGTGAACAAAATGAAGAAAGGCACACCCAAACTTCAATCCATGCTTTGACTGACAGTGACAGTCATCTTATAATCACCTCAGGATCATCAGCAACATGATCAATGATGACCAACTCCGACATTCATAGTTTGTCCATCACTCTATGAATGTTCATACTCGAACAAGTGAAAGTCAATTCTAAAATTATATTGAAGGAATTTTCAACTGTTGATATTATTCTACAATAAAAATAAGCATGTGAAAGGGGAAAAAAAATTACCTGATCAACAACAGTAGTTGCTATGACAACAGTGTGATTCACAAATTCACAAGAAGCTATGAGCGGCACATTGTCATAATTTCTGAAACAGAAAAAAAAATTGTTTGTGACAATTCAATATTCCTAGCTGCACATGACAATTTAGCATTTCAACCCCCTATTGTTTACCCCAATAACCCACCTGCACATGACAATCAGGCATTTCAAGCACCTACAGTTACCCCAATAACCTGCCTGCACAGAACAATCAAGCATTCCAGTACCTATAGTTACCCCAATAACCTGCCTGCACAGAACAATCAAGCATTACAAGCACCTACAGTTACCCCAATAACCTGCCTGCACAGGACAATCAAGCATTCCAGTACCTATAGTTACCCCAATAATCTGCCTGCACAGAACAATCAAGCATTCCAGTACCTAGTTACCCCAATAACCTGCCTGCACAGAACAATCAAGCATTTCAAGCACCTACAGTTACCCCAATAACCTGCCTGCACAGGACAATCAAGCATTCCAGTACCTATAGTTACCCCAATAACCTGCCTGCACAGGACAATCAAGCATTCCAGTACCTATAGTTACCCCCAATAACCCACCTGCACATGACAATCAAGCATTTCAAGCACCTACAGTTACCCCAATAACCTGCCTGCACATGACAATCAAGCATTTCAAGCACCTACAGTTACCCCAATAACCTGCCTGCACAGGACAATCAAGCATTTCAAGCACCTACAGTTACCCCAATAACCTGCCTGCACATGACAATCAAGCATTTCAAGCACCTACAGTTACCCCAATAACCTGCCTGCACAGGACAATCAAGCATTTCAAGCACCTACAGTTACCCCAATAACCTGCCTGCACAGGACAATCAAGCATTTCAAGCACCTACAGTTACCCCAATAACCTGCCTGCACATGACAATCAAGCATTCAAGTACCTACTGTTACCCCAATAACCTGCCTGCACAGGACAATCAAGCATTCAAGTACCTACTGTTACCCCCAATAACCCACCCGCACATGACAATCAAGCATTTCAAGCACCTACTGTTACCCCCAATAACCTGCCCGCACATGACAATCAAGCATTCAAGTACCTACAGTAACCCCCAATGACCCACCTGCACATGACAATCAAGCATTTCAAGCACCTACAGTTACCCCGAATAACCTGCCCGCACATGACAATCAAGCATTTAAGTACCTAAAGTTACCCCAATAACCTGCCTGCACAGGACAATCAAGCATTCAAGTACCTATAGTTACCCCCAATAACCCACCTGCACATGACACTCAAGCATTTCAAGCACCTACAGTTACCCCCAATGACCCGCCTGCACATGACAATCAAGCATTTCAAGCACCTACAGTTACCCGCAATGACCCACCTGCACATGACAATCAAGCATTTCAAGCACCTACAGTTACCCCCAATAACCTGCCTGCACAGGACAATCAAGCATTACAAGCACCTACAGTTACCCCCAATGACCCACCTGCACATGACAATCAAGCACTTCAGGATGTTCTCTGCAAAGGCAAGGGCTTCTATGTTGAAGCCCCCCAGGAACTGATCACTACATTTTGACAGGTAGTTGCCCAGGATTTCCAGGATTCCATCTGGAAGTCGGGTCAGGTGTGGACCTTCTTCTGAAAATCTGGAATTGATTGTGTAAGAAATAGACATTAATGACAACATAAAACATATAGAGCGTACACATACTGATAGGAAATGACAAACATACAGTACACACAATACAGGGAAATGGTCCCCAAAATAGCGAAAGGCACCACTTCAGCCCCTTGTAATTACATGTAGTTTTGATGAAAAATCTTTCACGGTGTTCAAGTTATGAAATACGGAAAGACAAACCAGACGATGACTATATCCCCCACATTATATGCCGGGGGGATAATAAAGGCTGGGTTTGGAGATTTGTTTTTTCACCAAGTACATTACATGATTATGGACATACAAACAGATATGTTGATTGTCTTTAGAATTATATTAAAGCTAGCGAAAAACCTTTTAACAGCTAAAGCTATTTTGCAGGGATGGTCGGTTCCGGGAACAAAGGCTGCTTTCATAGCGGGCTCAGCAATATCTCTTTGAGAAATATCATTAATTTCACTGCTGCATCAACCATTACAGTATTGGAGCAACATTAGTTCAATATTTAGTGCCTTGCTACAGGTGGAATGCAAATTATTTTCATTACTCAGTTACCATGGTTACCATGATACTGCTGTCTCAGTTCCATAACAAAACCATCATCTCTACCTGGTGTTATCTGTATAAATCCACATATCAGAACCCAATGGTTGTATATCATTCTGTCAATTCTACAGCTCCCAAGAGACCAAAGACAAGTATTGGACAAATCCAGAACAAATGTCCTCAACTGAAACCCATGGTGGAATCCTAGCTGGCTATTCCAAGCATCAAGAAACTCAAGCTGTTCATCACGACACAAACATTGATTATGCCCTTGCTTTGTTAAGAGTTAGCATAAAGTCAATATGAACACAGGTGTCCAATGAAACATGTCAATTTATTAGACAATTGCTAGACAACAGGGATTGGAATATAGTCGCATAACGTGACATAAGCATGATAAGTATGATAAGCTAGAGTAATCTGTTCAAACAACATGTAGGTTTTGTAAATCATCTTTCGACTCTATTATAGGTCACTGTGTTGTTATTCGTAGCTATGTATTAGCGAACAGTATATATTGGCTAGTGAAAGTGGTAGCCTCACAGATAGGCTAGTCAGTGCTACTAGTCGGCTGAGCTAAGACAAGCAAATTCTGTTATAACTTGTTTTTTTCCCATGATCTGGGAAAATACTAGTTTTGTTACAGTAACTGCGACCATTTCTTTCTTGTGTATAATGCACACTTTTTCAACAAACATTGTGTACATTGCGTAGGGGGTGGGGGCGGGGGGGGTGGGGGGTGGGGGTTTGAATAATACATGCAGGTAATGAGTCTTTATATATGCATTTAAAAAACAATACTGCTATAACACCAGGATACAGCAAATCAACAAATCTGGAGTGAAGTATGCATGGTATGTCAGATAGTCCCGTTATTACACAATTTTGAAATAAAAATTGTCAAATTGTATCTATGGCTTATATATGTTTGAGCTCTAAATTTTAACAAAAACTTCATTCAATATACTTTTACCTCGATTGTTTGTGAACTTGTTGGTAGATCACACCAATCACGAATTTACATCAACCATGATCAGATTACCACTGCTGATGCAATGATATGAATCTTGGAGAATGAAAACCAGATCTTTCACTTCGATATGATGTTTCTCTGCATGAAGATCAGAGGACATATCCACATGAGGATGTGTCAGGTGAACTTCATGCTTCTAAATCATGTAAATTGTCGGTACCAGTGAGCGAAGCACTGAGATCAGCATATCTGAATTCTGTATCTCAAAACAAACTAAACTACAAGTTCTGATAAATATACCTGCCTCATTATTTTTGTGGATATTTGATACATCCCATAAGTCTGAGCTTCATGGGATCTGTGCCCAAAAGGGAGTACAATCAAAGGAATTTGTGTGTGTGTTTTCATTTGTAGAAATCGAAATGTCCTAATTGAGGTGGGGAAGAAATGAAGCTGAATTGTATTAGAAAGGTGACATCTGAATCCTACAAGAACCCTCGAATCCTTCATTTAGACTGTGCGGTCAATGTTCACTAGGGTTTACATGACGCCACCTCATTTGGAGCTGTCCTACAGACATATCCTAAACCATATTTGAGTTTGATCGAAAACAAACTTTTTTCAAGCTATGACCTTGAGGATAATATTGACCCTTGACATGAATCATTAATGTGTGTTGAAAATTTCCCAGGGGTATAAAGGAAATGTACATGATATGATATCCAAGATGAGCAGGCACTGCATGGTTTCAAAAACAAAGTGTGACGGAGGCCAAATTCAGGCAAATCCTGAAAGCAGCCCTGTGACCAATTAAATGTGTGCCATGTAGCGATAGAATTTGACACTAGTCCTATAGTCCTTGCCAAACTGCCCAATAGTTAACAGCTATAGAAACTAACATTATTAGGCAACTAGGCTTTATAATGATAACATTTTACAAAACCCTTAAAATGGCAAATTTCTACTTACAATACCTTAACTATTGGGCAGTTTGGCAAGGACTAAAGGACTAGTGCCAATTTCTAACACTGGCTAAGTCTTCATTGAGGAATGGTAGCAATTTGCCATTTTTAAGGTTTTGCTACATAATAATATGTAACCATTATGAGGACTAGCTGAATAAACATTAGTTTCTATCCCTGAACATGGACACACAAAAAGTTGACCCAACACTAGAGAACTAGTTACATCAAAATTAGCAGCACTTAAAAAATGTCTCCAAGGTAGCAATTTGTTAGATGTATCATATCCTGAACAAAGTATTGCAATACTTATACTATTGTCCTGTTATTCCAGTCTCTTGTCTAAGACAATCCACTACTTTTCATGAATGGACAGTCGGTTGTCAATCATTCCTGCCTATATTATCTTGAACTCACATTTGAATTGCGAGGGCTGGCTGAAAAGTTCTAGGCCTAAGTGGGATATCTCAATCAGATTGAAACAAACTTTTGCCACCAACAAGTACAGTCATTTAATGAATCATAGACATAAGAACTGCAACTGTAGTGTTATTATTGTCTTTGTACCAGACCATCTTGTGAACCTACCCATTGAAATCACCAGAAATGGACAAAACTGACTGAAAGGGCTAACTCCAACACAGATACATGCTGACATGGTCTCCACTTTAGGGGATGATGCCCCTTCCTTTTCCACTGTAAAGAAGTGGGCTGCGGAATTCAAGCGTGGCAGAGAGAGCCTTGACGATGACCCGCGTCCAGGAAGCCTTCAACAGCAACCATTCCGGAAAACATTACCTGGGTGCATGACATGGTGATGGCTGAACGACGATTGACCACTCGACATATTGCCAGTGTTGTGGGCATCTCTCATGAGGAGTTGAGCACATTATCACCAATGAGTTGGGAATGACAAAAGTTTCTGCAAGATGACAGCGGATCAGAATCGTGAAAGATTCATGATGTCCCGTCAAAATTTATGTCGTTTTGAAGCAGATCCCGATGATTTTTTGGCCCGATTCGTAACCATGGATGAGACCTGGATTCATCACTTTCAACCAGAAACCAAAATTCAGTCTAAACAATGGAAGCATCTGGAATCACCAGCCCCCTCAAAAAGCCAAGTCGGTTCCTTCTGCTGGAAAGGTGATGGCTTCAGTCTTTGGGGATTCCAAGGGTATTCTGCTGATTGACTATCTTGAAAAAGGCCAGACTATCAATGGAAGATATTATGCTGACCTACTGAGACAGTTGCGTGAAGCTATCGAAGCTAAGCGACAGGGAATGCTCACTAAAGGAGTCCTGTTCCACCAAGACAATGCTCCTGTTCACAAATCGGTGGTTGCCATGTCAGCGATCCATGATTGTGGCTTCGAACTCTTTGACCACCCCCCTTATTCACCCGATTTGGCCCCATCAGACTTCCATCTGTTTCCCAAAATGGAAAAGGAACTAGCCGGTCGCCATTTTCCCAGTAATGATGACGTCATTTCCGCTGTGAATGACTTTTTTAGGGTGGCTGATTCTTCTTGACCGGCATCCAGGCCTTGCAGCAGCATCGCTGGCAAAAGTGTGTAAACCTGGAAGGGGACTATGTGGAGAAATAAATGAAAACTATCGACTTGGTACAGTTCTTTCACAGTTAGGCTTAGAACTTTTCAGCCAGCCCTCGTAATGAACACTTGGAATAAACAGAACTATTTTATTTTGACCTGCGAGAGAATGATTTCAAATTGAAATTTGAATTACATGTGTTGCCAGCAGGGATCAGAACCAAAACATATCAGTTGAGGATGTGTAATCATGGTAATAGGCTACAAATTCAAAATATTTGCATAATCCTTGAAAGCTTAGAAATAATCATGTATAATGTTGTGTTACATTATGTTACCTATAATAATGTACATTTAAGAATTAACATTCACTTTGGGTGAGTTCATTGGAGTATGAACCTTCATAGAGTGAGGGCTAATCTGTACGAACGTCGGAGCTTGCGACAATGTTCATACAATGTTTGGTCCTCACTCTACGAAGCTTCAAATTCCAATGAACTCACACAAAGTGAAAGTCAATTCTTATCATTTTCAATCACACTATTTTTTACCTCAAAGGATGTAGACCTAGATCTGTACACAATTTTATTTAGTATGTGTGACTTCATGTTTACATTGACAGCCATACAACAACCAGCTGTATCCTGAAATAAAATTTCTTCAAAATGAGAGGTGACATGAGGAAATGTATGCTCAACATGCTGTACAGGAACAACTTTTGTAGTCTCTTTGCAACAAATGTATTCAAATAATATCCTTATTAGATGAGAAAGGTCTGTTAAGAACTACCTCATTAAGTCAGTCACAATGACAGTACATCGTAATACATTTACATAAAGTACAAGACGTCAAAATGGTCGACACAATAAACATAACGGTAGAGATTTCTGAAGTTGTTAATCAGCTGTTAATGAACCTGTGGCTATTATCAGTGTTATTCATGACTGATCAATTGGCCGATCATTGAAAGATTATTGTAAAGATGTGTCAAATAGATAATAAGGTAAATTCATAGATTGCTGTTGAGTGTCTAGACACGGATGGAGTAGATACGATAGTTTGGATGTGTTGAAGCGAGGATATCCTTGAACGGGCATGCAATCAAACGCTCTGACCTTTCCCAATCTATGCTAAAACGCTAAGTTCAAGATTAAAGAGTCTTAATGATGAGAATATTTGATACTTCTTCAGGCTAGGGGATTCCCAGGGGTTTCCCCAGGAATGTGGAATTAGTCCGTCTGTGTTTAACATCATTTCAAGAATACAGTTTCGTGAAAAAACGTATGAATGTCAAAATGTGTCATTCATACACTTATGACCTTCAGTTCGCGGCCATGTGACCGACCTCCCATCCACAGTGTCCGCAATAACTGCCTGCCGGCCACCCGTGGCTGGTAACTTTTATGTCGGGCTGCATGAAATTTTCCTCCACCTGCCCGACTGTCTGGCAGATAATTTTAAAACTACTTATGTATTCAGTTTTATCATAACGCCTCGTAGATTCACAAGTATTTGTTTCCATTATTTCTACTCAATCAAGACGCAATTTGTCTCTTTTAATTGCAAATAATATATATAATGTCAGAATGTAGGCAAGTAACGTTGAAGATGGGAAGGCAACATTTGGATCACATGCCCTTATGTCTTGTTGGTTTTTTTTAATTATTTCAAACACTACTCGTCCAATGGAAAAGCTGTATCATGTAAACTTCTCATTATAAAATTATTTTTAAATAATTAGATAACATTTTGATGAGAAAAACTAAATCAGAAGCATATATTAATATCCTTGTTCAGGGCTATATATTTTCTATTACCTCCATTAGCCTTTACTAAAAACATGCAAGAGATTGATCAAATACTTGTTTAGGACCCCATGTAATTAGTAATGAGCCTTCTACCAGGGACTGTAAAGACTTGACAGAACTTGGTGCATCATGATCAACACATGTCTCGTGCAGGTACAAGAGGTCTGGGCTATTTCAGGTTTATTACAAAATACACCAAGGACATTGAAAGATGCCTTTATTTGGTATAGTTTAAGTAAGAGAAACCACCCAAACATGCCGATCCGTCCTACATGGCTCATACTTTCTTTTTCATGAATCTTATTGTCTCAGTTTCTCTATTACATATCATCTCATCGCTTCAGTGCATCGTTCCAGGGCTAATAAACAGCATTTGGAGCAATTTACAAACCAACAGACAAATAACAGTTCTGTTGTCAAACATTGGCAGAGAACTGTTTCAATAGCTTGTAGGGGTGTAAAGCCCACATTAAAGCAAGAGAGTGAGAGAGAGCTAGGTTCGGCAGTCAGCCATTTACTAACGGAAGTGCGTAGTACAGTAAAATCCGGACAGGCCATAGCTCCATGCAGGGCACTGTAACCGGGCCATGGCAGATATTGTAACAAGAACAATTCATAAATTACAATCCTTGATGGACGGGAAGAGACATGTTTCATCATCTGAGAACTGATTGCTCCTCTGGAGGCCACACATCACATGGTTTCTTTCCACAATACCAACTTAATTCATCTATAACTGCACTGCAGTCAGCTTGTCCGATGTGATGGAGCCTTACATAATCAGATATGCTGGAGCACAGAGGTGTGTGGCAATAGATTTAATCTGGTTGTTTCTTACGCAACTCTGCACACACATTATAGAAATACGCAGTGAGGGTATTGATGCTGATCAATAGTGATGTTGATCATGACTGACACACGATATGTTTAAGGAGAAGATAATATATATCAAAACACTAATTGTTCATTTCGGGGAGACATTTGTTTATAAAAAATTCACTTTAAGCATTGTTCAGTGATCAAATACAAGTGTTCAACATGTTCAAAGAAACTATTTTGTTGTCATTGATTATGGTATTCTTAACATTGTCATAAATAAGTACAAATCCAAAGGTGATTGTTTGCAATTGTTTGTGGTGTTTGTTTGTTGCTTAACACTGCTCTGAACAATATTCCAGCTATATGATGGTGGTCTGTAAATATTCAAGTTTGGATTAGACAATCCAGTGACTGACATCATGAACACTGATCTACAAAATTGGGATACAATGACCATGACATGCATTAACCAAGTCAGTGAGTTTGACCACCCGATCCCGTTACCCGCTTCTTACGACAAGCATGGTCGCCTCTTACGACAAGTATGGGTTGCTGAAGACCACTTCTACCCTGGACCTTCAGGGGTTTTGATGCAGTGGTTATGCTCTGATGATTGCTTTGATTTAGGTATGCATACACAGTTTTAGTTTGGTGTAACCTTGAGTGTTGATTTGGTGCCAAAAGACGAAGGATCATGTCTGGAATGAATCTGGGACTAGAACCCATCATCAGCATATCCTGCCACAGCCAAGGACACAACATTTTTCAACATGTATAAGGGACAACATAGAGTTCTACATATTGATGCTTTCTATATCTGACTGTGGCGTCCGATCTTTTGCGTCACAATGAGCATAAAGAGCAATGCGGCGCCATGATAGTCATTACCATACTAATTTCGTCAAATTTAAAACCTTTTCAACCTCACACTGAATGTTCAGTTTCAGTTTCAATTTAGATCTGATTTAAATCTGCAGTCACTCAATGTATGTCTAAGCAAAACTGATTAACATTAATCACATGCATTACGTCTGAAGGTGTCTGTATACTTGGTAAGGTAGTAATAGCATTAGCGCAAACTTAATACTTAACAGTGAATATAATCTGGATAATAGTGGCTCATATTTACAAATGATTTAAGTATTTCATCACATATCACTTATCATGTAGCCATGGTAGATGGACAGGTATTTCGTAAGTGTATGACGAGCAAACAATATGCAAGCTGATTAATTTAGAACCTGGATCACGATAAACATGATAAATAGATAACGTGATTGAATTAACCTAATGGATCTCATCCACACGCCTTCAGTGACAGTAATAAGACAAAAATAGTCTCGCCAAGTCTTCAGACTTGCAGTGTCAGAGAGGCTTACAGTGTGAATAACACTGAACATTCTGAATATCCATTTCTCCCCAAATCAATAACACACAACACTTTGTACATGTTGTATCAGAGCAGAGCATAGGATGTGAGTTCATGGTGGTTTCAGATTATAAACACAAGTATCCAACATGCCTAATGACATATTTAAGGATGCTACACTTTGATGATTAGAGGGGTTTTCTTAAAATCCTAAAAAAGGTCATTTGAATGACTTGGTTGACATTGGATGGATGGCTTCAGTGACTGATATGTGACTGTATGTAAAAAAATACCTGAGTGGAAAGATTTCTGTTCATTTCTTATGTTATAATGCTTGTGCAATACACCACTTTGTAGTATTAATGAATATTTATGTTTGAACAAAGTTTGTAGTACATGTATATGACATGAATGTTAACCTTACTAAATTCATGTATTCAGTAAGATTATGATACAGCTGAATCAAACTGACATTTTTTGGCTAAAGAATCATGTTCAGAGCATGAATGTCTCCCTCAACATGCTCAAACCTAGAAACATACTGCGGCGCCTTAGACGACTGGGCCACCTGACACATTGTAAACAGAAGATCCTTATATTAGTGGTGTCTTACAAAGAGCACTGGGTTCTGATGACCTATTCTGTACTTCAATACCATCAATGCCCTTGGGGACATATGTATGTTTATTCCTCTAAAATCATCCAAATGTAGAAAATGATACTCTATACTGTCATTTGCTTAAAACTGTCAACATGTTAGATGAATTGACCAAGTCTCAATTTGAGAAAATCAGACTGACTGATATGCATAAACTATGATACCAGTACAAATTGCCCACTGGATGAAGTTGCCAGACTGCCAGGTACAATGGAACTCTACTGTTAGCAAACCTGATAAATGCTGTCGCCATGTCGCTGCGTTTCATCAAAATCTAATTGTCTGGGTTAGCAACTCCAAAATAGGCCCACTGCACAATGTGAATGTATGGTTCATTATAATCAATGATTTGTACTGACCCTTCATTGAGGTGGTCAAACTCCACATCCACCAGGTCCTTGTAGGTCTCCAGGAAGAAGTTGATGAACTCTTGAAGATTCTTGATATCATTCTGAAACACCAAAACAGTTACAGTGTTTAGCATAGATGCTGGTAGAGCACGAAGATAGGACACTTTCATGGATAACTCCTTTCTTTCATCTGCCCTGAAACATCATTGGCATCATTACAAACAACAAACAGATTCATGTCACCTGATCAGTATTCGAAATAAGCGCCTGCCCTTAGGCCTATGTCAGGCAGAGCTCGAGTTGGGCCTGTAGTTTCAAATTTGTATGGGTCCTTAAGGCCCACAGTGCCAATATATTTGTCACAATAAGCTGCAGTTTTGTTTTAAATGAGTGTCTGAAGAGTTTAGTTTGGGCCTGCAGCTTCTAAAGTCTGTGGGTCCTGATGGCAGCTTTGCAAGTTTATTTATTTCATCACTGCACCTGATCATGTTGATCATTGTTGATGTAGGGTCAAAAGTTCCCCTGAAACATTGTTGCAAAGAGTAAGGAAGTTGATATTCACAAAAGCTTCACATCCCTGAAAAGGAACAAAAATAGCCCTGAACAATACTTTAGTTTAACATAACAAAGGAGTTGCTATCCATATTAGTTTCATATGCCCCTCATAAAGAGGAAAGAATATGTCAAGTAAGGCCAAAACAAATATTCTTGTGTTTCAGGTAACATGAACCAAACAAATATGTGATGGTCGGTAGGTTGGTCTCGCTTCTTATTGAATACTTTTTTGTGCAATGTTCATTCTTTAGAACTAGTGTTCGTTGCAAACTTTCTCGAATATGTAGGTCAAAATAGCTACAGCTACTCCAGTATCTTCCAACTGTACAACATGGGTTTCTTGATGGGGGTTTCCAGTTGTGATAAAACAATTGGGTCGCAAGTGAAACAATGGGTCGGTCAGGTTACCTGCAACACAAGTACTTGAGGAGGGGGGGCCTAACCTCACATGTTACGACTGGGTCAAGGTCAAGTTATCTCCACCTCGTAATTGAGATACTTTCATGTCAAGGCTATGCATGTAATTGTTAAGTAAATAGATTAGATAATTCATAATACAAAAGAGCCATCCATGGGGAAATACTGCAACAGGATGATATAGACAAGAGGGCATGTTTCAGTGATGACAGAAGGCTCGACTTAGTGATATATACAAAACATGCACACAAGTACAACCTATTACTGGAAAATGCAAGCTAATCATGCTAATATTTATGTCTACATGCACCAAGTGTGTGTAAAAAAGATTCAAATTTGTGTCTGACTAACCCTTACTTGTTTACAAAATATCGATCTTTGAACACACTCAATCCAGTGTTTGAAAAGAAATAGACTTGCCAGGCTGCCATCAGGACTTTAGAAGCTGCCCGCCCTCATTTAAACAAACTGCAGCTTCTTGTTACAAATAAACTGACACATAAATTTACTGCAGGCCATAAGTAGTCTTTAAGGACCCATATAAATTTGAAACTAAGGTCCAACATAAGATCTACCTGCAACGGGCCTAGGGCATGCGCATTTCGAACACTGCAATCATTGAGTATTTACCATACTACATTTCTTATCACTATGATGTGTGTAGTTTGTCATACTTTCTTAGGCTTGACATCAAACTGGTTTTCTTTGGTGCAACTTGGTTTTCATGGCAACATGCACCTGGTAGGTACAAGTTCAATCAAGTTCCTTAAATCGAGTCCTGAGAGATCATAACTGGAGACAAGTAAGCTTTTAATCATCAATCAATGTTTTCATGTTTTGAATAATTGCAAGTGATTCCAAGGCATTTGATTGACTTACAAAGCCAATTTTTGCATGTATGTTTCCACAAATTAAAACAAAATTAGGCCATGCCCACTACCAGACTACTGTTTCCTCATTGGCTGATAATAGAGTGGGTGGGCCTTGTGTTGCATTTTTGCGCTGAACACGGCACTGACTTCTTTTATGGGGGTATAAAGCAGATTTACACAAAGTGTGCATACCGTTTTTTTCATTCATACCTCCATAAATGCAAAAAATATTGAACATGTTGAAGTCAATTCTCAAATAAAAAAATTTCTGATGAAACAATATTTGATTATGAATCATGTTAATATTTTTTTACTAATATCCTTGCATTTCCATTGATGTAAAGTATGTTTTTTGGTAACATTCTTATTTTATGTGACTTTTTTTTTATTTGAAATAAAATATATTTGACGTAATAAGCGCCCCGCTCCAATAAGCGCCCACAGCGATATTTGCTAATATATTGGCAAGTGAACAATCCCAATAAACACCTCTTCCAACTGATCAATGTACACAAGACTTATTTATTCGCGTATAATACACACTCGTGTGTTATATGCACCCTTAATTATGGGCAATTTAATTCTGGAAAAATATATCTGTCGTACATAAACATTTCAGGCTGTCAGCATAAACCACAAAATATATCTTTCAACTCTGTCTTTTTCAACAAAATCATATTCTAACAAGAGCCCCCTATTCCTAATTTTGAGAGCGCCCTGGGCTCTTATTACGTCAAATAGGGTAATCATGATAACATTACCAAATCATGATAAGTTTATGAGTTACTGTGCATGACTTCTAAGAAAGTGATGTGGACTACTGAGAACATGTTGGATGACTGGAACCTATTTCATCCATTTCACATGTTCATACTACATTGTTTCTCAGACTATAAGGGGAATTTTATGTAAGAAACACCAGAGCCGATGACTCAAACTCCCACACTCAGTCAGTGATATTGGGTCCATGTTGATAGCATAGACCATACACTGGGGCAATGTTGATGTTGTTAGCTTTGGGAGGATGGAAGTCAAGAATTTCTGCTAGATCCCACAGTTGCCATGGTTGCAGGGTACAATAAATAACAAAGGCCTACAATCTGGACAATTGTTAGTTCCAGCAAGTTTTAAGTGAAGATGTTAAAAAAAACCACATGGTTTGTTTTCTAATCAAATCATGTTATCATCATGATCATGGTTATGTTACTCAATCTGGGAGTTTTGTACAAGACTCTGTCTGTTTATTTAGAAAATATTTTAGCTTGACAATGTTACATTCAGATTATCCCATGAATTATACTGCATTCTATTATAACAGCTTTGTTTTGAGTCCAATTCACAGGGTTCTGGGAATTTTTGCATTTAGACAGTTCCGAAGTTAATTACAACACTCCTCCTCAGTTTTGGTTAAAAAGGTACATCCTTGAGCTCAGGCTTTTACCTCACTCAAGTTTTACATCTTTACCAAAACCGAGAAGTGTTTTAACAATAACTTAACTCAGGTTTCATTCTAAGCCTAGTTAAATAACTCATTTCACTCGTTTCTAGACAAACTGGGCAACACTGGGCATATATATATATATGTCAGTAGTTCCAATTGCCTAAAACATATTCATAAAACTAAAACTACCTATCTTCCTTCTGGCTACTATAATATAACAAGTTTAACTTGATTGATTACTCAAAATAGGAATACAATATTTCACTTTGAAAATAGAAATCATAAGGGGTGTCATGATATGTCTATTTCCATTATCGACACATAATGATGTACTGGGGTCATGACATGATACATATCACAATACTTAATTTGCTTCTTTTTTTTTACCTAGAACTTCTTTCTTTTTCACTATGTCACCTGACCTGGATAACAACCAGTTTGTATTTAGCCATGTTAACTCACTATCATGCAATCTGATATATTCATGAGTCATTTGGTAATATCCTATGGGCCTGTCATGATATGGTGCCATTAATTGTGAAACTGTCATCATGTATCTTAAGAATCTAAACACAACCAGAGACATAATGGTACCTCCAACAGGCAATCATTTATTCCAGTCACATACATGTATAATTATCCAGTCTATACGTAAAACAAATATCTTATAAAAGATAGTTACAGAGTTAACAAAAACTTCTCGTTGTGTTGCAATAACGGTGGAGTGCAAGCCAACAGAACCAACTGATAACACTATACACATATATTTCAGGCATGCATCAACAGAAATAAATACACAACCAACTATCATTACAACCCACAACACCGAAATAACACAAATCTCGACAAAGTGGTGAATCTTGCTGAAGCATATTTTTGCTTATGATGTCATAGAAATATTTCCGCTGACTTCCTAACCAAATTCCTCCCTCAAAGACTCTATCATTCTCACGATATTTGCCATAAAATATAAATTATTTAATCCGTAAAAGTGTTACACTTGTTAAATATTTTCATTCTAGGTCAAATTCGTCTTTTGATAAGACTGTCAAAGAGTCGAAGAATTCGAGGTAGCCAGGACTCGGCTTGACCACCCAGCTGGGCTGGGCCAAGATTTGCATACCGCTAAGAAATGAGATCCTCCCATTCCGAGAGCCGATTGCTGGTTGCCTTACCTTTGCAGTGTATATCATCCATAATTGAAACAAATTTTCTTTCGCATTTAACTCATCCATGTCGGCGATCACCCTAGGAGGCTGATCCCTTTGATCATGGAAAGTTAGACTGGCAAATTACTTAGTGCCCGAAACGTAAACTCGCACCTCATCGGCCATTTTGACAATTGAGTATAATACACGGCTTGTCTGACAACTAACAACATAGCTTTTAGCAAACGGCAATACGTCCACTGGTTGTCGCCTACGTAACTGCTCTGATCATATTTATCAAATATTTGTGCCTGCCTGCCGGGTTACTTCACTAAATATGAAGTTTTCAGTTACTTTTTTATGCATACAGTTTTAATATTGTGTGAAATATTAACGTATCCGAATACATCTGGACAGTATGTCGCGTATGAAACACCCGCGACTAGTTCATGGTCCGTTTCTTAGCGTTGGTAAAATATGTTGAATTCAATTATATATTGGCCGGTTAACTTTTCCTACCAGGACATAACTCAGTCATAACTTAGATAGTCAGAGTTATTTATATTATAGTTTTTTGTCCAAGTCACAACATGTTTCACGGCTGTTTTCAGCTTAGTCAGTAGCTTATAACAAGGTCGTTTCAAAATCCGGTATATAGAGAATCTCACCCGAGTGTCTTTTTATATCAAATATATCAACACTCGTTGACAAAAGTAGAAACATCGAGGCTTGCCGAGGAGTTTTTCCACTTTTATCAACGAGTGTTGATATATTAATATAAAAAGACTCTCGGATGAGATTTTATTTATCATCCAATATCATTTTTAAATCGAAATATTTGATTTATAACAGCGATATCTACAATGTAAATATCGCTTGGGAATATCGTTTGATCTCACCTAAGCTATATCTCCTGTGGGAACCAGTTTTGGATGATATAAATCATATGCATATTTACATGTAAGTCTGCTACAAACCCCACACATTCTGAAGCGACAGAAACCGGCGAGTTTTGAAAAAGAAGATCTGCATCCACGTGGATGGATTCGCCTCATCATACAATATAGCCTATTAATCGCTTGGTTTATGCATGATTTTCCCAATCCGTTGGATCTGTTATCGAAACAAAAATATATTATCATTATTTTAAAATATTATCTAGGGGTCATTCCTGAAACTACCGACCGTCGGAAGTGAAGAAATAATAAGCGTGGTTTTTGTTGTTGTGAAATCGTTATTCCATATGTATTATATTTCTGTGTCTGCGGATCAGTACACCAAGTAAAATAAAAACGATATATTTTGTTATACATTACTATATTTACTTTCGATGTATTGTTGTATTGTTTCGAACTGGCACGAATATGAATGTTGTCAATACATTTAATAAATATCTGATTAATGGGACGCAAAAGACCATGTTTTTTTTATATTTCAACGACTATTTGGTTGGGCCACGGTATACGAAAGGTAGACAGATATAAACCTATTAAATAATGAACGTTATGGATGTATACAAACAATCCCAAAGAAGTATTTTATTATCATAAATTTGTAATAGACGTTAGTTGACATACATTTATTGTCTTTGGATTTTCTATACTAGCGAATAACTGAGAAACTGCAACCTTTTTACTTGGGTCTCGAATGCCATATCATAATCAATAGTTGTTGGTGACTTGTGAGAATGCAAGTCCTCGCTGTGTATGGGAACCGCTTGCATCCAGCAGAATCCTGTCTACAGCTTTATCTTATAAATTCAGTTGTGAAAGAAGTAGTATCGAAAAAAACTTCAAAGTAAGGTATACGGAAGTAAGTTTGTGTATAAAAATAGATCAATCAACGTGATGTTATCGTTGGCATGTGCAGTGAATAGTATGGTTCTGCAAGAGAAGAAAACATTGGTTTCTGTATATGGCGAATTTGCGAAAAAAAAGCTGTAGCTGTTATACCGATGATGTGTTATTATATTTAATATTTATAAGTTTTGTTAATCCATATAAATATGCAGTTACATTTAGATATAATTAATAATATTGTATGATATACATTGTACGTATGCTAAGACGCTTAGAGTCAAGCTTTACAAATAATTGTCTTAAATATTGTTTCGCTTGCGTGCATGCTGCATCATATATATAGGAACATTTTCCTATATATATGAATATGATTGTTAGAATTATAATATATATAATTATGTACAATTATATACACCAAAGCCCGTTTCAAACGACATAAATATTTTCATGATTCTATTTTCACAAAGGCATTACATCACAACGACTATTCCGTGCACTGTATTATAAATCAGTGTTTATATAGGTTCATCAAGTACACAACAGTGGCAAATTATGTAACACATGTAAATAGAGAATCACATCCTCGTGTCTTTTGATATCAAATTTATCAACGAGTGTTGATATTTTTTATATGAAAAGACACAAGGGTGAGATTTTAAATATCACCCATCATCATTCTTCCAACTTTTTCAGTTTGTAGCCGTAATATGAATAACAGCTTCAGTAGCAGAGCCATTAGTGATGTCATTTTGATTGTGACGTCAAGGTAACCAATGATGTCACAATGGTATGCAAAGCTTTGTGATGCAATTTCATTACAGCAATATCTACAATGTAGATATCGCTTGATCTCACCAATGCGATATCGCCTGTGGGAGCAAGTTTTGGATGATAAAATAAATGTCATAATATTTACAACGAAATAAAATTAAAAAATGGAAATAACAATTTAACAGGATGCATCGTAAATTATTAATTGTTATGGCATTATGTATCGAATCTAAAAAAGGGGTTACTTTCTCATTTCGGAAGATCGTGACACATATTGCTAACTTCCCGATGGAAACGTAGTTATTGTATTGGCTTATTGAACTGTGTTCGATCGGTAACATTAACAGATGAATCAATCACTAAAATCAAGTTTCAAAACTTGTGTATTTATAATATTAATTCTGTTTTCATATAATACTTTCTGAAACTACTCGTTGAATTTCGTGAATTATATGTCCGAATGTCCGATTCGTTGATGGGTTCCGTTAACGGTACATGTAAGTTCATTGCACGGCTTTGACTGCGTGGAGATTCGTTACTCTGCACGGAGTAAACCTCCAAGAGAGAAGAGTAACATTACACATCTATTTATAAGTACAGACACAAGGCAGCGGTAGAAACTGGCACTGGTCCTATAGCCCTTGCCAAACTTCCCAACTATTAAGGTATCATAAGGACTAGTTGAAATGTGCCCTTTTTAAGGCTTTTTCTATATGTTATCATTATAAGGACTAGTGGACGAAAACTGTATGTCTCTACCGCTGCAAGGTACACTGTACCTGCTCCGAAGGAAATGTGGCATAGTTAGTTTTGCTTTCAAGGAAGCCATCTGTTAAGGACTAATATGCATACGTTCATCAATACTCCGTTACGTATTCCGATGCAAGAGCTGTTAGGTATTTGTCTCTGCAACAAGTTGGATTAAATATGTTCTTTTAGATCTGATGAATAAAGACATACGATTTTAGTTCTTTGCATAGTGACCACAGAACCAACCTGAAGACAAACAGTTGATGTTTCAGTCACAGCTATTATTATTCTAAGAGCACATTGGCGATGTGAATACGTTTCTTGGTTTGGTTCATGGTATAGTCTGACAGGCCTGGTTACGAAATGATGAAATTTACACAAATAATATGAGATGATCTTCCAGGCCTTATTTCCATTTAAAAACTACAAGATTTCTTTTTAGTAATTAACTAAGAACATCTCAACAGCATTCACCATACGGAGAACTAAACACCTAACAAGATGTTTCAATAACGACCCAATGCATGGCCATGTATCTACAGTGGACATGATAGCGAATCTATCATCAATATATTGAGTCTATCACACATGAATTGTTTCAGTTATAATAACATGACGGTTCGAGGGTATCAAACCTTTGAGTGAGTGAGTGAGCGAAAGAAGTCAGCGTGGAGGGTGGAGGATCATTCTTACACTTTAGTGAGGTCATCAAATCGCCCTGAGCCGCTGGCATGGTTGGTTTCATAAACCACAGTTACACGAAAGCTGTATTCATTTGCTTTAATGCAGTATGTGTGATCGGATTGGGAGTACGTCGTCTACAACGCGATGAACGCCTATATAAAGGCAGTTTTTACGCATCAAGCTGGTTGAACTCATCTGGAAGTAGTCAATATGTTCATTGTGTCTCGGTCCGTGATTTGCAGACTTGGGAACAGGTTTCGACAGACACTAAATGTTAATGATCGACCCGCATAGGTAGGTCATCCCAAGTCCAAGATAGATTAATCAGAAACCAGACTTCACGAAATCGCGAGCCCAGTCAGCCAATTACAACGCTGTTCACTTGAGCCAACCAATAGGAATTCAAGATTTGCATGCAGTTAACCTGTGTGCTCGGCGACCACATGATGCACCACCGTTAACCAATCGACATCTTCTAGCCAGACACCAATGGTGTTTAGGGCGTAGAAACTGGAGGAATCACCGGTGGTCTCGTGTTGTTTTCAGACGAGTTCAGATCCACTCTTGATTTTCTGGATAGGCGTGGTCGTGTCTGGAGGCGTCCTAACGAACGTCATGCGAACTCCAACGTAAGGCAACATGATGTATTTGGGGGTGGATCTCTATGACAATTGCCATTGGAAGATAGATTCGGACCATGCCACGCAGTATAAACGAATGTTTGACCAATCGTGGAGGCACTTGACCCAGTATTGATCATGTCATCTCAAAGGTCTATTGTCTACACACCCGTCGTCTGTCTTGGTTGTCTGCTACCTTACAATGCACCGCCAGCATGTTCTGTTGGTTGTCATGTTATACCTCGTCCTTCATTTTTCTCTAATCAATCCATCACCACCACTCAATAACTCATTGTATTTCTGCTATAATCTGTTATTTTCGAAGAATATCCCCTATATATATTAAAGGCAAACGGTAGTGACTATATGCTTAGGACGCATCAGACTTTATTCCTTCTATTTATCATTTCTACCAACCTTAACATATGCGCCATATGAGTTTCTCAACACAAACTGCAGTTGAAGTAAACAAGCATTGTGTATACGTAACATATTTTACGATCGTAGCAACAATTGCAAATAGGCATTAATGTTGAAACCTTTTTTAAAATGTAATTTGGTGTATTGCCTTACTGTCAGAAGAAAAATGATTACATAACATGAGAGAGCAGACCTGTGTGGTTGCCATTGTTTTTCTCTTTGTAAAATCGTCAATTTGTTGGAATCCGAATGAAGCGTCCTTCAATGCAGTACACACATCCTATTCTCAAGTCATAAGCCATGTACATAACGTATGCCATTCTGAGCATGATGTTATAGGCATACGCGTGGTCCGCTGCAGTGTTATGTCCATGTAGTCAATAATGTCACTGTTTTATGATTGCGTGTGGCGGATCTCGTTAGCTTTAATACCTGTGTAATTGAAACTGTCAGTCATTCCCTCAATTCAGCCTAAACTCATCCAACAGAATGAGCCCCGAAGGTGAAGCTTCTAAAAATAGAAACAGGATGAAGAAATGCACTTGGGCAGAAAATTGCATCTTATCTTGTATTGGCCCATCAGCTTGGGCGAGATGTAGAAAGAAAATCAATACCTGTACCACTCTTTGTCCATGTTTCCATGTGTATATGGAATGCATTGTGAATACGTATGTGTTTCACCCTTTGTATGTGTTTCACAATTATCTTAAGTTGGAATCTACTTTAAGCTACATTGTAAAATTCATTTGGATGAAAGGCATGAATTTTAAGGGATTTCATTTTTGATGTGGCAAATACGATTAGAGGGCTGTGTTTGGTCCGTTTGCCTCGTATTGATGTATCTGTGCTCCTTTATTTTGTAAAAAAACCAAACATTTTATTTATTTATTTATTCATTTATTCATTTAAATTACCTTTTCACGTTTCGGATACTGTATCATATATATACTCACACGCAAAAGAAACGCAAGTGGTTTTAAGCAAATAGGTAACAAACACGGAACCATAAATTGATACGAGTTTTAGCATGTAGTGAAGCCTGATGGTGTTATCAATATTTTTGGTTGCATTTTGGAAGCCCCGAGTAAAAACGCAACATAAAAAACGAATCGCCAAAACGCACCATTTCAGTGAATATGTGGGTATCATGCACCCATTTCTCGCGAAATCGAAAATGCACGAACTGTCACGAACTGTAGTGGGTATAAAACTGTGGCCGATTCTTGGACCTACCACTCCTTGGTCAACAATGCCACGCCTAACTCAAATTCAGAGAAACCAGGCTATCGGACGTTTGTAAGCTGGAGAGTCTGTCCAAGATGTTGCGGGTCATTTCAACGTTAACATAACCACAATTTACCGTCTACTGCATCGATGCAATGCTACACAGACCACAGATGACCTTCCTCGGAGCGGTCGTCCTAGGGTCACCACACCTCGACAAGATCGGCCGATTACCCGTCAACACCAGCGACATCCGTTCCTAACTGCAAGTGAAAGTGCTCGACAGACCATATAGGAACACATAATCGACACATTAGCCGGGACACTGTGATCCGACGTCTCCGTTCCAACAACCTCAGATGTCGCCGACCAGCACGTCGTCCTGTTCTCCAACCACGGCATCGACAAGCACGACTTCAGTGGGCTAAGGGTCATCACAATTGGCGTCATCGTGAGAGGAGGCGTGTCATCTTCTCTGATGAAAGTCGCTTTTGTGTCTCCCATGCAGACGGAAGAGTCAGAATTTGGCGGCGTCGAGGTGATCGTTTCGCTGACAGAAACGTTGTGGAAAGGGATCCATGGGTGGATCTAGCGTCATGATATGGGCAGGGATTGGGACTTAATGCGAGACTTGGACCCATGTGCTTTCTGAATGTTGGTCAAGGTCGGGGACACGGCGTCACTGCTCAGCGGTATATCCACCAAGTGATCAGACCCCACGTTGTTCCATTTTGTGCACAACATCAACAACCCATTTTCCAGCAGGACAACGCTCGTCCCCATGTTGCCAGAGCTACCATGACCTTTCTGCAACAACACAGCATCCGTGTTCTACCATGACCAGCACTCATCCCTGATCTGAACCCCATCGAACACTTGTGGGATGAGGTTCAAAGGCGTCTGCACAATATGCGCCCAGTCCATACAACTGCCGATGAACTACGCACAGCTGCTCTGGATGTGTGCTGGAGGATCCCTAGGGCCTTCACAAATCGTCTGATCCACTCAATGTTCAGGAGATGTGTGGCAGTGATCAATGCTAATGGTGGTCACACCAGGTATTGACTGACATTTTGGGTATTGACCCGAAACTGTGTAAGCCCTTAACATTTGAAAAAAAACAATTATGTCATCTGCCTTTTAATCCATGAAACTGTCTTCAGTCAAATTTTTGTCAATCTTGCCCTATTAGTATTTCTTGTCTTTACTGTTGAAAATAAATAACATTTATACTGCATACTCGACTTGCGTTATTTTGCGTGTGAGTATACAACGACATAGCTCAAAACGTGTTCTTCAGTGGCTGGTTAATTCGTAGAAACATAGCAGACCAACTTGTCATTTTGCCATACGCGGCATCTACCTAGAACACCATCGTCACCAATGTGTTTCACACATTCCTTCAGTTATTGTTTAGATATTTAATAAGGACATTTATCAGCCGTATCTAGTACACACTGCAGCAGACACAATGTAATGTAAAATGTGGCGGCACACGAGCAGGCAAATGCGAGGACATGATTAACTTAGGGCTCAGTCACACATTCAGGGTTTTTACTGCCGTCCTTGTTAGGACCATTCCCGATTAAAATGTGTCAATATTCTGATCAAGATCCTGTGATTTGTGGCGGGAAATTGACAAACAGTCAGATATTGTTCAGGAAGCGTCCCGATTCAGCCGTTTCCAGCCGAATTCGTCCCGATTCTCCCTTTCTCAATCCGAATCTGATCCGATTTGTATCTTCCACAGGATAAAAATCGACCGAATCTGTCTCGACAGCGTCCCGATTCTCACTAATGTGATTCGACAGAGATTCGACAGTGACCGGACAGTGAACCGACAAAGACCGTTTGCATTCCGCAAGATCTGGACGCAATCTGGATTCAGTCGACAAGAAACGGCAATGAACAATCCATGCATGCCCGTCCATCACGACAGCGTCCCGATCCACAGGACACCGTCCAGACAACACAGGTCATTGTTACATTTTGATCCGATACAGCAGAATCTGTCACGACATAGTCACGATTGTAATCCGACCAGACAAAATCGGCTGAGTTTCCCGAACGCACCATACTGTCGGGAGTGCTTGGCCGACCTCAGTGGACCTTTCCCGATCCAGAGGACTCCGTTGCGAACGTAAAGACAATGGTGGTTTGGGAATCTTTCTCTGCTGGAGTTGTATGTCCAGGGTGGTATACAATATTAAACGCCTATGTGCGGTTCAAGAATGCAACATGTATCCTATATCTTCTCCTCTGTGCACTGATAAGCTGTGTGTGTGTGTGTGTGTGTGTGTGTGTGTGTGTGTGTGTGTGTGTGTCGGGGGGTGGGGGGGGGTGGGGGGGGGGGGGGGTGGGGGGGGGGGGGGGGGTGGTTGCAAGGGACAACGTTAGAGGCGATAGTCTCAGGTAGGCGTTTTGACAGTGACAACAGCCAGAACAGAATGTGTGCGAAACTGCGATTCAAACCTAAGACACGGAGATCCTATTGGATGCAAATTTAAGCGCCAGGCAGGGTTACAATAAGTACCATCTTTTACCGTCTTTTGGTATGACGCAGAAGGGGATCGAACCACAATCTGGGCAGACGTTCTGGCCACCAGACCACGGAGGCTGTCCCTACTCAAAGAAATCACCAGAGTTATTCTTTTAAGAAAACCCCGGCATGATGGTCGTACAAGGCGCCGCAATTGGTCAGGCGGTTTGACTGGGTGAATTGGCCGATGGCGTGTCATCGTACCCCAACGGCATGGCTCGTTACTCGGAACACCAATCATTGATCATCTCGACTCGATTATCTACGGGCCGCCGTCATATATAGAAGCGTTAAGCACACACACACACACACATACACACACACACACACACACACACACACACACAGAGTGTTCACAGTGTATTGACTATGTTACCAAATCACTTTATGTACTATTATTTGCAAATGTGGAATATTTTTAGCATTAATATCAATTTCGGCAGGACCTTGCAATGACTGTCCCCAAGCACGCATGATAACGTCTATTGTTCAATTTCTCATCAGTTAGCTCCCTTTATATGATACATTCGTGGGACACGGTACTACTTGGGCGGAGATGTGACTTATCAAGGCCGGTGCCAGTGTCCATTTGCTGTTCACACCGTGCACACGCCGTGCAGGGGGATATATAGACGAACAGCTGATTCTGCTGTTTAAGCATCTTAAATATAATTCTTTCAAATGACAACTACTGGAAAAGCTGTGCCATCATGCGATGTCGACGACAGGAGAATTAAACAGGAATGACCAAAGAATGATATAACATCGAAAAGATGTTTGAGAAGTCCCGAGACACGGAACACATAAGGTAAGATGATACCGCTGACAAACAGCTGTTTCTTAGCGTAGGTCACTTGATAACATTGCCTTGACATTAGTGCTGGTACACCGGAGTAAAAGTCGAAAGTGTTTTTTTAAGAGGTGGAAACTGACGCGGACATTCAATAATACTTTGTCATCAAATTATTATCTTGAAATAAATGGCCAGCTGAGGCTCATCTGAGCTGAAAACGCTCGCCAGTTAAAGGATAATTTGTCACCCCTGAATTATTATATTATAACCGAGAGTTGAATTTTGTGTATAAAGTGCATTAAGGCATTCTCCTTATGTTATAGTTCCTTTGGAATCATCAGAATGACAGATGTTTCTGGAACAAGGCCCACAATTATCATATCGGACAGGATGTCACTGTATGTGGTTTATATTGTGGGGAGTTCTTGTCACTTTTGAGAGCATAACTACTTGGTGACGACTGCTCTCTTATGTCAGTTCATCTAAATCAGGGTTCTTGTAAGCTGATGTCAGTACGTGCAGTGTACATACATCTGAAATCACAATTTCACAAATGTAGAATTAATTAAGCCTTGGTTTTGCTGTCATGTCCCAGGAGTAGTGTTAATACTACCATTCTAATTAACTGTACTCTCAAGCAATATTATCACTGAAACTGACCACACTCAAACTGTGTTGTCATTGAATCTCACTACATCCAAGGAATAGTGTCACTGGAATTGATTGCACAATCCTGCAAATATTTATTGAGATATACTTATTTAAAAATGTATCTGTAGGCTCATTTAATGGTGTCATTGAAGTTGACTGAGGGCTCATGCAATGGTGTCATTGAAGTTGACTGTAGGCTCATTAATGGTGTCATTGAAATTGACTGTCGGCTCATGCAATGGTGTCATTGAAGTTGACTGTAGGCTCATGCAATGGTCTCATTGAAGTTGACTGTAGGCTCATGCAATGGTCTCATTTAAATTGACCCATGCAATGCAATGCAATGGCTCATGCAATGGTGTCATTGAAATTGACTGTAGGCTCATGCAATGGTGTCATTGGAATTGAATGTAGGCTCCTGCAATGGTGTGTGGCATTGACATTAACTGTAGGCTCATGCAATGGTGTGTGTCATTGAAGGTGACTGAGGGCTCATGCAATGGTGTCATTGACATTGACTGTAGGCTCATGCAATGGTGTCATTGAAATTAACTGTAGGCTCATGCAATGGTGTCATTGGAATTGACTGTAGGCTCATGCAATGGTGTGTGGCATTGACATTGACTGTAGGCTCATGCAATGGTGTCATTGCCATTGACTGTAGGCTCATGCAATGGTGTCATTGAAATTGACTGTGGGCTCATGCAATGGTGTCATTGAAATTGACTATAGGCTCATGCAATAGTGTCATTGAAATTGACTGTAGGCTCATGCAATGGTGTCATTGCCATTGACTGTGGGCTCATGCAATGGTGTCATTGAAGTTGACTGTGGGCTCGTGCAATGGTGTCATTGAAGTTGACTGTGGGCTCATGCAATGGTGTCATTGAAGTTGACTGTAGGCTCATGCAATGGTGTCATTGAAATTGACTGTGGGCTCATGCAATGGTGTCATTGAAGTTGACTGTAGGCTCATGCAATGGTGTGTGGCATTGACATTGACTGTAGGCTCATGCAATGGTGTGTGTCATTGAAGGTGACTGTAGGCTCATACAATGGTGTCATTGCCATTGACTGTAGGCTCATGCAATGGTGTCATTGAAATTGACTGTGGGCTCATGCAATGGTGTCATTGACATTGACTGAAGGCCCATGCAATGGTGTCATTGCCATTGACTGTGGGCTCATGCAATGGTGTCATTGAAATTGACTGTGGGCTCATGCAATGGTGTCATTGAAATTGACTGTAGGCTCATGAAATGGTGTCATTGCCATTGACTGTAGGCTCATGCAATGGTGTCATTGCCATTGACTGTAGGCTCATGAAATGGTGTCATTGCCATTGACTGTAGGCTCATGCAATGGTGTCATTGACATTGACTGGGGGCTCATGCAATGGTGTCATTGAAGTTGACTGTGGGCTCGTGCAATGGTGTCATTGAAGTTGACTGTGGGCTCGTGCAATGGTGTCATTGAAGTTGACTGTAGGCTCATGTAATGGTGTCATTGAAATTGACTGTGGGCTCATGCAATGGTGTCATTGCCATTGACTGTGGGCTCATGCAATGGTGTCATTGAAATTGACTGTAGGCTCATGCAATGGTGTCATTGCCATTGACTGTAGGCTCATGCAATGGTGTCATTGCCATTGACTGTAGGCTAATGCAATGGTGTCATTGCCATTGACTGTAGGCTCATGCAATGGTGTCATTGACATTGACTGTGGGCTCATGCAATGGTGTCATTGAAGTTGACTGTGGGCTCGTGCAATGGTGTCATTGAAGTTGACTGTGGGCTCGTGCAATGGTGTCATTGAAGTTGACTGTAGGCTCATGCAATGGTGTCATTGAAATTGACTGTGGGCTCATGCAATGGTGTCATTGAAGTTGACTGTAGGCTCATGCAATGGTGTCATTGAAATTAACTGTACAGCCAACGAATGGTGTCACTGAAATTGATTGCACACTCCTGCAAATCTTGATTGAAATGTACTCATTTAAAGATTCATCTGTTATTCTTGAGTTTGAATGTGTATTCAAATCTATTATAAATTCAGTGTTTAAACAACATTTTTCTCTCTAAGAATATGAACAAGAAAATGAAAGCAATCTTGCACATTTTATACTTTTCCAGCATTACACTTGCTGTCTGACCATCATGGCATTACCAGTGTCAAGCATCAAGGCAACCAAGGGGTCCATAGTTTCAGCCTTGACATACAGCTCAAAATGTTTTGTACCTGTGCAAAGCCAGAAGGGATACCATTGCTTTTCCAGATACTGTACCAAACCCATGAAGTACGTGAACCAATTTCTTCAGAGTTCAACAAATAGTACCATCAGTAAAATTTCCAGTCGAACTAAAGTGTCTGGAAATGTCCACTTGGGAAGTGATATCCAACAGACATCTTTGAGAAGGTAAGATATGTTATGGTAGAAAAGGAAAGTGTTTCATGGGTCGTGTTACATCTACTATCTAAAACTAAAACATCCACTATGTATAATGAAGAGATACAAGAAAAAATCTGGTCCTCATGAAAATACTACTTTAATAGTTCCTAAGTTTTCTTTTTGTTGCTAACCATTTTCTTCAGTGTGAAGTGAAAATGTTGTCTGTGAGACTTGCACTTGCCAAACATCCATACAGTTACAACCAAATGGAGTGAACAGATAGACCAAGGTCGTCTGTGGTGTAAACAATTACTTTAGAAACAATGCTTGAACCAACAGTGTAGTGTGCAATAATGAAAGCTTTATCAGTCAAATAACTTCGATAATTCTTGAGATGGCTAAGCCCTGTGAAGATCCAGGTTAGAATTGGTCTTCAGCAACCCATACATTTTCATCGTTCATGAAGGTAGATAACCTTTTTGTTTGGCAAAGTGGAAATGTCACATTTGAAAACAGTGGAAAACTAGCATAATTAGTAATTGTGCTATCCTACTCTTGCAAGAACTGTACTCCTGAAATGATCAAATATATGAGAATGGCTGAAATGAGTGAAAAGGTCAAATAAGTTGAGACTCTAAAGACCATCAGCAAGGCCTTTGACCCAAGATGATGTTTTTGACCATGTTTGTCTTTATCTGCATCACCTAAGAAAAAGCTTTGCTCATTTTCAGATGAAAGAAAGTTGCTTCTTGAAAACCTCTTATATCACCCCCTTTTCACATTTTAACCTCCATTAGTCTACATCTATTGTTGTCCAGTACATGGATTGAAATAAACAAAGTCTGGTTCTCATTCATACGAACACATGTGATAACTTTTGAAATGTTTTGCTCATTTCTTAAATCCTCTGGGTGAAAAAGGGCCCTCAGCAGTGACATTGACATTTTGACTATGTTCTTTCTGGCTAACTGCACAAAAGACTTCATCTAGTGAAGGCTAAGATCAGCATAGTATTTTCCAAAAAAAACAGTAGTGAGTGAGTGAGTTGTGTTTAACACCGCTTTTAAAAGTATTCAAGTTATATCACAGCGTGTCAGTTTAATGTGGGAGGAAAGCCCGAAGTGATGCAGGTCTCAGACTTCGGTGAAACCCACACGCATGGGTATGGTACTGACAAATCTAGAAACATAATCGGGGCGAACTGGGATTCGAACCCACAATCATAGATTTCTGGTGTGCCCAAGGAACGCAACTCTGCACAGCAAATTGCGGCGCCTTAGACGACTGGATCACCCATGCCCCCCAAAAAACAATAACACCAGCAAGAAAATTTATTGTTTTTTGGTAATTGTAAAAAGTGATTTATAGTTTCATGTTATTTCTTTTACCTTAAAATAGATATAAAAAACAAGTACATAAAACAAGTTATTAAGTTGGTCAGGGCTAAAATATATCCTTCATAATTCTCAAATTACACGTGTTGTGTGTCCACTCCAACAGCAAGAAACTGGAAACTCACACAAGTCTCCTGTCGGATCCCCGGGTACTTTGGGCATCACTGTCCACATGTTGGAGTCACCTGGACAAGTACAGTGGGACAGATGATCTGGAAAACATGCCTGATCTGAAGCGCTTCCTCAGTGAGGTAGGTCAACATGATGGATTCCTTAATAAAGACTGTCAACCTTCAAAATAAACTGAACAAATCCTGTTCTTTTACCATAAAACATATGAAAATGATATATGTTGAGTGTGCATTGGTTATATTTTCACATTTGCTAGTGTCATTATTCACCCGCAAGATGCTAAGCAAACAATGCCTCCATCAGTAAGCCAGGATGAGGGTTTTTTCTTCAGTGATGACTGACAGCTGGACAAGCTGTGAAGGATATGTGTCCTGTATTTTATAATATGCTATCTGAACAATGTCCCTATTTACCTTTTGACATTGACATTGTTGACAATGAAAGCAGGTTAAAAGAGTATAATCACATTGTCAGCCATGTTGAAGAGTGGCAATTTGTGAAACTTCCCAGATTATGGTGGAGAATGTCCAATCATCATTTCAATGAAGACAATGTAAATGTTTTACTAAAGAAGTAAAACTAAACTGTGCAGAAACCATCAGGAACTTTATATGAAGGATCATTTATATCCACAAAACACACATACACATTGAGCAGACAAAATGAATCTGCATGCATTTGTATGGTTTAATGTGATTAAACATATTTTAAGGAAATTAATTTGTTGTTAAATACAAAAACTATTGTGAAGAGTTTTGAGAAAAAAAACATGCTATGATCTAATTGTATTAGGTAGGTTTTGCCCCACCTGTTACTTCACATCCTTCTGTTTTCTCCTATTTTCCTCGGGTTCCCAGAGAACAAACGTTTGTGTAAACAAAAATAAATTACAGCCAATGGCTTTCCTTGTGTTGTAATGTCATTTTAAGCATTAGAATAATTGAAAGTCAAGTGAGCTTATGTCATAGACTGTTTGTCAAGCGTCAGTTGTGCATCATGCATTGGCCATCTTCTCTTTGGAAAATATTAAACCAATGAAGCTGAAACTTCATGTACTTCTTCCAACTATTGATGACACACCATATTTTTCAAGAAGTTTGAATCTGATTTTCAATTCGGCGGCCACGGCAGCTACAATGAAAGATCTATTTATATGCCATTACTGAGTCATTTTTAATTAGATTTGCTGCATGTGCAGTTAGTAATGGGGTTCAGCATGTGTGTTCTGTTGTTTTTTTTGCAATATTTAAACTTTTGACCTTGATTTGACCTTTCTCTTTGTCCATTCTGAATGCTGAAACAAGGCCTACTAATGGCCAGTACTCAGACCTTTTCTTTCAAAATGTTTTGTGATATTTTACACGTTGATCTTTATTTAACCTTTGCTTTTTGACCATGCTCCTAAGTTCTCTCAAAAGCGTTTCCTCCGATTGTAAACATAATCTCCTCAGTGACCACTGAACCAGTGAAGCTGAAACTTCACTTGCTTGTTCTCACAAATGATGTCACCTGAATATGTTTAAGAATTTCAAATTGCTGACAGCCTAACAAAGGATCTATTTATGGGGAACTTGGCCAATGTGGCTGAACATATATGTTCTGTTTTTTTTAGCAATGTTTGAAATTTGACCATACTGGAAGTTGAAACTTCTTATGACAGTTACCCAGGAGTTTCTTGTTAAAAATGTAATGAAAATTGGTATGTGTGTTGTTAGTAGTTGGGCTCAGTATATGTGTTCCATTTTTTGCGATATTTCAGATTTTGACCTCCATTAGCCCTTTGATCATGCGCATAAGTTCACCCAAAATGTAGTCTACCACACTTTAGATATCATCTCCTCAGAAACGAATAAAACTTTACATTAATGTGCTCACCAATGACATCACTTGAATTTGTTAAAGAGGTTTGAATTTTATTTCAATCTGGCAACCACAGCATTGAAAAATCTAGTTATGGCACATGTTCGGTGTGTTTCAAGAAAGGGAAGGATAAATATACAGCTTTAGTATACCAAACTAATTATTATGATATGGATGATCTTGACCTAAGTTTTCTAAATTGAGAAAAAACGACAAACTTTTACTTCAAGACCTTTTGTTTGGAAATTAATGACAATAATGCTAAAGTCCACCATGACAAAATTATTTATGAAATTTTTAATCCTTGTTTCGAAATCATAGTAAAAGGAATGCATATGGCAAAATATGCCTGTTTTTCTTTGAAACAGATCCTTCCAATGACAGAAGTTTTAATTACATATTTGTAATGAGTAACAGAGTGTTTTAGTACCTGCACTCTCAGCATGATTTGCATCAGGAAAGACAATGAAGTCTTCTGATACTTTCATTGACTGAAGATACACAGCCTAGTTGATAAACGTTTGTGTTGGAAAGGATGAGTAACAAGTTTTAAAGTAACAGTACAGGATTGTTATGGCCTGGCAAGTTATGAACCTGACTATTTTAAGGAGCTTGGTTCCTGGTGCTTCCAGAACAATAGGAGCTGAACACAGTTAAGCTGGAAGTGTCATTCTTGTGGCATAGTTTACAGTTTGTTGGCTTCAACTTGATATTCTTCAGGTTGGGACTGACCCCAGAGAAGCCCGCTACTGGCTGAAACAATTCACCACTTCAGAACCAAAGAAACCTTTTGCAATTGTCCAGGTCGACCCGGAAATCTTTATGGATAAAAAACAGGTATTTGGAAAAACAACAACTGACTTTGAACCACAGCTTTTGAACAGGAAAAATAATGCACCCTCATGCAGTCTTTGTTGAAATTTGGAATCGGCATTTACCTTCAGTAGGAAGGAATATCAAGTGATTTTCATTCTGTAATCTTTCTCAAGTTTTACCTCTGAAATTAGTCATATGATGTTCAAGATGTATTGTTCTAAAATGAAAAGAAGTTTTGACTTTCTTCTTGGCACATTTCAGCTAGATCACCTGACATCATGTCTGTCTTTCCTTCAACGGAACAGCATGCGACCTGCTGTTGTCTGTGGCAGCCATATTGCATCTGGCCATCGGTTCCCTCTGGAGGAGCTCCAGGTGATCAATCTTGGTCATGTCTTTCTGTTGCATACATGTCAACGCTTTATGTAAGCCAGTGCATGAGAAGTACTAGTCAAAGCCATGTGTTTACTTTAAGTGCACATTTAAGTAGATAAGATGAAGTTGTTAGTCGGCATGTGGTGGACTAGGGTCCCTGGGTGATGTCCCTTTGAAATTTGTCAGTTTAAGAGTTGTCTTGTTTGTTTTAGAGGGGTTGAGCAGGAGATTTTGATCTATCTGTTTGGTTTGAAATAGAAGAGTTTATAAAAACAGAAAGGACATCACACACCCTATTGCTTTGTAGGCAATGTGGGGATTCTGGGTGAAACTTGGTTCCTAGCAATAGATGTTGTAGTGAGACTCGGGGACTCATTTGATGGTGGATCAATGTTACGTGACGGTGTGGATGGCTGCTAATTATATCACTGGAGTATTTACAGACCATCTTGATAATGCTGGAATAGTGCAGCGTTAAAATAAAAAAAACAACTATATACATTGCTGATTTAAAATTTGAGTCACATATGATAGGTTAAATTTGAAATTCCGAAAAGAAATATTTCTCTGCTGAGTGTTGTTGAGAAGGGAGAAAATCCTTTGATGTTCAGTTAAAAAAGGTATATTACTCTGTTGTTATTTTTTGATAGGGGATACAACTCTTTCCTGTAAAATGTTAAAAAGGGAAATAGAATATCACATTAGACCAGCTCTTACTAAGTGTAACTGATTTCTGTTTCAGAGACTGAAGACACAGGCTGTGATGTATAGCACTGTGCTGGCCAGTATGCTGGAGGCCAACAGAGTGCACTGTCGCCCACTGTTCATGGGGAGTCACATCATCCAAGCTGAGAGAGCTAATGGGTAGGTACTGAATGGTTTAAATCACTGCAGGTCAGATATTCTAAGGGACCAACTATTTGATATTTTTTTACATTTGTGAGCAACTCGTGCCATTCAGGTTCAAGCTGAATGGAGACTTGTGCTGCTCTCACAGCACTTGCTTACTCATGTTGAAAAGTATTTAACCTGTCTGACGTACACATATCATTTTGCTACACAGTATGTTTAGCATGAAATTAGGGACCATTTTCTTTGATGAAAATCAACTTATTTATACAAATCTTTTGCTTGTAAAATAATATTTTAAATTTTAAAATGAGATGAAAAATGCTGATATTATGAAGGTGTTTTTTTAATTTCTACAATGAATCTCTTTGAATTATTCTATACTTCCCCAAGAAAGAAACGCAAAGCCCAAATCGGTGACAATATGTAGAGACATTTAATTTGATAAAGAAAAATGCGACAAGGATGAAAGTTTACAAGACGGATCATACAGTGGTTAAGGTCAAAACACAAGGATGTGAATGTCACATGTTGAAGGTCAAGGTCATGAAGATGTCAATATCTTGTATGGCCACCATTGGCAACCAGAACAGCTTGGCATCTCCTTTCCATGGAAGCCACAAGGGCCTGAATCACGCGTTGGGGAATTGTAGCCCATTCTGCCTGAAGTGCTTGTGCCAACTGTTGCAGAGTCTGTGGCTGACGTTGACGCACACGTCTGTCCGACTCGTCCCACAAGTGTTCTATCGGATTCAAATCCAGGGATCTTGAGGGCCAAGGCAGAACCTGGATGTTGTTAGCCCGCAGGAAAGCTGTGGTGAGATGTGCTGTATGGGGCCGGATGCTGAAACAGGAGGTTGGCGGTATGCGTGATGGGTACGACGTGAGGCCTCAGGATCTCGTTGATGTACAGCTGAGCTGTTAAGTTGCCCTGGACATGGACAAGGTCAGTTCTGCCAGTATGCGAGATGGCTGCCAACATCATTACACTACCACCACCGAATCTGTCGACCTGTTGAATACATCATGGTGCAAAACGCTGTCCCTGACGTCGGTACACACAAGTTCTTCCATCTGAACGATACAGCCAGAAACGGGACTCGTCGCTGTACCACACCCTCCTCCAACAAAGTTGCTGCCATACCCTGTGTGCTTGACACCACTGACGTCAATTTTGACGGTGCTGTGCCGTTAAAACGACCCCACGATGGGGACGTCTTGCCCTAAGTCCTGCTTCTCGTAATCGGTTCCTGTTTGGGCTGATATCCTGCACATACCCGGAATGTTGGATGCCGTAGAGGATGCGGTTGTGGCTCTGTCCCGGAGATGACGTAACCGGATGTGTCGGTCCTACCCCCTGGTGGTCACTCGTGGTCTACCTGATCTGGGACGGTCACGTGTTGTTCCTTGATATTGATATCTGTCCCACAGTCTTGTTATGGTGCTTGGCAACACGTTCAACACCCTGGCTACTGCAGATCGTGAATTACCAGCTTCCAATCTGCCTATTGCGTTGTTTCTCTCTGCTTCGCGGAGTCTTGGCATTGTTCTGCATTAAAGTGCGAGTCAACAACAATTGCCACTCGAGTGAAAACCCTGCGCTTTTAATGCCTATGGAACCATGTTACACGTGCAGTGAATGGGTGTGTTTTGGTGACATGGTTAGCACTTGGCTGTGTTTTGGTCAATTTTGCATGTTTTTCTCCCTGAAAACATCTGAATCAAATTTCCATCTCATTCTTCATGGCATTTTGTACCCATAACACTACATCTCCCAAATCTTTCCTGAAAACACCAACATCATCTATAATACTATTTCAGTAACCATTTTTATCCCTTTTGCGTTCTTTTTTTGGGGAGTATATTAAGAGTCACAATTATGATTTTTCCTTTTCCGTGCTTGAAGTCGCAATTTGAAACTTATTTATGTCACAACTGCTTTAACGAATAGTAAGCAAATTTATATGTGTTCATTCTTATCAAATAAAGTTAAGACATGCATACAAGCTACCTACATACAAACTGTGTGCTGGATATGAGAAACTACAGCTTTGCTACAGTTGGTATTAAACTGACCAAATTGTATGGAATGATACAGCAAGGAATGTGCCTTGCAGTGTGGAACACACAATCTATACATTTCCCAATTTTTTTTAACAAACGCATATTGCCATGATGTATTTTAAAAATAATAAGGACAATATTGATCAAAGTAACCCATCCTGCTGAGTATTCTGATTGGCTTGAGCCATTTCGACTCATGGCGGGGGGAAGAACTGTCTTGTAGGTTACGGAAATATGTGACTGATAAAGAATGATTTGGGGAGAGCTGTGCTCAAACCCTCTAGTGTCAAATCAACAACTGAGAGTTATTTCTCCTGATAGCCCCATGTGTGAAAAGATGATGCAGGGTAGATATATTCCTTGCAGATTTATCTCCTCTGTACCTTTTAACCCTTTAAGCCATACTTATACTGCTCAGTGCTGAATTTAATCAAAACACTACAATGACAGGAAAATCACTTCTTTGTAACTGTTCATCTTCACAATAATTTTATTGCAGTGCCAACTATTGTGGGACTCTGTGTAACATCAACACAGAGATCATTGAGTGGTGTCTGCAGACAAAACACATTCCAATAATTCTGTCATTTGGAGAGACTTCTACTGGCCAAATTGTGGCGCTGGACTTGTGGAGTGTAACGGAGGGGTTGGCTAAGGCTCTCCAGCCACTGAAGGTCATCAAGGTCAACGCTTGTGGAGGCTTTGTTGATGAAGTTGGATCTGTGAGTACTGGAGCCCTTCATTGGAATAGATGGATGTGAAACAATATTTTTATTATGTCTTAAAGCCAGACATTTTTTTGTTTCCACATTTTCTTGGTCAATATCCAAAGAGGCAGGATGCAAAATGAGAAAAATATAAGAATATTGCTAGGGTTGACTTGAAAGGATGAATAAAGATCCTTGAAATGAAAGTTGTGAACAAAACCAAAGGTTTCAGTAAAAGCAAATTATTTAAACCAAACACAGCCATTTGAATTTTTTTCTAGCACTGAAACGTTAGAGTTAGGTATGATCATGGTCTTCTGTGGTAGGAGAGTATTCAAGTTTTTGCGTTGTATCTTTGAACCCCTTTTCAATTAAGCCTGCTGGTGAGGTTAAACTCTTTGAAAGACAGATTTGTTGAAATAATCACATTATGACTGTTTAGATTTTCAAATAAGTTTGAATACATTTGTTATTCAGGCAGTCATACACTTTATAGCGTAAAACAACAACCAGACAAGTGATATACCTTGTGTGCCTGACATTGCAGATAGTGGCAAATATCCATCTACCAGTGGACCTGGAAACGTCTGGTGACAAGCCCTGGTGTACGCCTGTCATCAGATCGAGTGTAAGAGTTGTATTCCTTGTGTATTAGTTGCATATATTTATTTCATAATAAAAATAACAATAATACTGAAATTGGGATCGTACCCTGGTTTGCTGCCAGGAATACAGCCCTTCTGACAATCTGGGTAATGCAAAAGGCTGCAGTGTTGGGGGTCTTCACATTGTCTGAAAACTTCTGGGTGGGTTTGACTAGGCAGCGCTTCCTGGGAGAAGACCCATTCGCTGTCTCGCATGGGCTACGTGTGGAGAGGGCAAGGGCCCTGAGCTGATGATGAGCCTACCCAGCCTGACTGTGCCAGTATCATCCAACCCTCTTTGCTGCATTTATTTATTTTAATCTGAATAATAATAATAATAATCCTTTTCCAAAATGAGTGGTTTAATTTACATCTGGTATCTGGTAGAAATCATTCATGTAAAATACCTGCAGTAAAGGTGTATTACAGGAAGAGGCATATAAGTATAGTCAAGCTTGAGGATATATTTTCAGATAGAGCGGATATACAAATTGTTGTACAACATGCCGAGGGAGAGCTCAGTCGTCATCACCGCTGTAGACAAGATGTTGAAAGAGCTCTTCACTCACAGAGGTAATGTAGTGTACACTTTAACATTAACACTTTGCAATGCATCCTGGGTAACTGCAGCCCATGTCGGGTTTCCTGGGAAGAAAAGGGTCCCAGAATCCCAAGCTTGTTGAGGATAATTAAATGGATGAAGCTGTCAGGCTTGGTGATTGTGTTTCCTTGTACCTCGATGACACTATAATTTGTTCAGGATCAAGAGGGTTACTTTGTGTTTTAGGTGTCTCACGTTTATACCACGAGGCGGTGGCAAAATCCATGTGCAGACTGCCTTGTTCGTGGCAGGGTATTAGGTATTTTTTCTCCTCTGAGAAATTTATTTTCCACATAGGCGGGATACAGAGTATTTTATCAAGAACACGTGTACCGATCAGATCTCATCATTCTGACATGGAGGTATGATAATGGCAGTTATTCGAAACCAATGGGCTTTTGAAGTTTCCCATCTTCAACACTATTCAAGGAGACTATTTCTCAAAATCTTTTTGGTCAGATGTGAAAAGAAAAAAAAGAAAAAAGAAATTGCAAAACAATATTATAGTGGCGTAAAAAACAAAACAATCATGACCAGTTTTACAACAATCAGAGCAATACATTTTGAATCCAGTAAGCAACTATAACAATGATTACACATACTCTCATTCATTAAAAATCTGCTGTGTGCCGAGACACTATTATTTTGTGTTCTAGTGAAATTCATTAAAAGACATATATCTCCACATTTGTGAGATTTAAGGTCATTGGATATATAAAACCAAATGTCTTTACTTGAAAAAACAACAGATAACAGTTACATTCATTTGGTCCCGGATACATCCTGCTCTATTGATCACCATTTGACTCCTGGTAATTAGAAATGTTCAGTCAAAACTACCGATAAGAACATACATTTTCAGAGTCCATGAAGTCATTTTACATAGACAGATTGGTTGTGTCGCAAGACAGGAAGTTAACTAGACAGGACGTAATTGCACGGTCAGTCAGTTGATGGATGCTTCTTACCGACTGCAAGTGATGAATTTATCAATACACAGACGGGTTTATCAATGGGACTGCACTGTATCACCAGTATACTGCAATACGATTTTCAAACGATACATATTGCAATAGGTTTTCTATGTAAAAAAATATAACAAGTTTCATTTAGATTACTATCTATTGTTTAACCTAAACTCTACAAAGAACCTCATTGATTTTTCACAAATGATTTCCCTTTGAAATTGTTTGACAAAATGGTGGAAACGTAGACTTGATTTTTCTCTTACATTGTTATCTACCCTGTTATCCATGCTGAGTAATATTTACTTTCATATGTAGAAAATAGGATCTGCATGTACAATCAGTGTTAATCAACTTCAAATATATCGCAATACAAACATTTTGCCAACATTTATCAAAAGAGAAATTTATATATATTTCATGTGTATTTGTTTGTGTACACTACTGCCTAAAAGTTCATTCCCCTAACACGCGTTGAGAACGCGTGTAACACGCATGTGACACGGGTGCTCAACGGGTTGCACACGCGATTCACACCCGTTGCACACCCGTGTCCAACGGGTGTGAATCGCGTGTGCAACCCGTTGCACACGCGTGTGCCACGCGTGTAACACGGGACCGGGTTCCAGTTGAAGTTGACAAATTTATCAAATGAATAGTGAAATAAAACAAAACAGTGAGATGTGAAATTTGAGTTAATGAGCGGCCATTGAGCTGTGTTCACCAGACCGTAAATACAAGGTCGGCCCATCTTAATTAGTGTTCGGTTGCTAGACTTTTATGGCATGAACCATTCCACTAGGGTCCAGTCTAGCCGTTGTGGCTAGCCGACAGTAGAACAGTAGTGAATTTAGATGCGAGTTTATTGCTAAGAAACCCCCGTGTTGACACGATTGTCGCGGGTTGGTAAATGTTCGCCATTAATAAAGTAATTGTTTGTGGATTGCGAACATATTCACTTGCCCACACGAGTCATTCCATTTGATTGCAAATATAACGTTTTTCGTTCGCCAAATTTATGCTTTAGACAGTTCAATTATGACATAGCCGTCACCACTACTAATGTCTCATTATTTCACGTAGGAATATGTCCCATTTCCCCACACCCAACTTTCTGTGTGTGTATTTTGAAAAATAAATAAAAGAAGGTTTTGTGTGGGACACTTTTATACTAATTATAAGAGGATGTTGTAAATGAATATGAACAGCCATGCTGTCTGACAGTTGATAAAATTTGAGATCTTCACAATCACCGGGTGTGACCATGTAGACAGAATCTCGTTAGGGTTTGTGATTTTTACATTTGCCCAATTACCATAGTGAGTATTGCTGGGGATACCAAACGTAACAGTTTATTATTAGAGGTTGTGAGTACCTATACCACGTAGATAGGATATCTTTAGGATTTTAATCCTTCTTTGAGAGGCATTTAGAAGTTGGAGTACTACGTTAGGATAAGATTTATGGGTGACTTTAATCCTTTCTTTCTCTGTGGGTAATCCTTTCACGTTCATTTGAGGAAGTCACTCAACCAGGTCATGACAGGTCGTGAGTTTACTTACTAACTACTGTGAGCGTTTTTGGCATGACATCTTTTCTTGTATAAACATAGAAACGATGCTCACTCACTCACTGTTAATCTTCTGCAGTTTGCTGGCAAAGTGGGGAAAAACCTCAGTGTCAAAGACGATCAAACTTAGTTCGAATCCTTGTTTATATGTGACATCTCCCAAAAAAATCCTAATACTTACCGACTCCCTAAGTGGACTGCAAGCCCTCCAAAACAAAAATACCAAAAACCGACCTAAATTAATAAATCAAATACTTAAAAGCTCCAACGACCTAACTAAGGCAGGCAAACAAATAACCTTCTTGTGGATACCCGCCCACGTAGGAATATACGGTAATGAAAACGCCGATAAAGCAGCTAAACTATCCCTCAAAATCCCAGAAATAAGCTTAAACTTACCTATCTCAAAATCAGAAATTAAAAGTGTAAACAAGCAAAAAATCACAAAAAAATGGCATAACCTATATCTAAACTCAAATAGCCAAATCAAAAAAGTGCTCAGCAAACCACTAACCAAACCCAAAATTCTCCATCCATCCAAAAAAATCGACAGAGTAATCACTAAACTCCAAACAGGACACACCAACCTAAATAACCACCTAAAAAAAATTAAAAAACACACTTCAGGTAACTGCCCACACTGCAAACAACCAGAAACCCCAGAACACGCACTCATCCACTGCACACACTACCTAACACATCGAACCGCATTACAAACCACCCTCAATCTAAACAAGGCTCTAACTCTAGAAACAATACTAAACCCACAAAATAAACTAGAAAACTTCAAGGCCTTAGGCGTATTCTTAATAAAAACGGAACTAATAAAACGCATCTAAAAACACAATAACCTACCAAATCAAAATCACATAAACAAACAAACATCCACCATACCCAGCTCCCTTAGTTCTCCTCCCCAATCCCATCGGCATCTATTCCAAATCTCAAAATTCCCAAATTCTATATAAGCAACCCCTAAAACCCCCCTCTTGGGTTGCACAGACCACCTTCGCCCCTTTCGGAAACACATTAAATGGCCTGGCCGGGCCCGTGTGCGAAATACGCATCAGTCGGAAAGCGCACGTTAAATCTCCAAAGTAAGTAAGTAAGTTTGGGGACATTTTCATAAACTTGGCAAGTGATGATGAATTTTAATATTAATATTATTATAGTTTATGAAATTGTTAATAAAACTTTAATAAAATTGTGCTTCACTCTCACGAAAAATATATTGTCTGTGAGTAAATTTATTTGTCACGTTACATCGGCATTTTTCAGTGATATTGGGACTACATGAAACATGGCTGGTTTTACATTTCTGATACAGGTGCTTGACTGACTGAGTAGTTCATGATCAATAAGATATGTTTAAATCAGTCAAGTTTGCAACAATAGATGAATAAGTTGATACATTTGGACCGCAGTTACCGATTAACAACTTAAGACATAGAGACAGGGAGGAGATATATAACCAAACCTATGATCCTGTTGAGACAGTTGACAGTTAGAACGTTGGATTAAACGACAGTAACTAATTTGAACATTCCCCAGTTATATCATAAAATACATCATAACTCATAACAGTCCGAGAGACAGCTTCCAGGCATATACTAGTATTGAAGGGACAATCGCTTTTGACAGTTTAAAAATAAACTCACCTTAAGGTGCTTGGCAAATCAAAACTGACCTCCCTGAATATGTTGTTTAGGTTTGACAGCAACTATCCTTGTGGATTTCAGAGATAGACATGATTGGTTAGCTAGATGTTATTACAATAAGCGAAAATGTCTTAAAAGTCCACAGTTGGTTTAATAGTACAAAAAGTGTGTTATAGATCTATCAACGTTTTCTTTTATTGAACATAATATTTGCACTATATTGCTGTAAGCTGTAAATAATCTAGCCTCCCCATGTACGTAACTTACATATATTTATGTATTGCCAGAACAGCAAATAGAGTTCTGGTAGATAGGTACCTCGGAGATATAACGTGCGCTTTCCGACTTAAGCCTATCTCGCACACGGGGAAGCACTTGTACTATTAGGGTAAAAAAGGGTAATGATTAAATAAAGAAGTGCAACCCTATATTTTCTATATATATTTGTAGATATGAAGCATTCTAGTTAATTGTGGATGCATTGGGCAGACAGAATTGTGTTTATTTCCAGGCCATCCTGATCGTCGTTTACTACTATAAGGTGTATGGTTGGAGGCAAGATCAAAGGCGCCGCACAGCATTTATTAGATAACAGACGGGGTCGTCCGTTTCGCTTTGAACAACGACCCCACCTGTCTGTAGGAGTTATATAATCGGTGCGCAAATAATTGTGTCAAGTCCACTGCCGGGCTGATGCGGTGTCAGTGTCAGCGATGAACATGAATGCTCAAATTATAGACTTGTAGCACTCACAAGTTGCTTAGCCAAATTATTTGAAA